ATTTGGGGGGGCCCCCTGGGTGTCCCCTTCTTGTCTACAATTGCTCAGCACCTTAGTCCCAGGGGAGGGGGCCGCAGAGAATTTTCTAGAAGGGAGCTGGGAAGTCTAGGCCCAGGGGCTCTTGGAAGGTGGGGCTGAGGAGCTGCGAGGTCAGCCTCCCTCTCCGGCCTCCCCCTGCAGAAATACCAGAACGAGTTCAATACCAACGTGGCCATGACAGAGATCTATAAATACGCCAAGAGGTATCGTCCCCAGGTGAGTGACCCCCTGCACCTGCCCAGGTAGTACCTGCCCACGTCCCTTCTGATATACAAGACCCAGGAGAACTTCTCACCTTTAGACTCACATCCGGGAACTTTGCGCTTTAGGGTGGGTCTTTTTTTTGGTGGGGGTACCTGGGGCTGAACCCAGGGGTGCTCAACCACTGAGCCCCGTCCCCAGCCATTTTGGGGGTTTCACTGAGACACAGGGTCTAGTTGAGTTGCTTAGGGCCTTGCTAACTGTTGAGGCTGGCCTCCAACTTGCGATCCTCCTCCCTCAGCCTCCCGAGCTGCTGGGATGACAGGCGTGGGGGCCACCACAGCCGGCGAGGGTGGGTCTCTTGGTGGGTGGACAGAGGCGCTGTGCTCTCTGCCATCATCTAAGGCGGGGACCCCTGAGCTGGGCCACCCGGCTGACCCCCTGCTGCCTCCTGCTCAGATCATGGCTGCCCTGGAGGCCAACCCCACGGCCCGCAGGACGCAGCTGCAGCACAAGTTCGAGCAGGTGGTGGCCCTGATGGAGAACAACATCTACGAGTGCTACAGCGAGGCCTGACCCCGGGCCGAGTCGGGCTGCGACACTGAGGAGCGGAGGAGGCTCAGGGGAAGGACGGACCATGAAGGCCAGGCCTGGAGCCCCCAAGCCTGGCCCCAGGGACAGCTCCGTGTCCCCTCCCACTGGCTCTGACTCTGGGATGGGGGCCGCTCTCTGGGAAGCTGTCCCCGTCCCCCCAGCACAGTGACCTGCCCTGCACCAGCCAGCTGCTAAGACAGCCCGGCCCAAACCGGGGGAGAGGAGGCTGCAGCCCCCCCAAAACACTACCTCACGCAAACTGGCCAGGGGGAGCCCTTGATGGCTTTTTGCTTTCACCACCAAAAAGCTGTCACCACGTCCCTTGGCCCCAGAGGACCCTGGCCACGCTCAGGGTCAGAGTTTTCTGGTTTTCGGTGGCTGCAGCGGCTGTTGGCAGCCAGGGCCGTGCCCACCGCCTCCAGGGAGGCGCCCAGGGTTGCCCCCCAGGCCGGGGAGGGACAGGAGGAGGGGACAGGAGCTGGGAGCGGGCGGGGCGAGGGTGCACCGAGTCTGTAGCTGGGCTACTCGATCTTTCTGGAAGTGTTTCTAAAGATAGCACCACTTTGGGGGTTTTTGGGGGTGTTTTTTTTTTTTAAAGCTTTTATATATATAAAAAAAGAATTATCACGCGCCAACTGTGAATGGCTGCCACTTGTGCAGAGGACCCGGGGAGGGTCCCCAGGGGCGCCCAACGCAACACTGGAAATGACTGTTCCAGAGACCCGGCAGGCCTGGCCCGAGACCCCGCCCCCCAGGAGCCTGGGAACGTCACCCCGTCTGTCCCTGCCTGATGTGACCCTGGGTGGCTGATCGAGCCCGTGGGTCCCCCTGGGAGCAGACTCAGCCAATGCCCAGGACTGGCCAGGAGCCCAGGGGGCGGCGGGAGGGGAGGGCTGGAACTCTCTGGAACCTTCTTTATAATAAAAGTCTGCCGGGAAACCCACGGGGGCTTCTGCCTTTGTCCTGAGATGGCCAAGTGGGGGGGGGGCGTTTGTCACTTAGTTTATGACACAAAGGACACAGAGCCAGGCGGGCCTTGTCCCTAGGAAGACTTGGAGCCAGGCCTGATGGGGCTAGGACTCTGGACCCAAGGTATCACACCTGCTGGATGCTGCTGTCCCCTGCGCCAGGGCTGGGGAACTTGTCCCCAAGGCTGGATTCTGTTCCCCTGGGCACAGGTTGTCCCTTAATTGGGAACACAAGGTGGAAGGACAATAAATACACAGGCTGAGCCCTGTCCCAGGCCACTTGGCTCCCTCTGGGCCTAAGCAGGGGTGCCATTCAGCCTGCACCCCCAGGACAGGTCACCCCAGGGTCACCTCCAAGTCACAGAGCCACCCACGCCACACAAGCTCTTCCCTGGAGGAAGGAAAAGTCATTTCCCACGATTCTCATCGAGAATAAGAAATAGAACCAAAGATTCATAATCTAGAAGCGAAACCCCACGAAAACCAGTTCTAGGGTCAATAAGAACAAAACCAGAGGAAGGTGACCTCCAGCTTTGAAATCCGTCTCCAGTAGGGAGCAGTGGCTCAGGCCGACGATCCCATTGGCTCGGGAGGCTGAGGCAGGAGGGCCACAAGTTGGAGGCCAGCCTCAGCAATTTAGGGAGACCTTGTCTGAAAAAATAAAAAGGGCTGGGGATGTAGCTCAGGGGTAAAGTTCCCCTAGGTCCAATCCCGAGTGCCAAAAAATCAGAAATAAAAATCTAGGCCTGGGGCCATAGCGGGCCATAGCTCAGTGGCAGAGCGCTGGCCTAGCACATGCGAGGCCCTGGGTTCCATCCTCAGCACCACAGAAAAATAAATAAATAAAATAAAGGTATTCTGTCCACCTACAACTAAAAATATAGTTTTAAAAAAAGAAAGAAGGAAGGAAAAATACAGCCGGGCACGGTGGCCCACGCCTGTCATCCCAGCGGCTCGGGAGGCTGAGGCAGGAGGATGGCAAGGTCAAAGCCAGCCTCAGCCAAAGGGAGGCCCTAAGCAACTCAGGGAGACCGTGTCTCTCAATAAAGAATTTAAAAAGGGCTGCAGTGTCGCTCGGGGGCTAAGCCTCCCTGAGACACAACCTCCAGTACCAAAAAATAGATAAATAAAAATAAAGACGTCTTTCCCCCCTGAAGTCACTGTGGGAAGGAGCTAGTTTTTCTCTTTCCCATTTTCTATTCTGAGCATTGATTTCTCCTTATTAAGCAACAGATTTTCTAATTTGAGTTATTGGCATATTTGATAGGTTTTTTTTTTTCTCTCTCTCCCCCCTTTTGGGGGGAGGATGTGATTCTAGAATAAATATCACACATTAAAAAAAAAGAAGAAAAAATGATAATAATAAAGCCAATCTGTCCTCATCCTGCGCCTCGCCTCCCAGGGTCACATCGCAGGGTGGCCTCAGCTCTGCTCCTAGGGGCTGGGGACCAGGGATCAGAATCAGGATCGGGGCAAACACACCAACTGCAACCTGACACCCCTCCCCATCATGCGCCCATATCTGGTGACATCTTTGTGTCATTGAATATGCCGCAGCCTGTCTGAATGTCTGATTAGCATGCGGCTCCCTGGGAACGTGCGGAGAGGCTGTCAGGAAGCGGAGGTGCTCTCTCTGGTTTTGGGGGTCATTTCTGAGCACAGAAGGTGGCCAGCTTCAGTGAGCCCTGTGCAGTCTCCATCTGGGGACCCAAGACTGGCCCAGCCATTAGAGGTACCCAAGAGGGTCCCTGCCCGGTGGCTGAGGGTCACAGGAGGGTGGGGACCCCTGATGTGGCAGGCTCAAGGTAACTTTCCAAAAGGGAAGGATCTGTGCAGAGGAGGGAGGTGACCTGCCCGAGGTCTCACGGAGGCTGGACCTCAGGGAGGGGCCACTGGGCTGTCCCCAGCTCTGAGGCAGGGTGCCCAGAGGGGGTTTCTGCAGACAGGTACGTCCCCCAGCCTCAGGCCAACCCACAAAGGAGCAGAGAGGGGACCCTGGGGACCCTGTGGCAGCCAGGGGAGCAGTGGGCAGGACTAGACCCAGCTTCCTGGGGGGTCCCAGGAGGAGGAGAGCATGACATAAAAGTCAAATCTCTTAACTGTCTTTAAGTGACCTCCACAACGTACCCATCTTTTTTTTTTTTTCTTTTATGGTACCAGGGATGGAACCCAGGGGCCCTCGATCCCTGAGCCGCGTCCCCAGCCCTATTTTGTATTTTATTTAGAGACAGGGTCTCCCCGAGTTGCTCAGGGCCTCACTAAGTGGCTGAGGCTGGCCTCCAACTTGCAGTCCTCCTGCCTCAGCCTCCCGAGTCGCTGGGATGACAGGCGTGAGCCACCATGCTGGGCCACTGTACCCATCTGTGGCCCTTTGAATACCCACAGCTTAAAAATAGCAGGGACTACTTACTTGGGTCCTGAATCCGCTTCTGGGACAGGACTGGGCCATGGAGGCATGTCCCCAACCCACCAGGTGTCAGTGGGGTGAGGTCAGCCAGGGCTAGAAGGTTCCGTTCCAAGATGGGACACCCACAGGGCAGCGATCTGGGCCTGGCTGGTCAGGGATCTGGCCCTGAAGACCCGGGGCTCGTCTTCCTGTCCACGAGCTGCTTGGGCTTCCCCACAGAATGGCGGCCGGCTTCCAAGATGGAGAAGCAGAAGAAAATTTAAAAAAAAACACAAAACGTAAAAGCAGCCAATGTCTTCAGGTGGGGGTTCAGATACGCTCACGTCCTACTTGTCCAGAGGCTGAAACCCAGGGGGCAGGGACACAGACCACCCCTCCACCAGGGAAGAATCACACATGGGAAGTGGTCCCAGATCCCAAGACTGGGTTCAACACCCCCCTGGGCCCCCAGGACTAGGCCCAGCCCCTTCCAGACTGTGGTCTGTCACCCACCCCAGCAGAGGTCCTGTCCCGTCCTCTCTCCAGCACTGGCCAGATAAAGGGCAGGCGCTCCGTGGTTGTTTAAAAGGGACCGAGCGGCCCAGTCCCTCAACCTCAGCACCCATCGTCACCAAGATATAGGAAAAGGAATATGAAGCCTTTATTGATAAATAGGTTACATTAAAATTGAATAATGGCTGATCAGAGAATAAAGATCCAGAGAAAAATCACCATCTCTGCCCACCCTAGCCTCTACCTCTCGGCCTCTACCTCTCAGCCTCCTCTACCTCCTGGCCTCTACCTCTCAGCCTCTACTTCTCGGCCTCCACCTTCTTGCTGCGTGCTTTGGAGGATGGGGACTTGGTGGGCAGCCGGGGCTTTCTCAGGCCCTCGGGGGCCTCTGTCTTCCTGGCCACAGCTGAGGGGACAGGTGTGGACCCATCACCCTTCCGAGGGACAGCAGCAGCTTTGGGTCTTGATCTCTGCCCAGGCCCCTGGCCAACCTTCTCTTTAGGGGTCTTGGCTGCCATCTTCCTTCTGGGTGGGGAGGAGACTCCACTCTTGACCTACAAGAAGCAAAGTCAGGGACAGGGAGACAGAGCTGGGTGTGCAGCTCGGAGCCCACGTGGGTAGGATGGGAGGCCAGGATGGGAGGCCCGGATGGGGGGCCCGGATGGGAGGCCCGGATGGGAGGCCCGGATGGGAGGCCCGGATGGGAGGCCCGGCTCAGAGGCTCTGGACAAGTGACCTCATCTCCCCTCCCCTCAGCCCCTTGGCCATGAAACAGGGAGGGCCACGCCCCAGAGGGGAGGAGAGCAGACTGTGGGTTGGGGGGACATGGACCAGGGTTCCCCCACCCGGGCTGATCCCTGCAGGGCTCGGGCGTGGGGTGCCCGAGGTCGGCCTGCTCAGGGCGAGACACAAGACCCCGGGGTCACCCAGGTGCCCACCTGCCCGTCAGCGGGCTTTGAACCCGCGTTCTTCACCTCTGAGCTTGCGTTCTTCACCTTGGGTCTCCCACAAGCCTCTGCATCTGGAGCAGGTTGGGGGGACCGTCATGGGGGAGGGAAGAGTCAGGGCCTCTGGACCCCCCCCCCAGCACTGGGCAGAGCCTTGGACCCCAGATGCCCTCCCCGCACGGTGGGCAGACTGAGCTCGCTGCAGACCCCCCACAGCGCCCACCCCTCCGTCTCTGGGCCTCTGCACGTGATTTCCTGGGGCACCTCCTCCGGGAAGCCCTCTTGGATTCCTGCTTCAGGGACCACGGGGGGCTGTGGCCTCCCTGGGCTCCCTCCTTCCTAACGCTTGAGCTGCCTCCGTAACCCCGTGGGCCACCCCGAGCTGTCTGTCAGGGTTCACAGGGGAGCCCCTGCCCCACCCCCCACGGTCCCTGTCCCCGTCCCTGTCCCTCACCCACCTGGCTGACGCCTCTTGCCCTTGGCTCTCCCCTTCTCACTGGTCCCATTGGCACTGGAAGGGGCCCGAGTGGCCTTGGCTGGCTTGGGGGGAAGCTTGGTGGCCTTGGTGTCCTTGGCCTCCCTGCGGCCTCTCTTGGGGACCTTCTGGTTGGCTGGCCCTGGCCTGGGGACGGTCCTCGATGCCTGGCCAGAGATGGACGCTTCCTTCTGCTCCGCGCCTGGTTTCTTGGAGCCCTTCCCAACAGCCTCCCTGGGCCTCCTGGGGACCTTGGGGACCGACGTCTTCCTGGCCTGGACTTTCTTCTTGTACTTGGGGACCAGCTGGAGGGAGGGAGAGAGGGTGGGGTGGTACCAGAACCAGCTCGGGGTGCCCCTGCCCCGCACCCAGGAGTCCTGAGAGGGTGTGGGCACGTCAGGGGGTGCGGGGACTCCTGACCTGGCCTCCCGGCCCCAGCTCTGAAGGGATTGCCACCTCCAAACCCTCTCAGCACCACGTCACCCCAAAAACTGGAACCAGGCTCCCAATCATGCCTGACGCTGGGCACAGTGGCTCACGACCGTCTTCCCCCCTCCTCGGGAGGCTGAGGCAGGAGGATCTCAAGTTGGAGGCCAGCCTCAGCCACTTAGCAAGGCCCTAAGCCACTCAGGGAGGCCCAGACTCAAAATAAAATATAAAAAGGGCAGGGGACGGGGCTCCTCCAAGCTCAAATCATTTATAGGGTCAGCGTCCTTTTTCGGGCTTGTGTTTGTTTTTCATTTTTCATTTTGAGACGGGGCCTGGGCTGGCTTGAATCTGTGACATTCCTGCCTCAGCCTCCGGGGTCCCTGGGGCTACCGGCCTGTGCCACTTTGTGCAGCTATTTTAAGTCTTTTATCTTCTCCTCCATTATTGGGGGGTTGAACCCCGGGACAGTTAACCACGTTGCCACATCCCCCGTCCTCCCCACTTTTCCCACTTTGAAACAGGGTTTGCCAAATTGTCGAGGCTGGCCTCCAACTTGCAATCCTCCTGCCTCGGTCTCCCGAGTCGCTGGGAGTACAGGCGTGTGCCACCGCACCTGGTGTGTCCTTATTCTTAAAGGACAAAATTAAGTGAGGATTTACTCATATCACTTTGTAAACTTAAATGGAGAATTACGTTATTCTTTATACCAAGGAACGTATAATGGTGGCTCATGCCTAAACTCCCAGCAACTCGGGAGGCTGAGGCAGGAGGATCGCAAGTTGGAGGCCGGCCTCAGCAACTCAGGGAGACCCCATCTCTAAATAAAATATAAAAAGGGCTGGGGACGGGGCTCAGGGGTGAAGCACCCCAGGGTTCAATCCCTGGGACCAAAAGCAAAAGAGTGAAAATTAAAACCCACGGCTCCCCCTTCCAGACTGGCAAGGCTGGCCTCGGGGAGTCTGACCTCGGAGACTTCAAAGTCAACGTCAAGGTCAATAAAAGTGCTGAGGGGATTGCTACCCTCTATGGTCAGCCAGGACCCTGAAAGGACCCCTCTCAAGGGTCCTGCATGTGGCACTGGGGGTTAAACCCAGGGGCACTTCACCACGGAGCTACATCCCTCCGTGTTGTTGAGGCTGGCCTCTAACTCGCGATCCTCTAGCCTCAGCCTCCCGAGTTGCTGAGATGGCAGGCGTGTGCGCCATTGTGCTGGGCTTCGGCTGACTTTTCTAGTAGGAAGAAAAAAGAGGTTTGGGGCCATTAAAGGGGTCAGCCACTTACTGGTTCTTGAAAGCTCAGAAAAGAAAAATAACCAAGGAACCTGAGATACACAAAAATAAACCAAGCCAAGAGGTGACAGGGAAAAGCCTCTTCCGCGTGGCTGCCCGGCTCTAAAAGCCCTTCGGCCTCCTGCCTCTGCACAAGACGGAGGAGCTCGGGGCTCCCCAGGGCCTTCCATTTAGGGGAAGATGGAAGAAATAACTCGGGTTCGCCCCGCACCCCTCCAGGCGCATGGGACATAGTGAAGGCCTGCGTTCCCAACCTTGCCTGGCCCCTCCTGCCCTGGGGACTTTGGTGACCACACTTCTGCTCCTAGTCGGCCTTGTGAATCTCACCGAGTTGCTGAGGCCGGCCTCCAACTTGCGATCCTCCTGCCTCAGCCTCCCGGGTCGCTGGGATGACAGGCAGGTGCCCACCCCACCCACCCAGCTAATTTTCCCCTTCAAAATTCTGGTTTCCCTTCCCACCAAATCAGGGTCAGTGTTAGTACCCAGATTCAGTGTCCTGTCCCATCTGTCCTGTAGGTGACGGCTCCTCCCCTCAAAACACTGTTCAGGTGGTTCTGTTAGAGGATGGACCTCTGCAAATGGGTCCAAGGGAAGAGATGAGAACATGAGGCTGCAACTCAACCCCAAGGACCAGAGGAGTCGCTCTCTGTCCCCACAAGATCAGCAAAGACTCCAAAAGAGGCAGGTGTGTGACACTTTATCTCAAAATAAAAAAATAAAAAAGGCTACAGATGCAGGACAGGGGTAAAGTGCCCCTGGGTTCCATCCCCAATACCAAAAAATAGAAATAAACATGTAGCCGGGCATGGGGGACGCACACCTGTCATCTCAGCGACTCAGGAGGCTGAGGCAGGAGGACCGCAAAGTGGAGGCCAGCCTCAGCCACTGACTGAAGGACCAGGGATCCCATCCTCTGCTACAGTGAAGGTGCCCAGGACTTAGAGCCAATATAGCAGACACGGTCCTTGACCTCTGAAAATGTCCCCAAAAAGCAACGAAGACACATACTGCCCACAGGGTGACCAGGAGCCCAGGGGAGGTGCCTGAGAACAGCCTCCCTGGAGGCTGGACGTGCAGGAAGAGCAAGCAGAGCGGATGAGAGCCGCGTGGTCTAGGACGGCAGCATGTGCAAAGGCCCTGGGGCCTCCCAACTCACTTTGAAGCTGCCGGTGGCGCCCCTGGCCCTGGAGTTGACCGGCCTGGTGAGCAGTCCTCTCCGCATGCCCGTGTCCAGGGCCTGCTTCAGCAGGTACTTGAAGCGCCCGGCGTCCGCCGCCGTCGGGTACTTGCTCTGGATGTAGACTTTGATGGCCACCACCGACATGCCCCGCGACATGCCCCGCGGCTGCTCCCTGGCCTTCAGCGCCTCCAGCACCATGCGGAGCATCGTGGGATTCCGGCGGAAGACCCAGTTGTAGCTTTGGCCTGCGAGGGACGGCAGGCCCTCAGCCGGTGCACCCTGCAGTCTAACCCTCTACGCACCAGCTGCTGCAGAGCCCCATGGGTGGAGGGTCAGGGCTTTTTGAAAAAATAAATAAATGGGGCCAGTTGTCCAGATGTAATCACCGATGCAGAGGACGCCCGGGGGGCTCTGGGGGACAGCCACAGGGGCAGTGTCTGCAGAACTCAGGCTGCAGGGCTCGCAGCCTGGTTTCTTTTACCCACAAGCCATGGGGCGGGGAGGACGCATCCCACCAAAATCTGCTCATGGGGATCTGGGGGTGTGGCCCAGTGGCAGAGCTCATGCTAAGGGGAGCCACACCCTGAGCTTCATCCCCGGGGCCCAAAATACTGTGCATATATTTATATACAATATCCCAGCGGCTCAGGAGGCTGAGGCAGGAGGATCGAGAGTTCAAAGCCAGCCTCAACCAAAGAGAGGCCCTAAGCAGCTCAGGGAGACCCTGTCTCTAAATAAAATGCAAAATAGGGCTGGGGACCGGGCTCTGTGACTGAGGGCCCCTGGGCTCAATCCCCAGTATTTAAAAAAAAAATCAGATTAATGGCTGTTAAGGGTTAGAGGTTTAGAGGTGGCGATGGGGACAGACTGGTAATTGGCACAGATTTTCTTTTTGTGGAAATGAAAATATTCTAAAAAGTGAACGGATATGTGCTGGATGTACTCAGAGCCGTTCTCTTTAAATGGGTGAATCATGTAGTTTGTGAATGATCCCCAAGTTATTTTTTTACATTTCAGTTATTATTTATTGATTTACATCTCTGGGACTGAACTCAGGGACACTCAACCCCTGAGCCCCGTCCCCAGCCCCTTTTTATATTTTATTGAGAGACAGGGTCTCGCTGAGTGGCTTAGAGCCTCACTAAGTCGCTGAGGCTGGCCTCCAACTTGCCAGCCTCCTGCCTCAGCCTCCTCCCTCACTGGGATTATAGGCGTGAGCCATGCACTCGGCTTCATTTGCAAAATCTAGGACTCCCCACGGGAATCCCCTGGCTGCAAAAGATTTTTTAAAATTTGTTTTTTAAAGTGGGGGACAGAAACGGGAATCTCACCCCAAACTCGAGACCTAGAAGCAAACTGTGGAGAGGCCTAACCCAAGGCCCCCTCTGCAGGCCTCCGGGGGGAAGGAGCCCAGGGCCTGGGATTGCTCTGGGTGGGACTCGGGACCCCCGGGCTCAGCCCCCTCTGGGCCTCAGTCTTCCCATCTGCCCAGTGGGGATGGGCACCTGCCCAGGCTCTGGATGAAGAGTCCCCCAGCCCACCCTCTGCAGCACCTCCACCCCAGAGAGCCACCCCCAAGGGTGTTCCCTGGGCCTGTGTCCTCCCCCAGCCCTCATTCAGCACTTATTCCATGCCTGCTGTATACCCAGGTGCCCAAAGCAAAAGCCATGCCCCCCTCAACCCGGGCTCCGTCTCTCCCAGGAACCCTGTCCCTCCCTGTAGCTACCTCGAGGTCAAGTGGCCAGGGGCCTGGAAATCGGGGAGCCTGGCCCGGCCTCCGAGGCCCCTGCTCCGTCCCCTCCACCTCGATGCCCGGCAGCTGCGGCCGGGCCTCCTCCCCCCACCAAGGCTGGCGATGGTTTGCAGCTGGGGAGACGCCATTGGCCTCTGAGGCCTCCCTGGGCCGGCCTCAGCCCCAGGCCCAGGCCTCCCTGCCTCTGCTGGGGCATGAGGTCTTTGGCCAAGTGGTCGGCTGTGGGGACACGGCTATGGGGACAGTGCCAGGGCCAGAGTGGGACAAGGGAGGACTGGGGGGAGGGGGAAGGGCTCCCAGGAGGGCCCCCCTCTCTTGCTTACCTGGCTTCTCAGAACCAGAAGGCCCAGATGACCTGGCAGGGGCGCTAGAGGCGGCAACGCTAGTAATTCCACTGGGAGCCATCAGACAGGGGACGCAGGCCCAGACGTGAGGACGCGGGGCGCCTCCGCCTCCACTTATACCTTCCTCAGCCCGCCCCTCCAATCAGCCCTGATGAGGCGTGGCCCACCCAGCAGCTGATCAGGCGGGAGGGTGCAGGGCTCCCAGCAGCTCCTTTGGCCCCAGAGTCCTGGCTCTGCCACCCCATCCTGGGTCGCTTGGCTTCTCTGGAGCTCAGCCTCGACAGTGAGATGAGGACCCCAGAGCCTGAGGCCACCCCCCACAACCTCTGCCCACCAGGGGCTGGAGACAGGGATGGGGAATTGGTAGCACCTGAGTTTGTGGGCGACCACGGAGGCCCTTCAGTGCCAGGGTGCGAGATGAGCTGCTCCAGCCTGGGCCACTGTTCCCAGGCCACCCCCGGCCTCCGTTTCTCAAAAAGCTGAAGGCGTGTGGCCACAGGGGCTTACCTAGATCAGATGTCCCCTCAGGACGCCTTGAAGCCAAGGCCCTTCTATTCTTATTTTATCCTAGGGACTGAACCCAGGGGCGCTTTACCACCCAGCCCCAGCCCCAGCCCTTTCTATATTTTTATTTTGAGACAGAGTCTTGCCGAGTTGCTGAGGCTGGCCTCCAACAAGCGATCCTCCTGCCTCAGCCTCCACAGTCGCTGGGATGACAGGAGAGCACCACGTTGCCCAGTGCCAATACCTTCCTTTTGTCTTGTCTTTTGGAGAAAAAATAAAATAAATCAGGAAGGGGGTCAAGGAGCGGCTCAGCAAAAAATCTTAATCAATAAGGATCATGTCCATTGAGAGAATGGATAAGAGGCAGGAGGAGACCATGCACCCGAAAAGACGACAGGGGGACTCTGGGCTCATCCTCTTGTTGGCACTCGAGAAATTCAAACAGAGACGATTCTCAGATACTATTTTCCCCCATCAAACTGACAAAAGTTGAGATGTTGGCAAAGACGTGGGCCTGGCAGCCCCTGCCGGGGTGTAAATTGGAGCAGGGCCTCCTGGGGGAGGTGATCCCGGGGGCCCAGCCACTCCACGGCTCCCTCCTCGGGGCTCAGCTGTATTATCTGGAAAAAGGAAAAAAAAATATAGATTTATATATTAGAAGTAACTTCCACGAGGCTCGCAGGGTCCCGGTTCGATTATTTCCGGCCTGGAGACTATTTTTGCAACCGTTTAAGATGACGAGGTGGATTCCAACGAGGGTGACGTGATGTTTCACACGGAGCAGATGACAAATATTGAAGAGTCTGTCAAAACTGACACCCAGAGACGTGTCAAAACACGCGGCAGCTGGGAGGGGGGACTGGCAGGCAGCTCAGGCAGCCGTTCCAGAACGTCTGATATCACAAAAGATGGACATGACCCACCACCTGCCCGTTCCACTTTTAGCATTCACTGAGGGATGCTTATTGTGACACGCGAGAACGTTTGCTGGGATCTCAGCAGAAATCCAAAACCATCTAAATGCCCGCGAAGAGGAGGGAGCACTAGGCACCCTGTGGAATAGTATACAGCTGTGAAAATGGATGAGCAAGAATGCAGACCGGGCTCCTGCTTGAACACAAAACGTGTGCGTGTGTGTGTGTGTGTGTGTGTGAGAGAGAGAGAGAGAGAGAGAAGGCACAGAAGGTGTGAAAAGATTCACACCATCATCACAGCCATGGTCACCCCTGAAGGAGCTATACGATGTGGAAGGCGTGGGTTTGAAAGAGCCTTACATTTTTTTTCTTTTTTGCATGTGGTCTCCCTATTGCTGGAACTTTCCCAGAGGACCCTCCATTACCAGAGGTTTCCACTGAGGCAAGCTGTGCCCCTCAAAATGTTATAAAGTGAAAGTGGACCTCACTCTCCTGCCTAGCACCTCCCATGGCTCCCTACTGCCCTTGGATAAAAGTCGAGGTCTTCCGTCTGGCTTCTGGCACCTTCTTTTCCCTTGATCTCCACCATTCAAGCCCACTGTGGGGTCTGGAGGTGTAGCTCAGAGGCACTGTGTGTAGCATCTACCAGGCCCTGGGTTCAAGGAAGGAAGAGAGGGAGGAAGGACCACGATGCGGCTCTTGGAATGGGCTGTGCCCTGACACTTGGGCATTACCCTCTGTGCTTCCTCTGTGTGTGTCAAATTCATGCAAAAACATCCCCACTTTCCACCACCGCCCACATCCATCCTGATCTGCGATGTAACTTTCCTTAGATCTGAGCTGCAACTTGCTTTGATCAATACACTATGGTGGGAGTGATGTCATGCACGTCCCACTGCCCTACAAATTAGCCCTAGCTGGCCTGCTGGAGGCTGAGAGGCCCATTACCCAGTCACCCCTACTGTCCAGCCAATTGTTGGCTAGCCAGCTAGTCCCCAGTCAACCTTCCAGTTGACCAGATGCTTGAATGATCCCAACAGAGCTTCCCCAAGCCTGATCCAGGTCAGCAGAACCACCCAGGTAATCCACAGAGTTGTGAGCAATGATATGTGGTTTCTTGTTTTAAGCCATGATTTCTGGGACTGTTTGTCATGCAGCACTAGCTAACTGATACACCAACAATTCTGGGGCTGTTTGTCACACAGCATTAGCTAACGGATACACATGGCCTAGAAAGCGACCTACACCCCCATCTAGCTTTTCTGGAATATTTCCCATGCACCTCCCCTGATCCCTAGAAGGTTAGGATGCAGCCACCCCTGGTCTGACCTCTCAGGAGCTCCCAGCATTCCAAGTTACAATTCTGCTTTACCTGTCCTTCACCCTTGAGCTCTGGGGCCTGGGCCTGTCGTGTTCCTTGGAGGTACCCCCAGTGCCACTCATGACACCTGGCATACAGGAGAGGCCTCATGCCACTTGGTAGGACTTGCTAGCCTGCTGCGGAAGTTCCGGTATCACAGCCCGGGGAAGGAGATCCAGACCCCATCTGCTGGATCCAGTGCCAACCGGGGGCAGCCATTTCAATCCCTTTGGTGGGGCGTTTCCAAGAATTGAGAAATACAAAAAAAAAAAAAAAAAAAAAAAAAAGTGACATAAACATTCTCATGAGCTTTTGCAGAAGCCCCGCTCCGGGGCTGTGCCAGGAGAGATTTTTGCATCGAGGGGGAAGAAGTTCTAAAATGTGCAGCATGATCTAAAAATTCCTCGGGGGGGATTTGCCATTTTACAGGGAAATGGTAATCAGGAGCCTCAGACTGCGGGAGAGAGCACGGGCCATTTGATAGACTTTTTTTTTTTTTTCTTCCCCTGAGGCCTGAGGTTGAACTTCAGCTGAAAACTTTGCTGCTGTCTTTGGGACCGCGGGCTCGTACTTGTGGACTTTCCTTATGGACTTTCGAAGCGGTTTTAAAGCGTCACTCCAGTCTCTGTAGGATCAGGACATTTTATTTCCGGATTTTAGGTCAATAAATGTAACCTTAATGTCATGCTGTCGTAGGTGCAAGGGAACCTTGCCTGGGGCTGCATGCCTGGCTATAACTTAGGAGGATATTATTCATAGAAGGGGAGTGATGGGGATGAATTTTGGGGGCAGTGAGCCCCTGCTTCCCTTTTTCTCTGAGATCCCCCACCATCATATTAACCTCTCCTCCTGTCTCTCTCCTACCACACCCCGGGGCTTTCTCTTTTGAACTTAGTTTTCATCCCTGGGGAGGGAACTCGCATTTAACTGAACACCTACTATGCACGGGATCCTTTATAGCAACCATCTCATTAGTCCCTTTAGGAAGTCCTACCAAGTGGCATGATTCTCCTGTTTGCCTAAGGGAGCTTAGGTGTGCGGCAGTCCAGGGGCTTGCCCTGAGGCCACACAGCTGGGAAGACCGTGCACTATCTTTTGGGGGGGGGGACAACTTGGACTGTCAGGGAGGTGTCTCTCTCTACTGGAGACCGCGGTGAGACCTGCTCCCACCTGACCCTTCTCTAAGTTCACCAGCACATTCTGACCTGGGACGGTTTGCTCGGATTTGGTTGGATTGTATACAACAGGTGATCTAGAAGTGTCCTGGCTGCCTGGAGCCTGGGGTCCAGGTGGGGGCAGCCTTCCTGCAACTGACACACCCTTCAGGTCTGGCAGTCACCCTGTAAGAGGCGGTCAGGTCCATCTAGATCCAGGGGTAAAGGGGGACATTCTCTCCACCAGGGAGAAGACAGAGAATGTTCTGGTTGGTCAGGAAGCTGTTTCCTGGGACATGAGTCCTCAAAATAAGCAGACGGGGGTAGGGGACCTCTGGGATAGGACAAAAGGGGCAGTTAAAACGCCTCGGCCCTGTTCACTGCCATCCCCGGCCCAACAGAGCAAGGGACCAGCCATAGGAATGTGCCTCGTGCCCCAGGGTGGGAGGGCGGCGTGGTTGGACGACGCTCCGCTCCGGGACCTGACGGGCTTAGAGCCCGTCCCTCTGGGCTGATTGCGAGCAGTTTACTCGGCCTCCCAAGATCCCCCTTTGGGTAACAGCTCCCCTGCGTTTCTTTGGGGAATCCTCCTCTCCCGCCCTCACACTGCTGGGCTCATGTCAGGTTGACGCCATCTTGTACGCTAGGGAAGGGAAGATCAGGTGACCTGAGTCTGGCCAATCAGAGGATGAAACCCCCAACCCAGCCATAGTGATTGGCTTAGGGGGTTATCAGGTGACCCAGACCTGGCCAATCAGAGGATAGATCTCAGCCCAGCCTCAGTGATTGGCTCAGGGTTTATCATGTGACTTGGACCTGGCCAATCAGAGGATGAATCCTCAGCCCAGCCACAATGATTCACTTAGGGGTGATCACGTGGCCTGATCTTAGCCAATAAGCATCCTGCTGTGGACCTTAGTTGTCCTAAGGGGAAAGAGGCGCCCACTTTCTGCAGGGCTCGCTGAGCTTGGAGTTCCTTGACCTGTTTCTGCTCCCTCGTGGGGACAGTCGGCCTCTGAATGAAACAGAGGAAAGAAAGAAGGAGAAACAGAGCTGATCACATCGTTGGAGCCCCTGAATCCAGCTGTGCCTGCAGCCCTGGGCTTTTAATTTAAATGAGCCAATAATATCTCCCTTTTGCTTCTGCCCAGTTGAGTTGCAACCCAAGGCATCCTGGCTGACATCTGGAGGGAGATAGCAAAGAGTGGCCATGATTGACGCCCCAGCTGTCCCCTGCCCCACCCCTAGGGCACTGAGGTTCTTTGATCTGGGGCTCCTGCATGCTTTCCTGCCTTGGTTTCTCATGGCAGCTGTTTCTCCATCCTGATGCCCCTGGCGGGGGGTGTCTCTGGGAAGGCCACCTCCGAGCCTGGTAGTGCCAAAGTGGGTGACCATCTGCAGCATCCAAGGGAGTATTTAAGCAGCTAACAAAAAACTTAGAGAGATAATATAACTTGCTCCTGGTTTCACAGATCCCCTGGGTCTCTCTGGATTCCCAAGTTAGGTTTCCTCCATTCTGAGGCTGCGCCCACCCCTCACCCCCAAAGGGGCTCTGGGCTGCTTGTCTCTGCCCATTGGGCAATCCAGCACCCCCAGGGCCAGGGATCAGGTGGAGGATGTCCAGTTTCAATCCGTCCTGCAGGGGAAAAGCTTCAGAGGGGGAAAAAAGAAACCACCACGGCTCATGCAAAGTCTAAGAGCTGAGCTTTTAATGCCTCCGTTTGTCCTGGTCTCCGGGCAGAGCCGGAGAGAGCTGGAACTTCCAGCTTTGGTTACGTGGCAATGGAGCCGCTCATTTTTGATGTCCCAGGGTTCCGGCATAGACAGAGAATGGGCCAGCAGCTGCCTGAGACGGGCTCACCCATCAAGGGAGCTGGAAACTGGACCCATGAACCTTCCCCAGGGAAGGGCACCGGGCTCTTTCCTACCCTTTGTTTCTAAGTTCTTCAAGCTTAGAAAATAACCCTGGGGCCTCAGCTGTCCATTAAGTTTGGCCAGGTCAGCATGGCTTCTAGAAGTTTCCTACTGGCCCTGGGCAGAGAAGCAAAGCTTCCCAAAACCCAAAGTGTCTCCATATTCTGCATTGGGACGCGGAGGCTCTGGGCAGGGGTGCCACACTGGAGGGGAGACCCCAGGCCTTGGCTCCAGCCCCCACACCCAATGTTTGACACTATTCTGCTTTCCTGTTATTGTCTCTTCCTCGAGGCCCCCAGCCTGTCCCCAGTCCACGTCTGGACCCAATGCCTGGCTGATATTTAAAAACCTGCAAAGGGTGCGCGAAACCCCATTGTGCTGATGGCCCGTCCCCAGATGGTCACTATCAAGCAGAAATGATCAAATTAATTGTATTGATTGATGTTACCGATGACGGTCACAGCCGTGTGGACAGCCACTCAGTCTATTTACAGAGAGATTAAACACACTCACGCGCACTCACACTTGGTGTTTGCAGCAGCTGCGTGTTGGGGTCAGGGAACTGGGATTTCATTCTCGGGGGGACAGAGTGAGACCCCGTCGAGGGAGCAATGAGTCCTGGGCCACCTGTCCCACTTCTGCGGTGCGGAGCGGGGGCGGGGGGTCTGGGAGGACAGACGTGTATGTTAACTCCTTCACCCATCCACTACTTCACCCACTCCTTCCTTCGTCCGTCTAGCATTTATTAAGCACCTACTATGTGCTCCGTTCGGTGCTGCCACACTGAGCCCTAAGCTGAGACACCTCCCCAGAGAGGAAAAGTTCTCATGTTCCTGAGAGATGAGTTGGGGGGAAGAGGGGACAGATCCTGCTGGCCCCTGGGAACCGGGGGACCTGAGTTTGGGGGTGGTCTTGGTTGTCAGGCTGTCCCCTGAAATTAGGGAGCCTCGTTTTTTTCTTCTCATTCTTTTTTTTTTTTTGGAGGGGGGAGAGGGTACTGGGGGATGGAACCCAGGGGCACTTAACCACTGAGCCACCTCCCCAGCCCTTTTTTAAAAATTATGTTTTATTTAAAGACAGGGTCTCCTGGAGTTGTTCAGGACCTTACTAAATTGCGGAGGCTGGCCTCCAACTTGCGATCCTCCTGCCTCAGCCTCCCGAGCCGCTGGGATGACAGGCGTGGGCCACCACTTTAAAAGCAAACAAACCCAGGGAGTCTGTGTGACCTCCTTCGACAGGCACTGCTCCTGGGCAGGTGGCTGTGGCTGGGAGGGGACGTGGGGGATGGGAGACTCCTACAATCTGTCGAGATCCGTTGGCCACAGGGTCCTTGGCAGGGCTTAGGCTGGGGCCACCTGGCTGGTCTCCGTCCTGGATACGGTGGTCGAGGCCTCGTCCTCACCCAGTGGGTTCTTGCCACAGCAGATGGTGGTGAGCATGCAGTTCCGGAACTGGAAGGTCAGGGGGTGGAGTCAGGGCCAGGTTGTCCCCAAAGAGCAGAGCAAACCGGCACTGGTCAGTGAGGCCCCCTGCCCTGCTCCTGCCCCCCACAGCCTCCACTCCCCTCTCCAACCAGCTTTCTGAAGGAAACCTGTTGAATATAAGTTTCCCTAGGCCGTGGAGACACCTGGGATGCCACACAAAGGAACTTTGTCACCCATGCCACCCCATGGCATCCTCCATGTGCCAAGGGCATTCTGTAAAACTATCTCATTTAATTCAAGAGCGATCCTCCTGCCTCAGCCTCCCTAGCCGCTGGGATGACAGGTGCGTGCCACCTCGCCCGGCTCTCATTGATTCTTTAAAAGCAAACAAACCCTTTGGAATGCTGCCCTTTCAAGGGAGGAGGAAATTGAATGAAGCCCAGAGAGGGAACTTGAGCAGCCTGAGGTCACACAGCTATGTAACAGCAGAGCGGGCATTGGAACCCAATGTGCCTCGCTGCAGAGAACAGCTCCCCACCATGGATTCCACAGAGAAACCCGCGATTTTTGGTACTAGATCCCTTTATCCTTTAGCCTTCAGAATATGATTGGTTCAGTTTTATGGAGACTGGGACTGTCCCGATCCCAGGCTTGGAATTGTTTGACATTGATTCATTCATTTTGGTACCAGGGACTGAACTCTGGGGTGCTTCACCCCTGAGCCCCGTCCCCAGCCTTTTTTATATTTTATTTAGAGACAGGGTCTCCCTGAGTCGCTTAGGGGCCTCACTAAGTTGCTGAGGCTGGCCTCCAACTGGCGATCCTCCTGCCTCAGCCTCCCCAGCCATGTGCCTAAGGAGGCGGTACCATTTGACTTTTAAACCAGGCTTCCAGAACCCCCTGGAGCATCAGGTGACAGTCCCACCCTGGAGCATCAGGGGCCCCCAGAGGGCTTGTGAGAAATGCAGGTTCTGGGGGGACGGGTCACCGCCAGAGTGAGCTCTGAAGCCACCAGCTCTGGGTGGGACCCAGGAATCTGCATTGATCCCGAGCTCCCGGGTGGGACTGTCAACCCCAGGTCCCTCCATCCCAGCCCGCCACCAGGACGGCCCTGGCCCCAGACTGTAGCTCGTGCCCCCTGGGCAGCAGCCCTGGCCCGGGGACGGTCCCCTCCCACCTGCTTGTTCATCAGGATGTAGATGACGGGGTTGTAGAGGGCGGAGCTCTTGGCGAAGAAGGCGGGGATGGTCATGAGGACGGGGCCGAAGTCGGAGCCCTGGTGGGTGAAGATGTGCACGGCCACGCTGGCGTAGGGCACCCAGCAGATGAGGAAGGCGACGACCATGATGATGACCATGCGGGTCACCTCCTTTTCTGCCTTCTGGGTGGTGGCCGACTCCTGCTGCTGGGCGGCTGCCTGCAGGGACACGGGAGAGGGACAAGGGACCGGATGGCCCCGGATGACAGCGCCCCGCGGCCTTCCCCTCCAGCTCCCCGGCTGGGCTCAGGGTGGGAGCTGGGGCTGCGCATGCGCGTTAGCGGGTGGGCGGGGCTCCGCGGCCTCCCGGGCCTCTACCTCCTTGACGGTGAAGAGCAGCCGGCCGTAGCAGAAGAAGATGATGACCAGGGGGATGGCGAAGTGCACCACGAACATGTAGATGACGAAGGACTCGTTGTTGAGCTCGGGCTTGGGCGTGTAGTAGTCGATCCCACAGGAGCACTGCATGCCTTCGGGGAGGTACCTGGGGGGGACAGGGCATGGGGACACGGGTAAGGGACACCCCAGCCCTGAGCTGTCGACACACCTGCAGCAATGGCTGCACCCTCACAGAACCCCCCCACCCTGTCCCCATTCACAGCCTCTCCAGCCATGTGGAGGCCCCAGGTTATGCAAGGCAGAGGGGACATGGATTGCAAGTGCCCTGTGATTGCACAAATTGGGGTCTTCAGGCCAAAGATGGACCTAAATGCATTTAAGGGGTCTTTGTGCAACAACAGAAATCAAGAGGCGTGATGCCAATGCTTGTGGTACACTCCTGTCATCCCAGCAGCTCCGGAGGCTGAGGCAGGAGGATCGCCAGTTGGAGGCCAGCCTCCATAATTTAGTAAGGTCCTGAACAACTTAGCGAGCCCCTGTCTCTAAATAAATCCAGAGTGGCCGCTGGCTGTGACAGAGGGTGTGGGGGCCAAATTGGAGAAGATGGGCAGGAGCCGGGGTGGACTTGAACCCAACCAGCCTGAGAGCTGGACCCCAGGAGGACGGAGGGAGGAGAGAAGTGAGGAGAAAGGACAGGAATTTCCCAGAACAGAGGGACACGAGGCCTCCGGGCACCTGAGTCACCTCTCTGGGTGTCCAAACCACTGTCCCCACTTCTTGTCATCTGGAGACGGTGGCTTGGAGGTCAGATGGGACTCAGTTGCCAGGGGACACAGGGTGGCCCTCTGTCCGAGGCCGACTTGGCTTCTCAAGGTGCTGAGGCCCAGGGTCGGGAGAAGCCTCCTGTGGGACGCTGGGCCACAGAGGATTGGAATTTGGCCTTGGGCTTAGTTGAGGATTATGGGGGCTCACCCAAGACGGTGTAGGTTTGGCACCATTTGACCCAGCTCTCCCACTCCTCGGGGTGGACCCAGAGGACTTAAAATCAGCCTACAACTGTGACGCAGCCACATCGGTGTCGACTGCAGCTCATTTCACAATGGCTGAGCTCTGGAACCAACCTGGGTGGCCTTCAACAGGGGAAGGGATAAAGAAACTGTGGTCTGTATACACAGTGGAATATTACTCGGCCATGAAGAAGAATGAAATCGTGGCATTTGCCGGTAAATGGATACGGAGCCGGAGACTCTCATGCTAAGAACCGGAGACCAGTCCCCCCCAAAACACAAAGGGGATGAAGGGAAGGGAGGGGGATGGGAATAGGAAAGACAGTGGAATGAAGGGGACCTCACTTTCCTGTGACACTCCACATCAGGTCCAGCCATTCGGGTCCTGACTGGGAGACCTGCCGCTCAGTGTCATTACCTGGACCAGCCGAAGAGGGGCGGGACGGCACAGGCCGACGCCATGATCCAGGTGAAGATGACCCCCATGACCGCGTGGTTCTCCCCAAAGCGGAAGTTGCTCATGGGTTTGCACACCACCATGTACCTCTCGATGGCGAGGACCACCAAGGACCACAGGGCCACTTCGCCTGCAAGACAGTCAGCCATCAGTCACCTGCCAGCCCTCGGCCTGTCCAGAGATGGGGAGACGGTGACCGGAAAGGCCACCCCAAGGACTCAGAGAGGGCTCAGACATGGAGAGAAGGGACAGGGGGCAGGGCAGGGGACCAAGATGCCAAGGAGTGGAGTTTGTGGGGGCCACAGCAGGGTTCCATGCAGAGAGGAGGCTGATTCCCGCTGGGGCCCCTGGTGGCGCCGGCCTGTGATATCTCAGCAATTTGGGAGGCTGAGGGAGGAGGATTGCAAGTTAGAGGCCAGCCTCCGCCATTTATGGAGGCCCTAAGCAACTGAGCGAGAATCTGAGAATTAAAAAAATAAATAAATAAATGAAAAGGGCTGGGGGATGTGCTAAAGCAACTCTGGGTTCAATCCCAAGTAGCCACACACAAAAAAATGTCATTATCTCCAAGGTCCCTTGTCACCCCTGCCACCCCTGCCACCTACCGCCCAGAGTGGCAAAGAAGCCCTCCACGAAGCACCCGGTGCGCCCGAAGACGAAGTAGCCGTTGAGCGAGGTGTAGACGGTGGTGGTGAAGCCGAAGAGCACCATGAACAGGTCGGCGGTGGCCAGGTTGAGCAGGATGTAGTTGAGGGGGGACCGCAGCTTCTTGTGCTGCACGGTGACATAGAGCGTGAGGAAGTTGACGGGGAAGCCCAGGAGGATGAGCAGGAACATGTAGGCGGCCAGGAGGGAGAACTGCCAGGGCTCGGCCAGGTAGTACTGCGGGTGCTCGAAGGGGCTGCGCACCACCCCGGTGGCATTGGAGAAGGGGACATAGAAATCGGGGCCCTCGGTGCCATTCATGGCTGTGGATCCCACCCCAGAGGGCTGCTAGGCGCGGCCACCCGGGGCTCCCGCTGGACTGCGGGCTCTGATCCCCGCCCCCAGGCCCTTATAAAGTGACCTTCGGTCCCTAAGCTCTGGGCTGAGTCAGCGCCCTGGAGATGGGGTGCTCCTAATCACCTTAATCCCCGCTGCGACCAGGGCCACAGGGACCTGCTAGAGGGGCCAAGGTGACACTCTGGCCGGGAAGCCTGGGGTCAGGGCGCTGTCCCTGGCTGCTGTGTCTCAAGCTCCTCCTGACCTGGGTCTGGGACCTTGGGATGCCAGGATCGTCTCCCCAGCCGCCTCCTGTCTCTGCTGTCACCTGCCCCTGACGCAGAGGCTGCTTGGGGTTGGGACCCACTGCTCCACCAGCAGCCACAGGGGATCTGAAGACCCAGAAGGGAGTGGCCCTGGCCAGGGCGGCTTGTGGGCTGAGGAGGGTCAGGGAGGGACCAGAGTCCAGCTCCGGGAGGGGGTGGCCGTGAGGCTGTGGAGACCCCCCGGGGACAAGGAGGCAGGCCAGGGAGCCCAGGGGGAGGACATGGGCCGGGGGCTGGGGGGCAGAGGCTTGGGCAGATCTGCAACCCAGAGAGGTGACGCAGGGGACAGAGACACCAAGACCCCCAGCCCACCAAGCTCATTTTCGGGGGGAAGGGACTGAACCCAACATGCTGAACCCCTGAGCCACATCCCCAACCCTTTTCATTCTATTTCGAGACAGGGCCTCCCTGAGTTGCTGAGGCTGGCCTCCGACTTGCGATCCTCCTGCCTCAGCCTCCTGAGGCACTGGGATCATAGGCACGCGCCACCGTGGGCCTGGCTCAGACTCTCTTTTTACAAGATACTTAATCCCTGGCTTCAGTGAGGTCACTCATCTTCTTGCTGACCCACAGCTCCTGTCTCTCTGGAACGTAGGCTCATTGCTGCCTGGGAGCTGGCAGTCCATGCTAGTAGGTGCTCAATAAATACTCAATAAATACTGGTGCAGGACTGTGACTCTGGGGGAGGATTGGCGCAGGGACAGCCCTTAAGCCTCCACTGGAAAGTCTGGGTCAGCACCCCCCCCCATGGCTTAGCCTCAACTGGATGTGTCACCAGTGAACGCTTAGGCTGAGCCGAGAGTGTCAAGGGAATGAGAGAAGGTGACAGACCCTCCCTCCTTCCCTCCTCTCTTCCTCCTCCTCACTTTTGCCAAACACCCTCCAGGGCGGGGTGCCGGCTGGGCACTGAGGACCCTGAGCTGCATCCCGAGGTCTCCACCCTCCTGGTCTCGGGGGACAGCAGATGGGGCAATGGCTAACTGGAGAGATGGCCATTTGCTCCCAGTCCCAGCGTCTTTGAGGCCAGAGGAGCCAGTGGGCCTGGAGGGTGCCTGGGGGCTCCCCAGAGGGGCTGCCGGCCTCAGCCGGGCATCTGGGGGTGCCTGTCCCCGTTCCTGGCATCATCATCTGGATCCTAGGGGTCCTCAGGAGCACCCCTGAGCCCCGTCGGCAGGTGCACACCGAGGCTGGCCTCCCGTGCTCCAGGGGGAGGACCTTGGGTACAGAGGGAGACTAGGGCTGGGTGGATGCGCATGCGCATGCGCAGAGCCTGCCTTGGTTCAAAGGGAGGAAGTCTCCAGGCCTCGGTTTCCTCGTCTGTGTCCTGGGCAGCCTTGGGGGTCCTGGGGGTGCCACCAGAGGACCGTGGCCATCCAGGGCTGCAGGACTGGGTCTAGTTACTGGGCCCAGAGGAGGGGAGCTGCAGCCCCAGGCGGCCCCCCTGGCTCCCGCCAAGACCATCTGATCTGTCACTGTGATTGACGCCTGTTGGGGAGCTGCTTTCTCCCAGCCATATGCAAATGACTTCAGTTCGAGGAACCGCTAATGGGAATCCTAACACATTAATAAATGTTTAGCGAGAGAGAGAGCACGCACGCTCCCAGTCATTAGCCGCTGACGGGGGAGGCTGTTGGCACAACTGTCTGGCTGCCATTCTTTGTCCCCCCCCCCCATCATTTCCAAAGAGCGATGCGGAGGGGGGTGGGGAGGGGGCGGGGTGGGGGCAGGGAGCCTGGGGGCGGGGCTCCAGCTCTCCTGCCTGGGCCTCTGCCCCGCCCCCTTCAAGAGGGCCCCTAAGGTGTCATCGAGATGGAGTCCTGCGGGGTGGCCTTCTGCCTGACCCACAGACAACTCCTGAGGAGCCCCTGGGCCTCGGCATCTCCCTTCCCCACTGGCTGCAAAACGGGGCTGATGTCCCCCGCCTTGCTCAGGGTCCCCCGCCATGCTCAGTGGCCTGGCTTGGACTTTGGCAGTTGGCCGTCTCCAAGGGAACCCACTGGCTTGGGGACCTGGAGGGGAAAGGCCGACTCAGGGGGGCCGGTGACATTTCCCTGGGGGCTGGGAAGCTGGGGCGGTGTGGAGGGAAGGTTCTAGAAGCTCTGGGCAGGCGCCTTTATTTCAGCCTCTGCCATCTTGTTGGGAGCCAGGTATCTCATTTTCTTGTCAAGACAGATCCCCATTAAACCAGAATAAATAAACCAAAAAACCTCCCCGGCTCCCCTGCCCCTTCCCATATTGCCATTCCGATTAGATTAGATTTTAAGAGCGCGGCGAATGCGATGTTCCTTTCGGATCAAATTAGAAACAGGTGCACTTTTGCATAAGGAAATTAAGTTGCAGACAATACGAAGATTTGCTAAAACGCAGACACTGATGAAAATAAGTAGCCCTTTTATTTGTCATTATTGAGGCAGTCTGTTGGCCTGCGCGGTGCGCGCCTCCTGGGCGGCCGGCGGACTCCACTACCCGGGCTGCCCCTCCACTACCCGGGCTGCTCCCGAGCTCTCAGGTCTTTTCTTTTTCCTTAGAAAATATAGGTGCGTCCTCTCCCCAGCCCCTGGTGCTATTTACAAGGCACAAAGTGCCAGAAGTAGGAATCCTGCGGTTCCGCGAGGCCCCTCCCTGGAGCACCACTGCATCTGGGCGGCCGGGACCCTCCTCCTTCCTCTCCGCAGGCCGCGGGTCTGCAGGGCGCTCAGGGGACCCGGGTGCGGTCAGGGGCCGGGGTCGTCGATGCGCCTGCGACAGTAGGGGCAGCAGGTGTGCTGCAGCACCAACAGCTCATAGTCCTCCGAGTGGAACATCTGGGAAGAGAGGGCGAGAGCCGGGTCCCAGCCCGCGCCAAGTGGGAGTCAAGGCCAGAAAGAGCCGGGTGGGCAGGCTGGGCTGGGTGCGCTGGGTGGGGGGTCGGGGCTGAGGCGCCCTTTTCCTGAGGGAAGTTCAAGGTGCGCCCCGCCCCTCCCACCGCGCCCCCGGTGGCCCCGCCCACCACCCCTCCGTCCAGGGAGGTGCAGAGCGCGCAGGCCAGGTGACACCCGGCAGACAGCAGGTGGACTGCCACTGTCCTCCTAGCTCAGGGCAGTGGCCGGTACCCCTGATGCTCCGCCTCCCCAGGGGACACTTGGGAAGTGGAAGGACAGCACAGGGAGCCCCTGGGAGCCGTGCAGGCTGGGGGCGCAGTACCTGGAAGCAGGAGGGACACATGGTGATGGAGGCGTCGGGCAGCAGCGAGCGGAAGTACTGCCACTGCAGGGGCGGCGGCCAGCGCTTGATGAGGACGTCGCGGCGGCTCATGGAGCGCAGCGCGGTCCGGTTCACGACCACGGGCACGAACTCGGAACCGCCTTGCTGCAGGGTGGGGCGCGGGGCAGGGCCCTCACTCAGCCTTGGGGACACGATTGTGTGCACCGTGGTCCTGACTCTAGGGTGGCCAGGAAGGGCCCGGGAGCTTCCCACCCCAGGTGGCCCTGGCAGCCTCAAGTGCCTCCTGGGGCCAGAGCTGCAGGGAAGTGGTCCCGTCCCTCCCTCCAGCTGCCACCTCCTCCTTGGCATGTCCCCTTGGCAGCCTCTGAGGCCCCCACCTCGAAGCTCAGCTTGGCGGTGAACGGGTCTTCGCCTCCCATGGGGTCCATGGCCTCGTCCAGCCGCAGCGACTGGGAATCTGGAGGTTTCTGGTCAAGGTCGAACTGAGGCCGGGCAGGGGACAGGCCCCACCCTCCTCCCAGTGTGCTTTGACTCAGGGGCACTCAGACAGGACGAGAGGGGCGACCAGGTCCCAGGAGGAGGGATGGAGGGGCAGGGACCAGGAGGGAGCCAGGCCTGACTGCAGAGAGGGTGGCCGGGCCCTGGGCACAGGCCTGGGAGGACAGCCGCCCTGCCAGGCCATCTGCTGCCTCCCCACCTGCTCCCAGGTCCCAGGGGCTGCACAGGGCCACCTGTTGGGGGAAGGGTGAGGTGGTTGGCAGGTGCTGTGACGGCTCTCAGGTCACAGGGCGTGGGGAGCAGGGGTGGGGGAGCTCCACAGACCCCTGGGCTGGCTCAGGCCAGCCTGAAGGTGTCCGGGTCCTCCCCTCTACGAGGACGGTGGCAGAGGCTGAGGGGCTCTCGTGGGGACGACCCCTGGAGGCTGCTGGGAGCGGGGCAGGGAGCATGGGGCTGATGGCCGATGGCAGCTGACTCTCGGGTCCTCTTCTGGCCCCTGCTCCTCACAGCATGGCCGTGCTTGGCGGAGTCGCCTGGGAGCTTGCTAGAGGCAGACTCTCGGAGCCCCCTGACCTGGTGACTTGGCCGCCCGTGACGGCAAGACCAGGCGCTGTGTGGGCCTGTTCCTGTGAGAGGCCCCTCCTGCGTCCAGCCTAGGGACACAGGGCCCAGCTGGGCAGGTAGCATCCCCCTTGCCCGAGGACAGCTGTGGCCCCAGGTTGCTCCAAGGGACTGTGCCCTGGGGTTCTGTGGTCAGGAGGAGAATCGACTCTTCTGAGGGTGCTGGGCTGGCACCGTAGGTGGCCACCTCTGTCACTATGTCGTGGGACAGAGCTGCCTAGAGACAAAGCTTACCCAGGGACAGTACAGGCGGCAGGAGCCGCGCAGCCTCCAGCCATGTGGAGGGGCACCTCTGCTCTTGGCTTCTTATCCCCTCTGTTTGCTCAGCTGTCTCTGAGTTGAGGTTCCTGTCACTGGCATGTAGGAGTGACCTGACTGCCAGGCACATGGCACACACTGTAACCACCCATGCAGGAGGGTCGCAGGTTTGAGGTCCGCCTGGGCGACACAGTGAGACCGTGTCTCAAAATAAAAATAAGGCGGGTGTGGTGGCGCACACCTGTCATTCCAGCGACTCAGGAGGCTGAGGCAGGAGGATCTTGAGTTCAAAGCCAGCCTCAGCAAAAGCGAGGTCCTATACAACTCAGCGAGACCCTGTCTCTAAATAAAATGCAAAACAGGGCTGGGGACGGGGCTCTGTGACCGAGTGCCCCTGAGTTCTACCCCCAGTACCGAAAATAAAGAGTAAAACCATAAAAGGGCTGGGGGTGAGTGCTGCCCAGCACCCCTGGGCTCAGGCCCCTGGGCTGCGGAATGGAAATACCTGACCATGACGCTGAGCTGCCAGCCACGGGGCCCGCACTCGTCTGGAAGGCATGGCTGCAGCACCTTGAGGAGCCGGGGTGGGGGAGGCCCCCAGGAAGACCAGGTGCCCCTCCCCGCGTCTGGCTGTGGACCCTGGCAGCCCGCTGTCCGTCCTCACTGCTGTGGGGGACTCTCTGACCTTCTGCGGCGCTGAGGCTGGGTCAGCAGGCTGCCACCGGCTGGCCCTCCTGCCCTGGCCCCGACTGTCACAGGATACTGGGGCTGGTCACCTCTTGCCATTTGCTCTCTCGCTTGTGTCTGGGGGCCTCCAGGTCGATGAGGGCGACGGCCTCTTCGTCGGTGATGCCCTCCTCCAGGTAGAACTCCACCAGGTGCAGCACCTCTGGGGCACGGGGAGGGTTGGTGACAGGCTCCGGGGGAACGGGGCCAGCGCTCTCTCTAGGCCACACGCGGGCAGCCAGAGTGACCCAGCAGGCTTCTCCAGGGGCCAGAGCTGGGCCTGAGCAGTGCCTCCTCCCGTAGCTGAGGGGCTCCTCATAGGGAGGGGGCTTCTGGGGGTGTCCACAGGGAAGAGGGGACCCGATGCTGAAGGCCTGGCCCGGCCCTGCTCTGGGCACTTTGTCACGGCGGCCTGCACTGGGAGCTGGCTGGGCTGTGGGGGACCCAACGGTGGCTCTGTCAGGCGGGGTGGGGGCACACAGGGCCCAGGTCACCAGTGATGACCCTCAGAGGCCTTCGGGAGCTCGCCCCGTGTCACGTGGCTGGGCAGCAGAGGAGGGGCCATCTGTGTGGCAGGACTCACCGTAGGACGAGGCGGAGAAGACGAAGGGCTGGCGGCAGTTGACGCAGACGTTGCCCAGGCTGTTGAGCAGGGGGTTGTTGGTGGAGCAGCGGTAGCACAGGGGGACCAGCTCCTGCCAACGCAGCACTCGGTGGCCTGGGCCCGAGCAGAGGTGGCACCCCACACCTGCCCTGTCCCCCGCCTCGGCCCTCTAGGACCCGATGTCAAAAGGTGTGGGCAGGAGGGGGCCCTGGGGCCAGGAGTCGCATGCTGGGGACGCAGGTGACACCCTACAGGAGTAACTGGGGCCTGCCACTGGGGCCACCTCCCAGGCAGGGCTCAGCAAGGCGCTGTCCTGGTGGGAAGGACAGTAAGGGCAGCCATCCTTGCCTACGCCACCAGACACCTGTGCTGGCACGTCTGTCCCCACCACCAGCAGTGGGGAAGGTGTCACGGGTCCCCAGCTGATAGCAGGGCGGAGTGGGGAGCCCAGACCACAGCGGCCATCTTCCCACAGGACCCAGGCCCAAAGCCACAGGCGCCTGGAGGGAAGGAGCAGCCCCACGGGGGAAGGGGCGTCCTCACCTCGCTGTCGTGGAAGGGCTTGGAGCGGATGGTCAGGCTGCCCAGCTCGATGGACTTCTGGAAGCGGGCGGGGCTCTGCAGGCCCTGCAGCCGGTCGTAGGCGTGTCGTGCCAGCTTGTAGGCGCCCAGGGCCTTGCTCTGCTTGGCCAGCGTGAAGAGCGTGTTCCTGGCAGGGGCGACGTTAAGGACGGCGGGGGCCGAGCTGGCGCCAACCCAGACACAGCCAGAACTGCGGGTACTTCCCCGGCCCAGTGGGCGACCTCTGAGCCACAGCCTCCCGCTCTCTGGGGCCATCCAGCTGCCCAGCCTGAGGTGACGGGGCTTTGTGCTGGGACCTCTGGCTGTGACCAGGCCCTGCCTACCCTCCCAGCCCCCTGTGAGCCTCAGCTCGCTCCTGAAGCCAAGTCCCATGTCCCCACACTCCTGTCGCCAGGTGGCCCCTCAGCTCCAGCAGCTGGGGCTGGTGACTCCTCTAAGGCAGGGACTGTGCCGGGAGCCATGTCCAGGTCCCAGGACACAGCACAGGACAAGGCTCGGGGCAAGCTCTGCTGACCTTGAGAACTTTCTGGAAAGGCCAGGTAGCAGGGGCTGAGGTCGGCAGGCGTGGCTGTCTCGCCAGCCACTCAGCAGGGCCTCGGTGGGGGGGCACCCCTGGGTTTGGGGACTTTCCCCTCAGGGGTGAATGATGGGCCTGGAGTCATGAGAGAGGCCAGCTGTCCCCAGGCCCTCTGCCAGGGGGTGCCTCATAGAAAGGCGGCAGGGACGGGTTGAGGCAAGAGTGCACTGAGGAAGGGACAGGGGACAACTGTGGCTTTCATGATGCTCAGGACCTTAAAGACAGGTCCTTCCTGGCCACACAGGCCCTGCAGGCCCTCACTGGCCACAGGACGAGAAGCCAACCCACGGCGAGGTGCTCCACTGGGCCCCCAGGGTCCTCCCACAGCCACTTCCCCTGGCGTCCCTGCCTTTCCTCAGTGCGTCCTGGGGACATCCACTCTGCACCTGCCCTGGCCACCTGAGCGTGCCTCCCCGGCAGCCCAGCCCCGGCTGTGTCTCTCTTGGGCACGACACACACTCTCTGAACCTTGCCGCCTGTCACCTCCACAATAGCTGGCAGCCTTGTCACCTGGTACCTGGGGCCCTGTAGGCCTGGCTGACAAAGGCCACCCCACGGGCCCCAGGGAGTGTGGAGGGCCTGGGCTGACGGCCTGCTGCCTCCTCCAGTCTGTCACGCCCACTGCGGTTCGGGGGGAGGGGGACTGGGGACAGTGTGTTGGCCAGGGACTTGGGCCGGGCTGGGCCCAGAGCTCGGAAAACTAATCCTCTCCTGGCAGCGGCCCCCCTGGCTGAGCCTCTCCCCAGCAAAACAGCAGCAGGAGGCGGGCGGAGAGGCTCTGCCAGGAAGGCCTCCCAAGGCCATTAGAGAGGGCGGGCGGGCGGCGAGGGGACGGGAGGATACACTTTAGAGATGCCCAGGGGGGTGTCCTTGGTCAGGCTGTGCAGCAGGAACCTGGAGATGTTGAAGAGGGTTTCGGGAAGATGGAAGCTGAACGGCTCCTCCTGTGGGGAGAGCAGATGACCGTGAACTTGACCCCCAAGTGCGCTGGTGAACTTGACCCCCCAAGGGCTCTGCGGGTCAGGCCAGAGGCAGACGCAGGATTCTGAGGCCCTTCAGTGCGTGAGCCTCCTACTGTGTGCTGGGAGCCTCCCGCCACAGTCTCAGGCGGCCTCTCACGTGGGGGATGTCGTGGGGTGATGCCCAGGGAGGGGACCTGCCCGATCAGAGCTGGGGTTCAAAGGCAGGGCTGAGTCCCGAGCCAGGCCTCTCTGCCCAGCTGCGCTGCCTGAGGGGTCCTGATTCCATTTCTCTGAGCTCAACTTGTCTCCAATTAGCTCTAAAAGAGAAGGTCTTTGATGCACTTGGGGACAGGGCCACTGACACAGGCAGGTCCTTGTAGCAGAGGCGTTTAACCCTTTCTGCGCCACCTCCTGGCCCTCTGACAGCCTCCTGAGACATGGGCCACCAAGCATGTACCCAGGCGCCTCTCACTGCCAATCCCGAGCCCCCTGCGCAGCCCTGATAGGTGACACTCGACACCCATTAGTGCAATGAATGGGTCCCCTGCACCCAGACGCTGCCAGAAAGGCCCAGCAGGCCGCGGGGAATTCTCTACCAAGAGGGCCTGTAAAAGGTTAAGAATACCCTGTTCTGGAAGATTCTGGCACATTGTGTAGAGACTGAGGCTGCAATTGCTAATCAAGCTGTGGCCATTGGGGATTCGGGCTGGCCAGCTCCCCGCCTCCCGAGCACTTAAATGGTAATAAGCCGTCACCTCCCTGAGGAGGGTGCTGGGCCCTGCTCACCACAGGGCCCCCAGGGCTTCGCCCCTAATTGGTCTCAACCCCAGGGCTCGCTTTCTCCGCCTCTGGAGCGGAGCCCAGCCCCTTCCCTTCCCTTCCTGCCATCTCTGTGGGCTCCCAGAACCCCAGAAACCCTCAGCCACTCCCTCTGCGCTGGGAGCCAGGGAGGCGCTGGGTGAGGAAGCGTGGAGAGTCCCAGAGAGAACGTGGGGGGCAAGATTAGCAGCTCTCCTCTGGAGAGAAGCCACGCACCTCGAGGATGCAATGCCCGGCTTTCCCGTGGTCCCATCTGTGGCCCTGGTGACAGACCCTGGCCTCCAGCCTGGCTCAGGTTGCACGAGGACCCCTGAGAGGGTCTCATCTTGGGAAAAGCAAAGACGATAAGGGAACGAGGTCCCCGCTGGGGGAGAGGAATGCGGGACTGTCGCAGAGCTAGCTGTGGGGGCTGTCATCCTCCCCGTGACTTTCCCAGGAGGCAGAGGCTGGTGAAGAGGTCTGTGCAGATGAGCAGGAGTGCCCAGGGGAGGCAGGGCCTCGGGTGGCCCTTGGGCAGCAGCCTGTCCCCCACTGCCACGAGACTGCTTTAAAATGGCTTCCTTGAAATCATCAGGGAAAGACTACAGAGCACTCGGTTGGTCTCTGCAGACGAAGCCAACCCTGGTCTTACAGAGAAGGAGACTGAGGGCCAGAGAGGGAGAGCAAAGCACTTGAGGACACACAGCAAGTCGGGCGCAGAGAGGTGGGTACGTGGGCCCTGGGGGTTCTGCCCTCCTGCATTTTGGAGAGGTGGCCCCTGCCTGGCTCACCCACTCTGCCTGGGTCAACAGAGGCTGAGCTGATCCGCAGGAAGGCCCGTCCAGCTCTGCGCCATCATCAGACACCCCCCATCATGGCTGCACATCAAGCATGAGGAACACCCAGCTCTTCCTCCCCAGGGACATCAGGAGCAGGTCCTGTGCCCCAGTGGGTCGGGGTCCACCCAGAGCCTGCTGCTCCTAGGAGGCTCGGGGCGCCTTACCGTGTAGCGGTGGATGGCGTGGTAGCCGTGGTACAGCTCGGCCAGGTGCTGGTAGTGGTGGAACTTGGCCAACATGGCGTCCTTCTGGACAGGATCTGCTGCGGGCAGGAGCGGGCGCAGAGGGGGACGGGGCAGATGCGTCAGTGGCTGTCTGGAGCCGCTAACTGGCCACAGCAGGGACGGTCGGTGGCGCTGTCAGCACCAGCTCTTTTGAAACACTGGGCCTACCCCAGGGAGAGGGACAGCACTGTGCTTGGGGGCCACACCTAGACGGTGGCCTCTCAGCTGGAAGCATCTGAGGTAAAGAGAAATGCCACCTGCCACCTGGGCTTGATGGTCCTCACTCTAGCAGCCTCCTGGAGGGAGTGGGCCGGGATCCCTCTGGGGTACGTGGGCACAGAGCTCAGGGAGGAACAGTGACTTGCTGCAGGTCCCTCCGTGGCCTCCGTTCCCAGTGCTGCCCCTCCTGCGTGTGGCCTTGGTCTAGAGGAGATGCACCTCTACCGCCCTGTCCCCCCTTTCTGGACTCTCCCAGTGCATCATGGGAAGTCCTAGGAAGGACGGCATCATGGACACGGTCCTCTGGCGGGGCGAGGGGCCTGCGGTGCCTTACGGTAAAGTGATCTCTGCTTCATCTTTTCATTTAATTAAATTTTTTGAAGCCGGGGCCAGCTGCAGGCTCCTGGGCAGCAGCAGACAGCTGTGCTGAGTTGGGGAGGGAGGGCGGGACCTGCCAGGCGTCACCCCTGCGTGGCCCTGGGACCAGCCGGCTTCTGGCCACACGAGGAGGAGATCTTACAGGAGATTGTGCCACTGCGAGGCAGGCTTGGGGACAATGCGCCCCGTAAACAAGCCCAGGGCTTTAATTAAAATGTCCCCGCTTGTCTGATGGTATCTGGGTGCCAGGACGGAGGGACCCACCCTGGGCTATGTCGAGGCACTGCATGGACAGCATCCAGTAGTAATAGGCGGCGTCGTTGAACCTGCTCTCCACCACGGCGTTGTGCGTCAGCTGCTCCAGCACCTGGACCGCTTCCCGCTGCCTCCCGGCCTTGTGGAACGCTGCAGGGGACACAGAGCACTGTCACCAGGGGAGGGGGCGAGGGGGCCGGTGGAACTGCTCAGAAAGTGGGGCGCCCCACGCGCGCCGGAGGGAGCATCTGTGGGCCTGGATGCCGGGATGCTGCCTCTCCGGCCGGAGGCTATAAATAACCGAGGCGACATCCTGAAAAAGCACAGTGCGACGCGCTCCGTTTTGGCTGGCAAGTGGTGACAACCTACTTCAGAGACGCATGGCAGGGAGAGGAACCCGGGGAGCCAAGTCCCAGGGCACAGTCGGAACGGGAGACTGGCTTGTCCCTCGTGACGAGATGCTCCACTCCACAGAGGGGCTCTGTGGCTCTGAGGTGACACCCACGGGCCCCGACCCTCGACGGAGCTCAGTGATTTATAAAGTGCGTTTCACTGCGCCTTAGGTCACTGGGTCACCACAGCAGATTGAGAAGGGACGGTCAGCCTCCGTTTTATCAGGCAACAAAAATGCGCTTTGCCAGGTAGAAGTATAAGGGTCACGTCCAAGGTCAGAACACGGGCCCGGTCCATCTTCGACAGAGCGCTTTTTTTTTTGGTAGTGGGTATTGAACTTGGGGGCACTCGGCCACTGAGCCCCATCCCCAGCCCTATTCTGTCTTTTATTTAGAGACAGGGTCTCACTGAGTTGCTCAGCACCTCGCTGTTGCTGTGGCTGGCTTTGAACTCGTGATCCTCCTGTCTCAGCCTCCTGAGCCGCTGGGATGACAGGTGTGCGCCACGGCACCTGGCCAACAGTGCTTTTTGATGTCAACCTTGAAAGATCTGTCTCCATCCTCAAAGCCAGACATTTGGGATGAGAAGCAAAATCTTCCTTAATCATGCCTACATCTGTGTACCTGGAATTTCCTGGGCACCTACTACATGGCCAACGGCTCGGGATATTGAGCGCTGCTGGTCAGGCGCTTATGGCTGGGACACTTGGCCACAGGTGGACACTCAGAGGACCCCATCCTCCGCCTTTAGAGAAGGAAAGGTCTGGCCTTTGTTCCGTCTCATCTGCAGGCTCCTGTCTGCGTACCAAGTTACTATGGCGATGGATTCTTGGAAGGGCGACACAGACAGATGGGTAGGTTGATGTGTTTTGCCCAAACATGCAGCTCCGTCAGCAACTGGGTGCTCTGGAGATGCTGAGGTGCTGGGGAACAGGCTGTCCTTCAGCGTGGGCTCTTCTCCCCACAGGGAGCCACGGACTCTGCACTGTGTCAGGGGCGACTGTCACCATATAGAGGTGCGGGTGCATCGCTACGGACTGCCACACACCCGGTCGCAGTCAAGCGCCGTCCTGCCCAGACAGCAGAACAGCCAGGTTCCCTGGCGGGACAGATCCTGGTCCAGCTGTGCCTCTGCCTGCCACTTGCTAGCCTAGTGACAGTGCAGGGCACGTTCAGCCTCTGCGTCTCTGCAGGGCTGTGGGCAGGACTCAAGGCTGGGCAGGTCAGGTTCCCAGCCATGCTACCTGTGTCGCAGGGCTTTGTGGGGGTGACGGGGAAGACACGCTGCAGTGCCCGGTGCTCTGCTCAGTCACACAGAGGCGTGGAGGGCGGCTGGACCTGCCCAAGCTCCTGCAGCAGGTTGGTGACAGGCCCACACTCCACGTCCCTGTCCTGACTCCCGCTCCAAAGTGTCTCTCCGCGCCTGGGTTGTGGCTCTGTTTGCCTCGAATGCAAAAAAAGCATTTCACCCCAAACAGCCATCCCAGGTGACGCCACCTGCCTTGGGACCCGCAGCACAGGGCTGCTAGCTTCGCTGGACCGTGTCTTGGCAGCGCCTCCTCCCGGCCCTGGGCCACCAGGCCAGCCCCCGTGGCCTACCTTTCTGGGCTTCTTCGAAGCGATCGTTCTCTGCCAGCCACTGCGCGTAGGGCACGTAGATGTCGTCCTTGAACTCGGGGTGCTTCTCGCCCAGAGCAAAAGCCTGGGGGGCGGGGCACACACAGTCTTAATGAAGCAGTCCCCGCAACCCCGGGAGACGTGGCACTTGGCTGGATCAGGGATGTCATACTTTGGCAGCCTGACATCAGGGATGTCATATTTTGCCAGCTCAGAGGGGGAGAGGGCCTCCCTCCCAGCCACCCCCAGCCACACAAAAACATCTCGGCTCTTTGGAAACAAAAGGCAATTAACAGCAATATGCACGCGCCCGCTCCCAGTGACAACACAGGCTGTTTCTGGACCCCAGAAGCCGCTCGGAATCGGAAACATTTTATTTTGAGGGTTTGCGTGGGCTCCTGTCGCCTGCAAACAGATTTCTTTTAATTGCAGGCGACACCTAGGGAAGCAGGACTCACATTCTCCTCGTCACTGCTTGGGGGCTCAGAGGGGACTAGGGCTGTGCTGACGCCTGGGCCCAGACCTCCGGGCAGGCCAGGGGAGCCGGAAACGGGCACAGGGAGGAAGGGCAGGACACCAGCGAGGGCCACGTGGCCCTGAGGTCTCCAGCTTGTGCTGCTAGCGAGTTCCCCTTGAGAAGCCATCGCTGCCTCTGTCCTTGGTGCCACCTTTTCTCATCAGTGTCCTCTGTCCCCTCCCCAAGTGGAGTCACCCAGAGGGCAGGCAAGAGGTAGACTGCTCACCCAGAAAGGGCCCTGCTGACACCCTGGGAAGCAGGCTGCCACCTCGGCTGGGGCCACCTCTCCTGCAGGGGTGCAGTGTCCCCAGGACACAGCCAGCCTGTGAGCTGGAAGGACAGAACTAGGCCTCAGGGCGGGCAGTGAGCCTCAGGTGGCCACTGTTGTGGGTCTGGCCAGTGTGCCCTTCGCCTGCCCGTCCTCCATGCCAGGGGCAGAGGCTGGGGGTGGCGGGTGGGAAGGAGAAGCGCTGCCCTGAGGTGGCTGTGGCACCCTGTGCCTGGAACATAGGGATGGCGTTTCCTGCCAAGATGCCACCCGGCAGGTCTGAAATATCACACAGGTGCACCTCCACGTCAGGCTGCAGGGTGGTCAGCAGCAGGCACAGGGCCGTCCTGCCAGCTTTCCCCGCCCAGAGCTGCCATCAAGAAAGAGCTTCCAAGCTGGGCGCAATGGTGCCCGCCTGTCATCCCAGCAGCGGAGGAGGCTGAGGCAGGAGGATCGCGAATTCCAAGCCAGCCTCAGCAAAAGTGAGGCCCTGAGCACCTCAGTGAGACCCTGTCTCTAAATAAAACGCAAAATAGGGCTGGGGAGGGGCTCAGGGGTCAAGGGCTCTCCAAAAAAAGAGCCTCAGAATGCACGAAATCTACACAGAAAGGCCCCTGAAGCTTCTCTGGCTCAGGGACTCAAGGACAGCGCTCCCGAAGGCCAGGCCAGGCTCCCCCATCAAGGGAGCACCTCTGCCTGAGGCTCGGGCCCCTATGCCCGGGCGCGCTGTCCCCTCACCTCTTCCCAGCGCTGGGTGTCCACGTGCAGCTGCACCAGGGACTTGAGGTCGCCGATCTTGAGGTAGGTCTCGGCGGCGTAGCCCGGGTTGTCCAGCTTCTTGAAGTAGTGCGCGCACAGCAGCAGGGCCTCGCGCTCCGCCTTGTCCAGCTTGCGGGCGATGTCGATCAGCCTGGGGACAGCGGGGAAGGGGCACCCTGTGGGCTGTGTGGGGACACATCTGACGTGCCCGGGTGGTGACTGAGCGAGTGAGCGCCCCACAAACCCTGCTAGGGACCGTCCAAAGCACCGGGGAGGTGCTGCCACTCCCACTCACAGATGGGGAGACCTGAGGGCAGGGTCACCAGGGAGCAGGAAAGCGGTCTCTCCCCCAGGGTTTCTGGAAGCCTCTCGGCCACGTGGAGGCTGGCATGAGAGATCCCCAGGGCCCGGCCTCTAGAGGAGGAGGCCAGCAGGGCCAAGGTGCTGGCCACTGGAGGGGCCGCGGGAAGCGCTGCTCACTGCATCTGCCATTGTGACCAGCTCGCCCCCTGCCCTTGGGGACCTGGGCTGGTGAACGGGCCTCTTGGTTCTGGCCAGGCCGGGATTTGGAGCTGACCCAGTTCTCTGAGGGCAGGGCCCCCTGTGGCCCGTCTCCATGGGAAGGAAGGCCCGGGATCCTAGCCTCAGAGCCACGCTCAGGAGGGTGTCAGTCTGCGCTCAGAATAATAATGGCGTCCAAAAATAACACTGCTCCGCAGAGAAGGGACACAGTGTTTAGAGAAGTGGCACAGGCAGCTCCCCGCCCAGTAGCCACATCCCTGGAGGAGAGGCACCTGTTACAGCCACTCCAGGGAAAGGGCCACACAGCATGGCAGTGGCTCCTTTTGGAACTCGGTAAGTGTCCCAGGGTCACATGGATCCGCAGCACTTGCCAAGGAAAGTGACATAAGGGAAAACTGAGGGGAGAGGCGGGTCCCGAGAGCTGCCTGGCTTGGTCTGCACCCCCTTTTGTGGACAGGATGATTTGGGGGCCCAGCCTGTGCCTCTGCCTTGGAGACGCTTTCTTCTCAGACAACAGGACGGGTGGTGGCTGCCCACCAGGGTCCCTTTGTGAGGGGCCCCCACACCAACCTCCTGGTGGGCTCGGGGGGCCACGTGGCCAGCCCTCTCCCCTCCCCAGGTCCTGGCTGGCCACTGCTACCTGGGGACCACAGTGCGGCTTCCGGAACACCTGGCGGCCCTCAGAGCTGAGGCTCCATCACTTCAAGTGCCTAGGCCAGTGTCCTCCGCCAGCCCAGTGTCCCTGACTGGAGGACCCTGGAGGCCTGCTGTGCATTGGTGTCCCACGGCGTGTCTGGGTGGGAACAGTCACATATCCCTCAGACACAGAGCCACCACCCACATCAGAGCCCGAGGCTCGGCCCCACGACTCTCCAGCGGCCAGGCCCTTGGGGACCCCATGGGTCCCTCCTTTGCTAGAAGGCCGCAGAAGTGCCAACTCAAGAGCCTGGGACAGAAGCAGGTGCTTGTGGTGACTATAGCCCTGGGTGGTAGCGAGTGCCCAGGGAACAGGTGCTCTGACACTGGGCATCTGCTGGCCTCTGTCCCTGTCACCCTTTCCCCATCGAAGGCGGCGACTGCCTTGTTCCATCTGGGTCTCCCAAAGAACCGAGTCACTTCCACGTTTGGTGTCGACATTTCCAGAAACACCGTCAGTCAAACCCCACAGGTGACACAGCACGACAGGTGTGCAGGGCCACCTACGTGTCGATCCAGCCGCGGTCCCCGCTGATCTCGATGGCTTTGATGTGCTCCCCGGCCGAGATGTACATCTCCACGGCCGCCTTGGGCTCGTTGATGTTCCTGGCCCAGTCGGCCTGCTTGGTGATCAGCATCTTGGTCTCCTTGGGGTCCCCAGATCCGAGGAAATCCTGAGGAAGCAGGACAAACAAACACTCCGGATGAGGGCTTCCTGTGCACGTGACGTCAGGCCGCCAGCCGGGGCTCTGCTTGGCCACACGGCCACCAGGATGCAGAGGGAGCCGGGGCCTGGGGGCTGAGTGTCTGGGAGAGGCCCTCCTGCCTACCCACTGGTGACAAGGACGCAGACCCTCCATGTCCCCTCCCTTCACATTCATGGACGTTTACTGTCCCTCAAATTGCAGCTCACGGAGACCTTGACCTTGCGCAGGTTCTCTCTGCTTGACATGTGGCCATTCCCACAGGGCGAAGGGACCAGCTGGTCGCACAATGTCAACTATGCAGCCCAGCAGGCTTACTGATAGGATAGGTGTGAAACCACTCGCCTCAGGCTGGGGCTGAGCACAGGCCCCCCCAGGGTCAACCAAACACATGCACAGCTCCTGGCCAGGCCCCTGGTTCCTCCCCCGGCCACCATCACACTGGAAGTGCTAGTCGCCTGTTTTCTGATGTTTATCTCCCCTGGCTTTGCCCCCAGAGCTCTGCCTGGGACAGATAAGAAGCCAAACAGCCTTTGGTGAATTGTTCCCAGCTGAATGGCAGCCGGCCCTGTGTGGAGATCAGGTCTGCAGGCATGAGGGACTGATCCAAAGTGGACAGCCGGAGGCCCCAAGTATGGGGAAGGGGTCCCGAAGAGGAGCCTGTGGTCCTGAAGGCCCAGAGGTCAGCCTGTATCCCGTCGGGGGCCGCTGCAGGGCTGAGCCCGACTTCCCTGAGTGAGCTCATGAGAATGTGACAGAAATGGCCTCAGGAAGCCACTTCCCTTCAGGAAAGGGTCCCTGCTGTCATTTTTAAAGGTGGGGCTTTTCAAAAAGGGGGATGGGGAGCAGTTTGTGTTAGAATCACACACCCTGCAGAGAGGGCTCCCTCCCTCCCACCCTCTCTCCCACCTTCCCTCCCCCTCCTCCTCCCTCCCTCCCTCCCCCGTGACCAGCACCCCGTGTCAGGGAGGCAGTCAGGTATGCTGGGAACCCACTCCAACAATTAGCTTTTTTTTTCTTTTTTTCCATTTGCTTTCAGAGTAATTATGTAGCCTCTAAAATGACATATTAGGTCTCGGCCTAGGACAAGCCCATGTCTCAGGGAGTGGGGGAAGGGCACGTCCCCCTCTCACAGGGCCACCTGGGCCTGCCTGTTCCCTCTGGGCACCCAGGCGGGCAGGGAAGCAGCCCTGGCTGGGCCACTCAGACACACTCTGCTCTTGGTGACTGTTCCCACGTCTACTCTCCTGGCACAGAGGTTGAAGGGGGTGACCAGGGGGTGGGGCAGGGGTGGTGACCAGCTTCGAAAAAGAATGGAAACGCCCTTCCAGGGGACATCAGAGGGTGTGCTGTGATCTCAGGGTGGCTGAGGGAAGAAGGTCAGAGGCTAAGGGGGAGCCATAAATTTGGGGTGTCTCCCTGAGACCATCTGGCCAGTGGCTTCCCAGCTCAGGCGGCCTCCTGCAAGGCCCGGGGTCTAGCTCCCAGGGCTGGGCCTTAATTGAAGCTGAGTCTTAATGGCTCCTTCGAGGCTCAGCAAACTGGGTTTTGAAAGGCTCTTTGGGTCCCTGAGGCTAATTTAGACGTCATCCAGGGCCACGGCCAAGGCTTTGTCCTGGAGTGGACAGAAAGAGGCTGCGCGGGTGATGAATGAGACCGGGCCGTGTTCTCCTCTTGGTGACTTTGATAAGGACATACTACATAAGAGTTGAGAGCATTATAATTCCCTTTATCACCATATAAACATGTCACTTATCCGGAAAGCATACAATTTATTTGGACGTGGGAATGTAATTTAAAAATTTTCCAAAAACCAGATTGAATCTTGGGAAGCAATTTTCGAGTAAACAAAAACATGCCATGTTAATAAGCACTGTGTCCCCCGCGCACCGGCCACGTCCACATTTCCTCAGATTCAGACTATTGGGCTGTGGGGGGCGGGGGTGACCTACTTAGAATTGTGACCAAAAACAGCCCCAGAGTACTCACCGTCACAGAGACGCACAGAGGGAGCCTGTGAATGGGTTCCGCTCCTGGGTGGGAGACTGTGGGCACAGGGACCCCGGGCAGCGGTGGGCTGGCAGGGAGAGGCCCCAAGTGGACCTACTGTGTGCTCGCACCTGGCCCCTCACTGTGCACAGTTCTCAGGGCTGAGCTGGGTGCACTTCTGCTGCCCTCTGGGGAGGACATAGAGGCCTGCCCCACCAGTAGGCACGACACTGGCACCCACCCAGCGCTGGCTCACGGTCTCACTGTCACATTGGGTCCCTCTGAGGTCAGCCTTCAAGGTCGGCTCTAGGCCCATCTCAACCTGTGGTTGAAGGTGGCCCCTTTGGAGACAGTGGCTCTTTTGTGTTTGCGTCACCTCCTGGGCACACACTGGGACACCACAGGTGGGCCCTGGGCCCCGGGTGGCGGGGCCTTACCTTGGCGTAGTCGAACATGCAGAGGTCGGTGTACATGTCCAGCGCCAGGTTCTCGTGCCCGCAGCGCCTGTACAGCTTGGCCGCCTCGTGGAACTTGCCCTGGTAGGAAAACACGTCGGCCAGGAACACGTCCTGGTTGGTCTCTCCGCGCTTCTTCCTCTCCTGCAAAATCAGAGGCGCAGGGAGTGGCCTCCGCAGCCCTGGACAGGAGGCGGCCTCACCCACGGGTGAGCAAGGTGAGCCCCGGCCTCCCACTGGACCCCAGGCCTGGCGCTTGGGCTGCTGTGCCGCCCCCCTGCGTCTGCTGGGAAGGCCTGCGACTAAGGCGACCCTCCAGACCGTGGGGTCAGGGAGGGGGACCTTTGCTGTTCAGTGGGAAATCCCTCGGGGCTGCCTTCCAGAACATTCTTCCAAGGCAACACTGGACGGTTGGGACCGGGCGCACTGCTCCCTCATGGATGGCACCTAAGCTGCCAAGATCTCCCAAGTCCCTGGGCCTGGCTAGAGTGGCGACCCGGGAGGATGACAGATGGGGGAACTGTCCCCACCCAGCACCTTCCCTCTGCTTGATCTCCAGCAAGCGTGTCCCCCTGGAGGACGAGGAGAGGGGACAGACTCCTGGGCGAGCTGGTGAGGTCTGAACAGTAGGAAGCAGCCGCTCCCCAGTGACAGGATCATTTTGAGGGAAACCTTCAGGCCACTCAGGCTTGTCACCAAATAAACTAGCTCCTAGTAGCTGGGAATGAAGGAGACTGCGCCTGAGACTGGAAAGAAAGCAGGTCTCGCTGGGCCAGCCTGGCTCAGGCCTCGGCTGTCCTAAGCCACAGCCCCAGCCCCCAGCCAGCGGGCTCCCCGCACCCTGTGCCACCTGCTCAGTGACACGTCATCTCTCCACAAGGAGCCTCCAGAGGAAGCTGGGTTCCAGGAGCAGCACTGAAGTCCCAAAGCCGCAGTGCAGGCCTCAGACAGTGTCACTAGCTCACTAGCTGCCTGGCTCACCAGGTGCCAGCAGCAGCAGCCATCTTGAAGGGACACAGGACACCAGAGCTGGTCCCCACAGGGGCCAGCCACTTTGTGTACAAAAGTTATGTTCTGTGACTGCACAGTGAGACCCAGGCCAGTTGGTTCCCAAGGGCCAGCCCTGAGAGCAGGGACACCGCGCAGCACGGGGACAGCTTCTGGCAACTCTTTGTCCCACAGGGACATGACCAGGCCCTGGGCCGTGCTGGGATGGGGTGGGGACCCGGGGTAGAGACGGACAATTCTGGAAAAAAAGGCAAAATGGGTTTGGAATCCAGCCACGCTGTTGGCTGTGGATCCCGAGGGAGGTGACAGCCTCTCTGCGCTGTCCCTGTCCCTTGCATGGGGTGGCAGCGCCTGCCCTGCTGAGTCGTGAGGACTCCCTGGATCAGGCACGGGGACGGGCGAGCTCAACTAATGGCAGCTGTCACCGGCTCCCGGGATTGAGAGCCCCTCAGCTCTCTGCCCACTGGGCTCGCCGGCGACAGGAGTTGATTATGCTGAACTGAATTAGAGGGACAAGACATTTGCTGGTTCCCTCCTGCTTCCATCTGGGAATTCAAATGTATCTCACATTCTCTTAGCCTCACAATAAATCTGTTCAGGAGAAGAAATATGTATGCCTTTTCACAGACAGTCAGACAGCACTGTGATACACAGAGATTAAGAAGAGTGTCTACCGCCACCCGGCAAATGGTGCTCTGAGAGCCGGCTTCCGGGCCGCGCCAGGCGCGCCGAGTGCGAGGAGGAGGAGGAGGCTGACGGAAGAGGAGGCCGAGGGAGGAGGCCAAGGAAGGAGGCCGAGGGAAGAGGAGGCCGAGGGAGGAGGCCGAGAGAGGAGGCCGAGGGAAGAGGAGGCCAGCTCTCAGCAGCAGGTGGGCGCGGAGCCCTGGGGTGCTCAGGTCTAGGGCAGCCTTTCCTTGGCCGTTTCTGGGGTGGGGCACAGATGCTGCTCCTTTGGGAACCACCTCCTGCACTGGTAAGTCACCAGAGGGTGGTGACCAGCCATCCACCACCACAGAGGTGCCAACCAGGAGTGGAGGAACCACTCATCTTCTCAGCCATCCTGGGAGAGTCAGGCGGATCCCGTGTCACAGAAGGAAACCAAAGCTCAGAGAGCTTAGGAACCTGTCCTCCTCGTCCCACTACCAAGAGACAGCGTCCCCCCTGCTCCAGGTGCTTGGTCCCTGGTGGCCACTCTGTCCCTAGAGCAAGGCGGGGCCCCAAGGCCATGGTGGGCTTTACCTCAATGCTGCTGATGAGCTCCAGGTACCGCAGGTCCTGCACCCTGGCGAAGGCCTGGGGAAGAAACAGGGCACAGTCAGCCACTGGCTTGGTTTCCAAAGTGGGTGGCTGGCTAGGGGACAGCGGAGCTGTGGCAAGGGACAGGGACAGTGAGCGTGGGTTCCTCATGGGGTGGGCCACCAGTGGGGCTCGGCCTGACCCCCAGGATTAGTCCTTACAAAGGACAGCAAAGAAGAGCTGGGTGCACCCGTCATTTGGGGATCAGGTCTGCGGAGGGTTCCAGGGGCCCCTCCATCCGCAGGGAGGAAGGAGCAGGTGGACTCGGAGCAGGGGACAGGGGGTGAGGCGCGGCCACCAGAGACCGCAGGCAAATCTCGGTGGCTTGGATGGGAAGCAGGAGACGGCTCTGCTGACCCAGGGGTGCCATCCACACAGCACCCAGAGCCCACAGCAGGGCGCAGAGGGAGGGAGGGGAGGGACAAGCAGAGAAGAAGGAAGGAGGATGGTTTTGGGAGGAGGGGACGGGGGTGAATCACTCGCGCGTCTTACGTAAACCCCGAAAGCACAGCCCTTGCTTGGACCCACAATAAAGCTAGACTTTAACCCCTGGCTGCCCGAGGTGTCTGGGCCCAGGAGGACTGGTGCCAACTGTACTTCTTTTGCTGCTTCTAGATTCTTCCAGGGGCTCTGAGGAAGGCCACCCAGTGTCAGGCTGGTCTTCCTGCGGCTTTGCCATCAACATGCTCTGCCATCAGCTTGCTTCTTCGCGCTGTCCTGTGGGAAGTGGGCTGGCGTGTGCCCAGGGCAGGCAGCGACTGAACAGAATGGCCCTGGCCACATGAGGCCCCAGCTCAGCTGCACGACGTCCTCGTCCTCAGAAGACTTAGGGCAGTGAGCAAGTCACCAGCCTCTGGGTGCCACGCAGATGACCACAATGTGACTTCATGTCTTCATCCAGTAGGGCTGACACCCTCACCGACTGGGGACCCAGGTGACTACGACGAGGCCTCTGTCCACCTCCCCAGTTCAGGGGCCCACATTGAAAAAGGGGAGGCAGGCAGAGCCAACAGGACACTACATGTCCCTGAGCGGAGGGCTAGACAAGTGTGCACACCCTGCAGAGAAGCCGGTCCCTGAGCACGGGCGGTGGCAGGCGGCAGGACGGGACCCTGGCTGGTGGCCTTGCTCTTTGTCTGTCTGGTTTGGAGACAGGGCCTCACTCTTGAGTCCCAGGCTGGTTTGGAGCTCTGGGCCCCCAGTGATCCTCGCAGCTCAGCCTCCCCAGCTGCTGGGACACGAGCACACGCTGCCACGCCCAGCAAGTGGCTTTTCTTGCAGAAGAATCTGCAGAAAGGTACGGCAGCCATTGCACCAGCAAAGGGATCCCAGGACTCCTTCTCCAAGGTTCTTTCCGGTTCTGCTGCGTGCAGTCCCCTGTGAGACTCATCTGTGTGTGAGTTCCTGCAGCCATGACGCATGCTGCAGAGTCAGGGTGGCTGGTCGGGGTGGTCAGAGTCACAAGGCCTGAGTACCCTCAGCGGAGGGAGTGCGCAGCCAGGGCCAGCCACAGCCGCAGGCCGGGCAGAGGGCGGCTCTCCCCTGCCATCTAGTGGCCGTGCTGGGCTACGGCAGGAACCCGCCTGCACAAGCCTGAGCCCCACACAGCGCAGAGGGTCAGGGCTCTGGATGGACCCCCAAGTCCAAGTCCAGGGGCAAAGTCTCGCAGCGTTTCTAGACATCACTCTGCCTGTGCCTACATGACTGTCGGCACAATTCTGTCAACAAGAACACCTAGACACACACTGTTCTAAGGACAACCGTGAGCTTTAGACAAGGCTTCTGTTCCCAGGGAGTGCTCTGGGGACACAGGGTGGGACATTAAGTAAACAGAGGGCCACCCTCCAGAGCCTGCCAGTCATCCCAACACGGGCGACATGGCAAGGGCCTGGCCCATGCTGGGGGGTCGGGGGTACTACGTGAGGCGGTGCTCAGTTCTAGGTGTGACGAGGTGACAGTCTGGGGGCAGGTCTGGATGTCACCCCAGCTGCAACAAACCAGCCCCTCTCAGGAAGCCTGCGCTCGCTCCACCCTTCCTGGCATTGATGGTGGAACAGAAGGAGCCCTCCAGGGAGACGGCTTCACTCCTCGGGATTCCTAAAGTCCCTCTGTGTCACCACATTCCTGACACTTACCAGATCTAAAAATACATACAGAGAACTACCGTGTCACGATCACTTCCTTTTTTTTTTTTGGTGGCCCCGGGAGGGAGCCCAGGGCCTTGCCTGTGCACATAGCACACAGATGTCCCTCGACTGTGGGAGACAAGGAGGGGAGGGAGCAGGAGGACGGAGGGGTTGGGAGCCAGCCCTCTGCCACCTCTTGTTGTCGATGCAAATCCAAGTAGGAAACACACTTGTGCTCAAAGTCCACAAAGGGGCTGAACGGCCTGAGCCACTTCTGCAGCTTTAACTGACTAAACCAGGAAATGGCGCGATGAATCAAGTCCGTGAATCATGCCGTGTAGGCATGTGGGAAGTGGCCGTCCTGCTGTCGGAATCCAAGTGTGACCATCCACATCCACTGGACTTGGCCGAGAACCCAGAGAAACAGCATTGTGTCAGCAACGGCCTAATGCTGATGCTAATCCAAAAGGAACCATTTATTGAGTGTCTATTATGTGCCAGGCTCTTAGTCAGATGCTTTACAGGAGTGACAGCCAGGAAGAGTGACAGCCAGAACCTGCCTCTTCTGCATGTGGCTTTAAGGCCTGTCCATTTGGATCTCTACCACTTTGCAAGGGTGGGGCCTAGCACCACCAGAACCTTCCAGAAAGGCAATCTCAGAAAGGTCGTTTCCTGCTCAGGCTCACTGCGAGGAAATGGCTGAGCTGAGACGCAACCCAAGTCATGCTTTTGCCCCTCGGTGTCACCTGGATCCCCCTCTGCCTCCTTAGGGGACCCTCCCGGGACCCCATGCCAGCTCGGGCCCATAGAGGCTTACCTTCTTTGCAGTTTCAAACTCTAAGCCTTCCAGGGCTTCCATAGCCAGCTCCCGCCAGTCGGCGTCCGTGACGCCCAGGCACGCGATCTGGTAGGCTTCCTTGAACAGCTTCCTGTCCAGGTACTGGTACATGGGAGCCGACTGCGGGGTGTCACCAAAAGGAGAAGACGAGTTTCAGAGCAACGGAAAGGGCAGATTCCTATGCAGCCTGCTTCCAGATGTGCGCAGCCTAGTTACGAACTCCTACAGAGCAGCCCCCCGGGGATCAATCGGGGTGCCCCCCCACCCCAGCCACCTTGCACGCTCTGCTTTCCACTCTGCACCCCGACCTCAGCAGAGCTGCGTGCTCTGGGCACAAGCTTCCTGCCCATCCAGCCCAGGCCGGCCTTCCCATAAGATGTCCCCCAGCCTGGAAAGGCCTACTGGGCTGTCAAGGCCCTATCCAAATGTCCCCTCTTCTGGAATCTTACCTGACCCCTCCACCTCCCACCCCAAGGGAGATCTGCCCTAGGTCCAGACTCGGGTCAGGCTCTAGTGACACGCTGGTCTCCTTGACAGAGCCCTGCACTACCTGGTTAGGGGTCACAGAGGCTTTTGGTTTTAGGGTTACAAAGTGCTTCTGACTCTGTCCTAACAGTGCAGGGTGGGCCAGTGTGGCCACTTCCTGAGACAGCCCAGGAGGCCCAGGCATGGCCAAGGACACCCGACCCGATGCTGGAGCAGGAGGTGACCTGTGTCGGGCCCTGGGACCCCCTTGCTTTGAGCATGCACGCAGACACGCGTGCACACACCAGAACCAGCCCCAGCCAGGCCTGACGTCCTCAATGAAGGCCCCTGTCCCTGTCCCAGGCCAGCCCCGGTGCCTCGGGGAACTGCATCTGCCCTTCTGGGTTCCCGGGCAGGGGAGATCAATCAGCCAGGACCTCTGTGCTAATGGTTCCCAAATGTGGAGCTCCACCACTGTTTTCTCCATTTGGGGGCCTTTATCTTTGAAATTTCCAGTCTTGATTTCTTAGCTTCAGTGTTGAAGGAAAGCTTTTTCCTTTCAAGCCAGTCTGCCCTCCCGACAGACAGCAGGACACGGCTGACCCTTCCCACGGTGCCAGGCCACCCACCTCTCCTCCCTGGAGGGAGCCAGCTGGGCACAGGCGGGGGCCACATCCTCGCTGGCCACCTTTGGGGTAAATCTGCCACCTTGGGTTTGGATGCCTGGCCCAGCTGAGGCTTCCAGGGGCAAAGGAGAGAGGTTCTGAGAGTGACCAAGGGCTGGGCAAGGAGGGAGCAGCAACACCTTCCTGTCTTTCCCAGCCCAGCTCCTCAGCCTTCTGGAACTTTCTGGACTCCTGGAGAGCCGTCCCCCTCCTGCAGGCCCCTGCAGCCCTCTGTGGGCTCAGGTTTCACCCCCTCCTGGGAGCTCAGCCGACTCCCATGCACCATGAGCTGCCTCCCTAACCCTCTTACTGAGCACCTCGGTTCCATCTGAGTTCTGCTTTGTGGTTGGGGCTGGTTCGTGACAGTCTGTAATAAGGAGAAATGATCATGGGAATGGAGCCAGGCAAAGCCTGAAGATGGGCATAATTAACCCCAATCCAGGCCGGGCACGGCGATGCAGCCCACGGTCCCCACCACTCGCAAGGCTAAGGCCGGGGCTCGCTCCAGTCCACAGAGCTCAAGGCCAGCCTGAGCCACAGGGCAAGAATCCATTCCAAAAACTGACAACGAAAATTAACCCCATGGCACAGGAAAGAAAATGAGACCCCAAGGAGTGACAAGACAGTCAGCTGAGGTGGCGGGGCCAGGGCGCAGAGTCTGGGTGTTTCTTCCTGGGGTACAGGGATTTGGGACAGCTGATGGAGAGCAGATGGGGACAGTGATCACCCGGGCACAGGAAAGAAAATGAGGCCCCAAACAGTGACAAGACAGTCAGCTGAGGTGGCGGGGCCAGGGCGCAGAGTCTGGGTGTTTCTTCCTCTAGACGACAGGAGGGTTTTTTTTTTTTTTTTTTTGTACCAGGGTTTGAACCCAGAGCACTTTACCACTCAGCCCCCTCCCCAGCCCTTTTCTATATTTTGTTTAGACAGGGCCTCGCTGAGTTGCTTAGGGCTTTGCTAAGTTGCTGAGGCTGGCCTCCAACTTGCGATCCTCCTGCCTCAGCCTCCTGAGCTGCTGGGATGACAGGCGTGTGCCACTGTGCCTGGTAAGAGAGCAGGCCTTCTTGCCTTGCTGACTGCCTGGTGACGCTAGAACAGGCACAGGGACAGGATCACCCCGACAGACGGACAGTGAACATGCACTGGCACCATCTGAGTGGGAGTTTTAAAAACCCCCTAACTGAACGGGCACCCTGGGAGGGACACTTCACCTCGCTGTTGTTTTCCAGCATGAGGTCACCCCGCCCCAGGAGCCTGCACAGGCTCGCTACCCTACTTGGCAGCTCTGACCAACCAGCTCTTGCACAAGATGATGTAAACTTCCAGAGGAAACCAAGAATCCCAAGAGCGGTTCTGGGGCTTTTTCCCCCATCTGGAGGCCTAGACCGCAGGGGGGCGGAGGCAGAGGCCACAGATAGACAGCCTTTGTCTCGGAGCCTCTCCCCAGCCCACTGTGACCTGCTGCCTCAGCAGGACGCTGGCCCAGGACTCTTAAGGTCCCAGCAGAGGAAGCCCCGGGTGGCCCCCTTGGCTCCTCCTGGCCGGCCAAGGTCCAGGGGCAGCAGACTGCAGTTGTCTTGGAGGTCAGAGTGGCAATCTGGGACCAAGACCTGTCACCAAGCACAGCCTGTCGGGCACACTGAAGAGCGGGCTCCTGGCGGGTGGGGTACAGGGATTTGGGACAGCTGATGGAGAGCAGATGGGGACAGTGATCACCCGGGCCAGGGGACAGTTATTGCCCCTCCCCCGCCATCGCTCCCACGGGCCCCCTCCCTTCTCTCTCTGTCCACTTCCTCAGATCGAGTTCACCACCACTTCTTGAGTAAGTGCCCGGCGGCCGCTAATAACAGACGCTGGCCCAGTCAGGCTGCAGGAGCAAGTCACAAGGGCCTCACTGGCTCAGAGGGAGAAGGGGGACCAGCCTGAGAGGTGGGGAGACCCACCGAACCCAGCGGAAGGCCATCTGAGCATACGTCCAAACAGCTCCAAAGGCACAGTCCTTGGTCTCCAGCAGCCTCACCTCTAGGAACTCAGACCCAGGGGCTGAGTTGGGAGAGATGGAGACCCAGCTAGAGAGGCGCCCACTGCTTATAAGAGAAAAGAAGTGACAGTGTCCATGTCCAATGGAGGAGCCGGTCAGGTGAGCTGTGAGCACCCATGTGACAGGATCGACCACAACACTGGGAGCCGGGCGCAGTGGCTGGCCCCTGTGATCCCAGCAACTTGGGAGGCTGAGGCAGGAGGATCACAAGTTGGACTGAGGTCAACTTGGCCATTTAGCAAGACTTTGTCTCCAAAAAAATAAATAAAAGGACTGAGGTGGCAGCTCATTGGAGGAGCATCCCTGGGTCCCTACGACTGTCAAAAAAATCCTGAAAGAAAAACAATTTAAAAAACCAAACCAAGCCAGGTGCGGAGGCGGACGTCTGTAATCCCAGAGGCCTGGGAGGCTGAGGCAGGAGGATCGTGAGTTGCAAGCCAGCCTCAGCAACTTAGCAAGGCATTTAGCAACTCAGCAAGATCCTGTCTCTAAGTAAAATATAAACAAGGGTGAGGATGTGGCTCAGTGGTTGAGCACCCCTGGGTTCAATCCTCAGGACCCAACAAAAGAAAAATTAAAGAAAATTGAAGTTGGAAATGGGCAGGGACCAGCAGATGTGGTCATGGAAGGACAGCACAGCACAGGGACCCTGGGATCCTGGCAGTGCTGGGGGGCAGCCTGTGGTGGTGGGTCACACAACCCTATGACGGTTTGCACACTGTGAGCCTGAGGGACTGGACACAATGTAAGGACTCTCTATAATTTCTTACAAGTATAAGTGAGTCTATCATCATCTTAATACTCGAAAATGCTGAGGAAGTATAATTATTGACATGGGACCAGGTTTCCAGTATAGACAACTGAGTGAAAATGCAGAAAACCAGTTTATAGCCAGTAACTCACTTGAAGGCATCCCCACGGCGTGTGCAATTTCTAAATGTCAGATTGAATGAGAGGATTGGCACAGGGAGGAATTTCAATCCCCCCACCCTTTTTTTTTTTTGGTATTGGGGGTTGAACCCAGGGGTGTTTTTATCACTGAGCCCTCTCCCCAGCCCCTTTTTTGTTTTTCTATTTTATTTAGAGACAGGGTGTCACTGAGTTGCTTAGGGCGTCGCTAAGTTGCTGAGGCTGGCTTTGAACTCGAGATGCTCCTGCCTCAGCCTCCCGAGCCACTGGGATTATAGGAGCCCACCTAGAAGTTCCGATCTCTGGCTCACAGGCCACATTCAGTAGACACAAGAAGTCTAAGGTTCATCTTTAGGTAGCAATGCTTCTGAGGATAAGTCACAAACAATCCTTACCTTGTGTTCACAGGAAATCCTCTACTCGTAGCTGTACGTGGTGTGTGTATTGTGTACGCATATAGAAAGGTCTGGATGTACACATTCCAAAATGGTAAGAAATGACCCTCTCTCGAGGACCGATGCTGGGGTTCTAGGGTCTGTCCTTGTCTCATGACAGCTTACAGTGAGCACCATTCACTGGGGGCAGATGTGACGAGGCGGCCCCCACGTGGGCCGCAGGGATGCGCTCTCCTGTCCCCCTCTGCCCCCCCCACTGTACCCCACACACTCCAGCTCTGCCTTTCTGGTCTGGCTATTCCGACTTCGGGGTCCCCTTCTTTCTCCCCCGCCCCCCAGGGGCCAGGCCAGGGCCAGGCTTACCTGCGGCACCTCCACGGCCGTCATGGCGAAGAGGTGGAGACAGAAGATCTTGGAGCCGTTGTAGCCGACCACGAAGCCCTGCAGCCTCTGCTGGTGCACGGGGAAGGTGCTGGCCTTGATGTTGAGGTAGCCTCCGCCCGAGAAGCACAGCATGTCCTCGCACTGTGTGTTCCAGGCCACGCTGTTGGCGTTGGGTTCCTGCAGGGCAGGCGGGAGGGAGCCCGTGACAGTCACCCTGGGCCTTGGCACCACTCGGTGGCTCCAATCAGAGCCATCCTGAAGACCGAATCATACTGAAAGGACCAGGGGGTGGAGGGGCAGGTAGGAGGGACCAGAAAGAAAAGTGTGACAGCTCCTCTAGGTCCTGCTGACCCCGGGGGCGCTCAACCATGGAGCCCCGTGCCCTAGAGACAGGGCCTCGCTAAGTTGCTGAGGCTGGCCTCGAACTCGTGATCCTCCTGCCTCAGCCTCCCAAGCTGCTGGGAGGACAGGCGTACACCGCCCAGCATGGTGCTAGTGTTGGAATTTTCAAAAAAGCACTACTTTGGGGAAAAAAATATTATTCTCCCCACGTGGTGATCACTCTAGGATTCCACCTCTTTTAAAGAACAGATTCGCATCTCTCTACGTGAAGAGGACTGAGGGGAAACATTCCAGAGGACCAGCTGTGAATGCTTCTGGGTGGGTGTTCATCCTCTCTGCTTTTTGTTTGCCTGAATTTTTTCCCCTCCGTGACTACCTATTGTTTTCTGTAATAAGAAAAGAACAGGGAGTTCTTTTTAAAATTAGAAAATGATATATTGTCTCTGCATTTTCCAACTCACACTCTCTAAAAACTGTCACCCTGGGAGGTGCCTCGCCCCATTAGACTGCTCCTCCACCTGGAGCCCTAGGGACCAGCAGAGACTCAGACCCTGCTGCTTGGCGTCTTTTTTTTTGGGGGGGAGGGGTCTGGGGTGATATTGGAACCCACGCTCCCACTGAGCTACACCCCCAGCCCTTTTTATTTCTTTTGAGACAGGGTCTTGCCAAGTTGCTGAGGCTGGCCTTCAACTTCCGATCCTCCGGCCTCAGCCTCCTGAGTCACTGAGATTACAGGTGTGCACCTCTGTACCTGACTCTGCTGAGAATGTGTTATGCCTACGTCTCTGCAATGAGCAGGGATTGCTTTTATAATGAGGGGGAAATACAGCTGGTTTTATTTGGAAAAGAGAAAGAACCAGCAGGCCAGAGACACTGGAGCTGGGCTGGCCTCCTGGAAAGGCCCGGGAACCTCCTTCCCTGGCCTCCTACCTCACGGGGGCCTGTTAACCCCCCCTGGAGGAGGTGGGCACCATGGCATGCTGTTTGTTCCTGTAGCAATTCTGAATTTCCAGTTTCATTTCAGAGACAAGGAGAAACCGAGGCTCTGAGAGAGTCACCGACTTGCTCAAGATCACACAGTAACGGATGTGGGCAAGAGGAAGGCATGCCCAGATCCATCTGGAGACAATGGCCGCCCTTTCTCTCCCCTAAACACCCTCTGCGTCTGGGATGTGAGCTGACATTAACTGGGAGTCACCTCTGTGCTAGTGGCAGCCAGGTAGCCCTGGCTCTCCCCATGATACTGAAAACCCCGGCACTGGGAGAGGGCCCGGTCAGGAGAGGGCACTCACTCCCTGACCACTGTCAAAGCCCCAAGGAGGCCACGAGGCCTGGGTCCAGCAGGAAGCCAGCCAGGCGCCAGTCCCGGGCCTTCTTCTGCAGCGACACACTCCTCCCAGCCACAGGATCCATGGTGTGTCGGCAGGGCCCAGCCCCCAAAGGCCCAAGCAGTCGTTTCCTTGGCTCATCGGCCCCTTTGCAACAAGGACAAGGGTGGGCTTCCACCCGGCCCTCGCTCCCCTTCAGATGACCATCCTGTAGCTCGACTGTGCCTGAGGTCACCCGCAGACACAGGCAGCCACCAGAGGTGGCCACAGCCCTCTGGAAGCCCATCAGAAGCCCCACCTGGACATGAGCCCAGCCAGTCGGGTTTTTTAGGATCACTTCATTTTCCCTGGTTTCTCAGGAACCAGGTGGGACTCAGCTGTGCGGCTGGTGGGGAAATCAAAGGTGGGAAAGGCCAGTCTAGGCCCCACTGTCCCCAGGCCTGTGGGAAGAGCCAGGTCCCCACCTGCGCTGCTTCCCCCAGAGACCAGCCTGGGCCAACAGGGGCGCACCTCCTGCAGGGCCTGGGGGTTCGCAGCCAGCGGTCATCCAGCAATGTCCCCACATCACCTGGAAGAGCAGCTCCTTGGTGTGGACGTCGTACACCAGGCACGTGTCGTTCTCGTCCACCACGGCCAGCTTGTTCCGGGACGCGCTCATGTCCAAACAGCGCACGGCGGTGGCCTGCTTCAGGAGGACGATGGCGAAGAGATTGTCCACAAAGATCTTCAGGATCTGGCAGAGTTTCAGAGGAAGAGGGAGAGTCGCTATGGCAACCAGGGCCTGGCACCCGGCCAGCCGCGGAGTCCCATGTGTTCTCAGAACAACTCCCCCAACGCCACCAGGAGCCGCGCAGACAGGGGACTCGCTCAGGGAAGAAGGGGAAGGGGGTGGGGGGCTTATCCTCAGGAGACCAGAGGGGGGTTCACCCAGGTGGCCGAGGGAGTGACAGGCCTGAGCCAAACCAAACGCACTTCAGTGTCCACTCGGACAGGGGACGTGTCACGGCCTTACTCAAAGTGCAAGGTGCGGGGACACCAGTGAGTCACCAACTAACACAGGAAGAGGCGAGCACAGACCCTGATAGGACACCTGGTGTGAAATCACAGTGGTGAGGCTGATGGTGACAGCCACCATTGATTGACACTCCCACCAAAAAGGTAGTATCATCCTCATTTGTAAAACTGGAGTCTCTGAGAGGGAAAGCGACCAGGCCAGGGTCACAGTGAGCAGCTAAGGAACAACACGATCCCAGGGTGACCTGCCCCCAAGTCCACCTCGAGGGAGACTCTCCCCCCACACCACTGCGGTCTCGCTGCTCGATGGCTCCCACCGATCGATCTCGTGCTCTGGGACTTCTGTCCCCAGCAAAGGACCTGACAAGCCTCAGCCGCAGCCATCTGCTACACAGCCTGGCTCTCAGGCTAATGCAGTTATATTTTCACTTTTAAATTGCTATGTAGCCCACGTAGAAATGTCCTTATTTTGAGCACAGAACACACATTCGCACACTCGCACGCACACACACACACACTCCCGCACCAGAAATCTGTCTGATTTAGTGTGACCTGCATGTCCTGCATCTATCTGCCCAGAGGGTCCCCTTTGCTTACAGCATGTGGTCATGTGCTGAGGACCTGGCACTGTCGAGGTCCCTGGCCAGGACACCCTGCGTAATCCATTCCCGCCCTAATAGGGATCTGACCCAGGACCGGTCCCCGTCTCCCTCCCCCGCCATCCACTAAAGCTGCATCTCCAACAGATAATCGCCCACCTTCCGGGTGACCCCAAGCCATTAATCCGTCCTACGTGCAGTTCAGGGCTGGGCCACCAACCCTGCCAGAGATCGAGCAAGCCACATGCATGAAGGCAGTCTCATAAAGAGGTCCCTTGCAATGCGCCAGGCAGGCCCTCTGCTGTCCTGGGAGACCATCTCGGTGGCCCAGAGGAGCGGCCTGTGTCTGCCTGCGGATGGTGAGCCGGAGGGCACGTGAGGGAGGGCTCACCTGTCCGTTCTTCAGGCCCACCAACAGGCCTTCCCTGGCAGAAGGGCCACCGATCACCTTGATGTAGCGAATGAGAGACTCCATCTGCCACTCGCGCTCCTTGACCCCGGTGAAGGTCAGGCACTGCAAGCGCTTCTCCTGGAAAGCAAACCCAGTTCCAGAGAAGTGTCCCCGTGCTCCCAGGGGGCCTCCTGCATCTGGGGACAGAAGGTGGCCCTGCGCTCGGTGCCTCACCAACCCCACCTCGTCCTCGGGATTGGCAATGGTTAATCCCCATGCGGGGTCTCCTCCTCGGAGCCCGCCTTCACCCTTTCTTTAAAGCCGACCCCACGGCCACAGGCAGCACCCCAAAGTACAACTACTTGCTCTACCTATCTTTTTTATTTTTATTTTTTTGTGTGGTGCTGGGATTTAACCAGGGCCTTGTGCACGCTGGGAAAGCGCTCTACCACCTGAGCCATATCCTCAGTCAGCCCCACACCCTGTCTTATAATTCCTAAATAGACAAGAGTTTAAACTCCAGAAACTTCCAAAGGATTTCTTCCCTTTTTTTTTTTAAATGAATTCCAACATGCGAAGGTGGAAACCTAATCCACCTCAACTCGCCTTCTCTCCAAGTCTTTCCAAATTTCTCTTGGTATTGACCTTGACACTTTTTAGATATGTTCAGAACACTTTTTCGATGAATAAACAAATCTCTCTGGAGGTAAAACTTCCTTGACTGCTGAGTCGATCCAAGTTTTTTATGTGTGAGTGCTGACCAAAAAAATCATCTTCATCTTATGGGATGAGCCAAGTTCTGTTTTGAGTCATGAGATCTAACCCCAGTCACCCAAAGTGGCCTACAACTGGGAAACAGGTCTTCTCTACTTCATGGCTCAGGTCTCCCCAGGAGAGGCTGATTGGTCTACATGCCAGTAAAGGGAATAATCACAGTCACAGAGTGACTGAAAGGGAGCATCCAAAGCCTGAGGTGGGGCGGGAGGGGGCTCTGGGGGGAGCAGGGAGGGCCACCAGCCCCCCAGCTTCAGCCCACCTGGCAGAGGATGATGTGGTCCGTGCACACCACCAGCAGGTTGCAGTCGTACTTCCGGAGAATCTTCTCCTTCACCTGGTAATGCATGTCCGAGGAGTCGTCGGAATACAACTCGTAGATGAGGATCTTCTCTGGCAGCTGAATCGCTAATCGATTTTTGTAGATGGCAATCTTCTTGACAAGCTCTTTGCATTTAATACGAACTGTCAGAGACCAAAAAAAAAAAAAAGTCAGGCTGCTAAGTAAGGTGGAAGGCAGAGAAATTAAAAGCTATCACTTACTTAATGCTACCGGCAATTACAGTGAGATGCTCTCATTAAAAATCTTTATGGAGGGGCTGGGGTGGTGGCTCAGCGGTTGAGCACTTGCCTAGCATGGGCGAGGCCCTGGGTTCGATCCTCAGCACCACATAAAAATAAATAAAAAAATAAAGGTCCATCTACAAGTGAAAAAATATTAAAAAAAAATCTATATGGAGTGTCTGATATATACAGTCGGCTCCGCTGAGCACTGGGATCCAAAGTTGTACACAATATGATCTTGGTGACCCAAGCTTACAACCCAGGACAGGAAATAACATGTTTTGGGGTTGCTAATTGCTGAGTGTGAATCTCAACTCTTCTGCACAACATGGATGGCCCCTGATGATCGGGAACCCACCAAAGTGACCAAACTCACCTCTGGCCACTCCCACCCACCTCCTTGACAGCAGGGGACAGTATGTAGTTTCTGGGACACACTAGGCCATGCCTCACTACAGGCCAAGTAGGAAAAATGGAAAAATGCCCAGTTGCCCGAGTGACTTCGCTTCACCCATCACAGAACCTTCAAATGTAGATGCTCCTGGATGGGGACCACAGGGAGCCAGCCTGGATCTGCAAGAAGATGCCCAACCTGGGTCCCTACACGAGGGCACCCACGAGTGTGAGACAGTGTGAGTGTGAGTGCTGCTGCAGCAAGGGCACGTGTGGCCTGTTGACCCAGCAGGGCCACCCGTGTGGACTTGGACTGGGACGCAGTGCGTGAGGCCCAGGCTGAGCTCATGGGCCACCCAGTCTCTAGCAGGACTCACCCAGAGGCAAGGGGAGGCTGAACTAAGAGAGTGACCTTGACCCAAGAGGGTAGAGACCCACACTGACCCATGTGGCCAACCACCCTGGCTCTGGCAGGCCACAAGTCACCCTCTATTTCTCAAAAAAACCTGCAAACATTTTGTGAGTCAGAGCATATTTTTAGAGAGAGGTCATTGCTTTCCTTATAGCCTCAGGGAGACCCATGTCCCCCCGGCCCCTGGCCCCAAAAGCAAGAATCAGAGTTTGCAGATGTCTTCAATAGGCCAAGGAGAGACATTTCCTTGTCACTTCAGGGCACTGTCACCGGCTCCCTCGACCTGCCCCTGCCCCCAGTGCCTGCCCTACCTTTCTGCTCCGTGATCAGGTGCTGGATCACCACGTCCGTCATGCCGTCCCTGTAGGCATAGCGGTCCTTGTAGAGCCCGTGAACTGTGCTGAAAATGAGCTGGTAGAAGGCGATGGTGCCATCCTGGCAGCCGACCACCTGCAGGGAAGGACAGCCATCAGCTCCGCACGGGGACAGTCCACCCTCCCAGGTCAGGAAGACACCAGGATCTGACGGCCAAGATGGCTGCCGGTCAGGGCCTCCTCGGGTAGAGGCCTGGAGAAGGGCCTTCTTCCTCTTACCACATAGTTGGAATCGGGCTTCACTTTACAGGTCCACACCCAGGAGTTCTGCTCCCCGATAGTGCCCAGCCGCACTCCGTCCTTGGTATAAAGGGACACTTGCTTGTCTGACCCCCCCAGCAAAATGTACTCCCCTTTAGTGAAGTAGCTGAGGCAGCAGGGGTCAAAGTTCAGCGACTGGTCCTTCCCGATCTGAGGAAAGAAAAGCCACACCACGGGAAGGAGCAGGTGAGGGTCCATCGTCACCACACCACCGTCAGTCGCTTGACCCCCCCACTTGAGCAGGGGCACCTGGGAGGACGGGGAGGGCTGGCGGCCTCCATTATGAACACAGCCTCCCTGCCTCCGGGCCTCCCTCCTCCTCCCCCTCCACCCAGCCAAATCCTGACTCCTGGTGGCAACCGCATCTTCCTCAGGTGACCCAACTGTCCTGAAGTGTGTCTTAGCCTCGCAGTCAACCTGGGGGCGGGAGGTGGTCTCTCTCCCGCAGGCCCCCTCCGTGTGTGGCTCTTGACACATGCAACGTGGGTTCCCTCCACCCCTGGACTTAGTTTTCTATCAGTTTCTCCCCCCAGGATTTCACAAAGCTGAGAGCACAATCCGTGGCTTCCAACAGTGAGACAGCTGTGCCGCCATAACTGCTGTCACACACCAGGACATTCCTGTCACCCCCAAAAGAAATCCCACATCTGTCAGAACTCCAACTGCTCGATTCTGTCTTCTCTTCACCCCCGAAACCTCTGACCTGCTCCCGTGTGCAGTGTGACCTCCTGTGGAATCCCACGATGTGTGACCCGGGTGGCGCCCATCAGTACATCGCTCCTGCTCATCACGAATGGCTGGGTCACGTGGAAACTTTATGTCTAACCTTTCAGGAAATGCCACACTTCTTCAGTGACTGTGCTTGGAGGTTCCTACTGTCCTGTCCTAAGGATTCCCATTTCTCCATCCTAGTGGCGTAAAGTGGCATCTGGCTGTGGCTTTGATCTGTATGTCTGTGATGGCTTGTGATGTCGGCCTTCACTTCCGAGGCCTGCTGACCACAGGTCCTTTTCCCATGCTTCGCCTGGTTATGGTCTTTGATGACTGAGTCGTCACAGTTCTCTATGTAGTCTACACACAAGCCCCCACTCAGATATGTGATTCAGAAAAAAGAAATCTCTCCCTTTCTGTGTGTGTGTGAGTGTGAGTGTGTAACCTCCTTTGAGGTGCCTGCCTCAGCTTTTAGGATGAAGGTCAAAGTCCTGAGCTCGGCCTTGGAGATCCTTTGCTCACTTAACATGAGTTTGCGACTGTCCACACGGATGGCACTCTCAGACTGCCGTGTCCACACAGGTGTTATTCTTTCCATGTCCCCAGAACCAGCCACCTGTCACCTTCCCCAGGAAACATCCCAACCTCCCCAGATTTAGACCCCCACACCCCCGGCCCCGGCCCCCACCCAGCACCTCCCTCTCTGTTCTGGTCACAGATCTGAGCTCCTGTCTTCCCTGCAGCCCAAGCCTCTCTTGCCACCAGAGTTCCTCTTGCTGCCTCTGGGGGGGTCTTTTCTGGGGGGAGGACTACTTATTAACATTATTGAACTAATAATCAATTTATCAAAGAAAATTCTAGAAACCAGTTTCTGCCTTAAACTCAATGTACAGGTATCTCCCTATTTCTAGTAAAAGGGATCAGCCAGTTGACTTTGTTTAATGAATGCCATTTTGAACAGATTATAATGTCCCTCAAATAGCCACATTTGCAACTCAGTTAATTCCCGTAAACTAATTTAAACTGCAATTATAAGTTTAAGAAGCGCGATTTTCATGTCTTTTTTAGGAATTTCCAACGCCTAACAACCAAAAGTTTCCTTCATACCTACACAGTGTTAGTAAATCTAATAAGAAAACTGAAAAAATCTCAAGAATTATGATATGAGAGGCCGGCACCTTTCGGTAAAGGCCCAGTGCTCCTGGGGGACCAACCTTCCTCTAACTTAATCCTGAACTCTGAACCCCAAATACAACACACCTGAAGACACTGGCGGGCAACCAACAGCAGGTGGAAATGAAGACGTGCGCACACACAGAAGTCAGGAATGACACTCAGGGGAGCTTCTCCCCCACCCTCCTCCCTGGGGTGCTCCACCCCTGAGCTACGTCCCCACTCCTTTTTATATTGACACAGGGTCTCACTAAGTTGCCCAGGCTGGCCTCCAACTTGTGATCCTCCTGCCTCAGCCTCCTGAGTTACTGGATTCCAGGTGAGTGCCACTGTGCCTGGCTGAGGTTCTTATTAAAAATGAGGCAGGACGTTCCACAACAGAGAGGCAGAGGGACAGCCTAGGTTCTGCACAAAAACTCAGCTGAGTGTCTGGAAAGGCCTGAGCTAAGGCTGAAGCTGCACAGACTCCAGCTACTGTGGGCCACTAATTCGTCAGATACACTTTTCTCCGTTCTCTCCTTTACTGGGTGGGATTCCAGTTCAGTGGTCTCTAACATTTCTGTTAAGCTCATCCAGCGGATTTTTTATTTCAGTTATTGCATTTTTCAATTCTAGAATTTCCATCGGATTATCTCTCCACGTCTGTGCCTTCATTGTAAGCATATTTTCCTTTATTTCCATTATTGGTAAGCCAGGTCCTCTTCTGCACTTAAAATGCCAAAAATGCACAAATTTTACATAAGCCTAAGAGACTGTGTGCCACACACTGCTGAATGAGGATGCTCTCGCATTACGTGGAGGAGCTTCCAGGGCCTGGCAAACCAGCCGCCAGGTCATTAAGATAAGGGTTTGGGGAAATCAGTCATTGGACACACACACAAAAAAAATATATCTGCTATCTTAATCATTTCCTTACTCAGCTACAAAACAAGTGAGCACTTGTAAGACAGGCATAGAGGAAATGGCCTAGGGCTGGGCTGGCCCATCTGGAACCTTGGTCTAGCAGACACACGTGGAGGAGTAAGGATGCCCTGAAACCAAGGACCCCACCCACTGGGCGTATTTCCTTCCGGGCTGAGTGTGCAACCCACACCCGCCACCTTCACACTAGCCTGGACACTTTTTTCCACTGACACGTCATCCTGTTATCAAAGTCCCTATATTTTAATGTGCAACTGAAGACTTCTTCTGAAGCAGGACCCTGACCAGGCCCCTCGCTGCCTGCCATCTAGGGCTCTTCAACACTATGGGATGTCACGCCCAGTGCGTGTTCCTGTCCTTCACAACCATGTCCCATCTGCCAGCTCATCTTCAATACACAAGCTCTGGGGTCAAGCCGCCCTTAGCAGCTCGTTGTTCTCGCCCTGCCTTGGCCTGAAACCATTCCCAGGATCCTTGGGAATTCCTGCTCGTCCTGTTCCCAGGGCTGCAGGATCTCCCACCTACTCCTGTGGATGTTCTATACTTGGGGTCCTTGTGGTGGCTGTGCAGCTGTCTGGAGGGGATGCCATGTATCCCACCACACTGGGACTGTCTGCCATCGGGTGTGTCCCCACCAGGCTGTGAGCTCTTGTAGGGCACAGACGAGCGCTTACACTCCTCCATATGGGGGCCAACCCAGAGGGGGCCATAAACACTGGGGGGTGACTGGGAGCTGGACTCTCTTGGTGGTGATCACACGCATTTCAGACAAGGGCTCACCTCTGAGTCCCAAAAGAGAGACTTTAAATTCATACAATCAAGACTTCAGGGTCAGGCTCCACTATGTCCCAGCAGTGTGGGATCCTGGGCATAATATTTCATTGCTCTGGTCTTGGCCGACTTATTTCTAAAAAGGAGACCTTGACGCAGCCACATCCATGTTTTTAGCCGCTCAAGTCACAAGAGCCAAGCCAGGAAACAACCGTACGTCCGTACGGCCCTACATACCTGCTTTCCACTCAGTTGGTAGAAGGAGAGTTTCTGTCCCCAGTCAGCTACAGCCAGGATGTCATTATGCTCCTCTCTAATCAACAGAAGACAAAAGAGGTTAAGGGGGGTCGCAGACTGCTGAGGAGCACAGCCCCGACAGCCCAGTGAGCAACAGGAAGCAGCAAGCCCGGCCGGGTTGGCAGGATGCCCTGCTTGTGAAGCCAAGGGCTGTAATCTGGCTCAGTCCACTGACCAGTCCACCGGGCTGAGCAGAGGGCAAGGTCGGGCCTCCTGGGGTCTGCGGCTCCCCTGCTGATAGGCTGGGACACTGCCAAGTGGCTGAGAGCAACACTAAGAAAGAGCAAGTTACAGTGCAAGAGCACCTTTTCTTATGTACTAAAAAATAGGGGAACAGCGTTTGCAGAGAGAAGCCACAGACTCTCTGGTGTTTGATAAACAGAGGCAAAACTCACTTGCGCCTCCTAAAGAGGAAAAGTTAACCCCTGGAGCCAGGTTCTCTTGCACCTTACACAGGTGCAATGGCTTCTTACTGGATTTCTTTTCCTTCTTATTTTTTGAGACAGGGTCTCACTGTGTTGCTCAGTCTGGCCTTCAATTTGCAATCCTCCTGCCTTGGCCTCCTAAGGCACTAGGATTGCGGAGTACACCACCACGTGTGGCTTTGGATCTGATTATAAAAAGGGTCTTAGACTTTCAGAAGACCAAGAACTGTTCTGCAACTGCGATCTCTGGGGATCAGTGCCTTGGGGCTGGGGCCGAGGCTTCAGCTGAGTGGGGGAGAGGGCTACCTGGGAATCTAGTTCAAGAGAGAGGCATCTCCAGTCTTTAAGGCCGGGTCTCCATGCACCTAAAGTGACCACCTTTACTAATTCCAGCTTTTCGGAGCCCAGGGCCTGACGGTCACCTGGCAGTGTCACAAGATATGCTTGAAAAACCCAGCCCAAAGTAGCAGAGTGGAAAAAGTCATAGGTACTAGTTCAGAAGAAAAGAGGAAAAGAGAAAGGTTGAGAGAGTGGTGTGGGCAGGAAGGGATCTGCAGGTGAGCTCTGGGCAGGCGGCACTGAAACTCAACCCAGCCCAGGACCAACCCGAGGCCACCCTTCTGGGGAGGTCCCATGTGGCTGTGGGCTGGGCTGTGTCCCTGTGAGCTGGATTGGCACCTTTCAAACTTTCCCTGCCCCTCCCCAGGGCCGTGGGACTCTTCACCACGACAAAACCTCATGGGGACCCGAAGCCCTCCTAGTTCCTCTCTCCCTCCATGACCCTGGGTTCTTCTGAAGAACCTCGAGCACCTCGGATGCGGTGTGGCGAGTCCCAAGCTAGGTCAGTACTGGCCAAGAGGACATCTGGTGGCAGCTCTCCCACTCTGCCCCCTCTGGAGCTGTCCCCACAGGAAATCTCAGGGGACAAGAGAGACCGATGGGCTTCCAGGCTTGGTGGCCAAGGACTGTGGGAAATTGAGCACGTCCTCTTTGATGGGTGTCCTCGTCCATGCAAGGAGAGGTACGGTGTGGGGACAGGCCAAGAAAGGTGTCCAGGAATGGAAGAAGTGGTAACCGAATCATGGACACCCACACTATGCAGATATTTTTTAAAAATCACAGTTTTCAAAGGATTTTTTTCCCCTAGTACCAGGGATTAAACCCAGGGGTGCTTAACCTCGGAGCCCCATCCCCAGCCCTTTTCTATATTTTATTCAAACACAAGGTCTCGCTGAGTTGCTTAGGGCCTTGCTGAGTTGCTGAGGCTGGCCTTCAACTCACGATCCTCCTGCCTCAGCCTCCTGAGCAGGGGTGGAGGATGACAGGGGATTATAGGCCTGTGCCACCATGCTGGGCTCAGAGGATTCTTAAGGTTACTGGGAAATGTTCCTTAACTGAAAATCAAGAAGCAAGAAAATCTCTGCTCTTTCAAGATTCCCTCATTTCTTACAGGATCACGTGATGGCTCACGTACAAGTGCTTGCTGGGCGCTCCCTTGCTGGGGACGCTGGTCTCTCCCTGCTCCCTGGCCCTTACAGGAGGGCCCTGGCTCCTTGGGACACTCACGAGCTGCCGTCCCGGGGAGAGTCGTCGTCTTCCTCGGGCTCCTCCTCCTCTGCCTCACTACCCTGACTACTGTACACTGTTGGCTTCAGAGTGGAAGGGATTTCCTGAAAATATCTGCTGACAATGATTTCCTCAGCGTCCTCGTCCTCTCTGTCCGTCCAAAAATTCTCCCATCGGCTGTGGACAGTAAGTGGTTGTTCACAATCACAGGGCCCAGGCCGTCACTCCTAAGCCTGTCAAGGAGCCCCTGGACCCTACCCGGAAAAGCAGGCCACCAGGTACGCTGGGCATCCTGCTTCTCATGAATTAAAAATGGGAGCCTGAAGCCACAGAGTCATCTGTGGCCACAAAATCAAACAGCAGGAACTGTGGGGTAGGCTAATGGCTGCTGATGGCATGAGATACATGCTGCAGGGCCGGGCCAGGCCGGGTGGTCCAGGAAGCAGCATAGTAAGCTGGTGTGGGAGAGGCCGTGGAGTGGGGTGGCCTCCTGAACCAAGCAAGGGCCCACCTATGAGGTGACACTGAGCTGCTAACAGTCAAGTCCTGTGATTTACCTCTGGAGGACTCTGGGGTGGGGTTGGGGGTTTAAGGACATCAAGGGATTACACAAAGAGCCTCTGAGGCTGTATTAGGCCCCCTCACGTCACCTGGGCACGGGAAGGAAGTGGGGGTGAGGTCTGATCAGGTAGATGTCAGTGGTCCGCAGACCTCTAGGTTGTAGGGACACGTTTGGACCTAATTTTAACTTTTTTGGCAAGGGCAAAAACAATAAAAAATATAAAAATAAGGCTCGTGACTGAAAAGGCTGTGGACCAACAGGTGGGCACGTGGTCTGTCCAAGCTTGGAAAGTTCAGCCGAAGGGAAGAGAGAAACAGCCACAGGAAAGATGGCAGCAAGTAGTGCATAGGGAGATGGCCGTCCTGAGTCGCTCACCCCAGGCACACTCAGACACGCGTGTGCACACACACACACACACACACGCACCCCGTGGGCCGGCCTGCAGAGCTCAATCTGCTTGGCTTCATCTGTGGGATTCATTCCAAAACTCAAGACAGGCCCTTTGAAAAGGAGATTTCAATGGAACAGAAGAGATTCCACACCAAGCCGTCTAGTGGGTCAAGAAGACTTTCGAAATACAGTGACGTTGGGAAGACAGAGCGAACTCTGCCCGCTGAGGTGTCTGTCCCCAAAGGAGGACGATTGGGAGGGTACCTTGATGGGTTCCAGCAAATGGACCATATTGGGGACAGGGAGCCCCCGGGCCTCTGGATCTTGACTTTCTCCTCGCCGTTCTTGTTCCGGATGCTGATGACCCCGTTGAACATCCCCAGGGCCAGGTACTGACCGTCATTTGTCCAGCTGTGCACATGATCGACAGAGAAGGGGACAGGAACACGTGAGGAGGAGGCCTTGATTTTAAAGAAGTGGGGGGGGCGGCGCAGGCTGGGCTACCGTCCTGCTCATCCCTGACATAAAATCAGAGGTCCAGCTGAAACTCCCACCTGTTTTGGGGACAAGTGTCATTTCCCAAGTGCCCACAGTTCTGAACAGTGCCCCATGACAGCCCTCAGCTCCTGCCTGCAATCCTGCCCCCGCCCCACCTCCTACTGTCCAATCCCCTCCCACACCCAAGCACCCTACAATGGACCCTGAGTCTTGGTTTGAAAGATGAAGGAACATAAAGCCTATTTTCAAGTGGCCCTTGACCTACCTGCAGCAGGTGACCCTGTTGCTTGATTTGTGCTTGGAGACAGACTTCTGTTCAGGAGACCACAGGCCTGGGATGTGCGGGAATACAAAGGACCAAGTGGTCAGAATACTATGCAACAATCAAAAAGGAATAAACTTAGTTGACCTGTACAGCAATTTAGAAGGTCTCCAAGGTTTTCTGTTGAGCGAAAAAAGTCCACCTCAGAAGGTCATACACCAGATACCAGATACCAGAGTCCATTTTTTTAAAAGTTTTTTTTCTTAGTTGTAGGTGGACACTATACCTTTATTTATTTATTTTTATGTGGTGCTGAGGATCGAACCCAGTGCCTTGCACGTGCAAGGCAAGAGCTCTACCACTGAGCCACAACCCAGTGCCACATGATTCTATGTATATAATATTCTTGAATGCAAAACTATAGGACAGGGAACAGATTCATGGCTACCAGGGGTTGGGAATAGCAGGAGGTAAGGAGGTGCGTTGGTGATAAGCGGTATCTATGTGATGGTGGAATTGCTCTGTATCACAGTGGTGATAATCAAAATGTGATAAAAATGGCAAAAGCTAGCTGGGCGAGGTGGCACATGCCTTTAATCCCAGCGACTCCGGAGGTTGAGGCAAGAGGATCACAAGTTCAAGGCCAGCCTGAGCTACTTAGTGAGACTCTCAGCAACTTGGTGAGACCTTGTCTCCAAAAGCAAAATTAAAGGATCAGGGATACAGCTCATTGGTAAAGTGACCTGGGTTCAATTCGCAGTAGCCCCCACCAAACATAAATAAATAAATAAAAGACAGAACTCTACACACACACTGTGCCTGGCCCAGTTTCCTGGTTTGGGTGCAAACGTTACGTAAGACGTGCCCACTGGGGGAATCAGATGAAGCCTGCGTGAGACTACCCTGGACTATCTTTGCAGCTTACTGAGAATCTATAATTATTTCAAATGAAAAAAAAAAAAAAAAAGAAGATAGATTAGTGAGGCTCTAGCCAAAACTTGTCTGCAATTTAAGTCTCAAAGAAATAAACTAGGACACTGTAACCATAGGGATGGACGCTGGGCGAGTGTCTCACGCCTGTAATTCCAGCTGCTCGGAGGCCCAAAGCAGGAGGGTCACAAGTCTGAGTCCGGCCTGGGCGACTTATCAAGACCCTGTCTCGAAATAGAAAAGAGATGGAGCTCAGCGGCAGAGTGTCCTGGTTCAATCCCAGGGCTGCGAAATCTAATGAATAAATAAAATAATGACTGGTGCTAAGGATAAGTCTCCTCTCCCAGGACTCCGCCACAGCACACAGCCTCGTTCTTGGGACACTTGGCACCTAGGCTTGCTCCCTGTGGCCCCAGATGCCCTGGCTCAGTGCCCCACAGCAGGGACAGCTTCAGACAACATAAGCAAATTCTACCCTTGGCCTGAGCTGTGAAGCGTAATGACAGGGAAACGCAGCGCACAGCTGTATTTATGCAGCCAGGTGCGACGCTCAACAGGTTATCGTCCCCCTCTCCCCCAGGGTGTCCTCCCCCCACCTGGCCCTGCAACATCTCCACCTAAGCACGGTATAGCTGCTGCCCTGAGCCTGCCCGGGCCTCCAGCTGAAGGGAACCCGCCCTCAGAGGGCTCCCCAGAGAAGGTTCTAGAAGCAACCAGCTTCCTGGGTCCACACTCTGGTTCCTCCACTCACCGCTGAGTGGCCTCCAGTGACCAGGGAACCACGCTAGGCCCCAGTTCTTTGAGCAGGGTGCAATGAGACTAGAACCTGACCTTGTGGTCACCTGGAAGTCATCTTTAACCCTCAGGACGGTGCCTGGCACGTAAGCACTCAGCAAATATTGTTTTTACTTAAAAGTTTTTTTTTTCTTTTACAAAATCTGCCTTCCTCCAAGAGCACAGGCTTGAGGACAGGGAGCCTGGCTTATCTTTCTAATCCTCTCAGTAAGCACAGAGAAGATCCACTTTCAGACCCATGAGAGCCCCCTATTTATTTACACAGTGCTCTCCGTCACCTTCTCTCTTGTGAACCTCAGAACCACATCAGTGGGACAGACGGGGTGGGTCACTCCTTCCTTTCGGATAAGGACCCTGAAATGCTGAGCGGGATCAGGTCTCTGGCTATTCCCCGACCCACTGTCTCTTGGCAAAGACACATTCGAGGTGACAGAAACCCAGGGTCCACCTTCCATGGAGATTCCCACAGGCCCCTCCCTCCACACGCATCTCACTGAGCACCTCATTCGGGCCAGTGCCACCCCAGTCCCTGAGTGATGTCCACAGGGACTCAAGGCCTTCAGCCCCTCAGGAAGCAGAGTCACCCAGACAGTCGTGACAGCACCACCCTTGACATGGTGAAGAACGTCACACCCACAAGGACCTGGATGAGCACAGGTGGGTCAGCTGGAGTGTCCCTGGTGGGTGGCCACATGAAATCATGCCAGGGCCCTGACCAAGTCCCTGCCTGAGGCCTTTGGTCTCTTACCAGTCTCAAGGTCATTGTCACTCATGACCTTGGTTTCTGCACAGATTAGACTAAATTCCAGCCTCCCAGGGTGGAGCAGTGCTGCTGGCTCTCGGGTGGCTCTCAGGGTGAACGTGGGGGTCATGGGTGGATTTCAGCATGTGGGGCTCAGAGCTCCGGCTATTCCCAGGCATGGCGCTGGAGGTGGGGACCTACCGAAGTCGTTGGAGGAGCAGGACGCCAGCTGGTGTGTGATGGGGTTGTAGGAGACGCACTGCACCGAGTCGCTGTGCCTGCAGAGGAAATGGCTGCAGGTTGACACACAGCCCCCACAGACACCTGGGTGGGTCAACCAAGGCTGGGACCAGGAGCCACGGCTTTGGACTCTGTGTGACAGGCCCCCTGCAAATGACCCACAAGCAGCACAGGGGCTGATGGCCCTAACCACGAACATGCAGGGCGTCAGGTACCGCGCACAGCGTCTGGCCCCAGGTTCATTCCTTCTGCGTAACGTCGGCCTTGCGACCCCAACTCAGGTTCTCATTCAGACATTGTTGATTTGGGCACCTGTGTGCAGGGCAGTGGCATTCACAGGAGCCAAGAGCTGGATACAATCCGAGTGTCCATCAGCAGGTGGACACCACAAAAAACATGTGGCGCATGCACACGAGCACGCACACAACAGCATGTTATTCATCCTTAGAAGGCAAGGAAACCCTGACCCATGCTACAGCGCAGACCCATCTCAAGGACGTGACACTAAGTGAAGTAACTCAACTACGACAGGACAAATCCTGTGGGATCCACTCACACGGGCACCTGGAACAGCCAAAATCAGAGACAAAAAGTAGAAAGGTGTCTTCTGACGGCTGAGAGAGGGGCAAAGGGATATCGAGGAGATGAAACTATAGAGAGATGACTTGTGCATCTGCTGTCCCACGGCTGACTGAGGAGACGCAGAAAATAGTAACTGTCAGCTGGGCGCAGTGGCACACGCCTGTCATCCCAGCAGCTTGGGAGGCCGAGGCAGGAGGATCATGAATTTGAGGCCAGCCTCAGCAACTCAGCAAGGCCCTAAACAACCCAGGCAGACCCTGTCTCCAAATAATAACACAAAATAGGGCTGGGGATGGGGCTCGATGGTTAAGCACCCAGGGTTCAATCCCCGGTACCAAAAAAAAAAAAAAAGATGGTACATTTTAAGATGGTACCAGGATTAAAAGAAAGAAAATTGTTTGCTGAGTACTTATTGTGGACCAGGCACTGTACTGGGCACCAGAAGACAAGAGTGAGCAACAACACAGTCTGTGGCCTCCCGGAGCTTACGGGCTGGTGGGTGAGAGTGTTCCACCAACAGAACATAAAGCTACACGGGTAAGAAATGCCAGCAGGGGACCTGCCCGGGTCTAGGAGAGCGGGAAGAGTCTGCAGGGACAGGGACCTCGGAGCCGGGAACCTGCAGGGACGTGGGGGCTAGCGAGCGAGGGAATCGGGGGACGGGGGGAGGCCTGGAGCACACTGGGCCCAAGTTCCTGGCTTGTGACACTGGGGGATGGGGCCATTCCCTGAGGCAAAGCGTTGGAAGAGGCCAGGTGAGGGCTGAGGGGCACCTGTGGTGGCCTAGGAACTGAACATGTTATATGTCACCACCAGCCCAGCTGCCACCTAGTGGGGACTGTTCACACCATTCCCACACGTAGTGACTTAGTTTTCAAGTTCATTTCAAGTTTAAAAAACAAGTTCACCTTTACATCTTTCCTAAGAGGCTTGTGCGAGAACCATGAGCGAGTCAGACTCGTCACTCTGCCACTCGAGTGGCGGGTCACTTACGTGTACTTGAGAATGCCTTCCAGTTTTGACGTCCAGATAATAACGCTTTTATCAGCTGATCCCGAGGCAAAGCGCTTGCCTAGAAGTGATTTTAAAAAGAAAATTGTCACATTCACTTTAAACCAGCATTTTCCAGAGAGCATTTCTTAGAAAACTAGTTTTTTAACTGTTACCCACTTCTCTACTTTTTTTTTTTTTGGTGCTAGGGATCAAACCAGGGCCCTGTTGTAATAGACCTTTATTTTATTTATTTATATGCGGTCTGAGAATTGAACCCACAGCCTCACACGTGCTAGGCAAGCACTCTACCACTGAGCCATAACCCCAGGCCAAACCAGGGCCCTGTGCACGCAAAGCACACACTGCCCCACCAGGAGTCCGGCCCCTCCTGCTTCTCACCAGGACTGGGAGACGGCGCTCTGGGTCCCCAACCTCTCTCACCAGCATGCCCCACACAGACGACTGAGGGCCTCCAACAGGCAGGGGCAGGGGCAGATGCCTCTAATGCCATCAACTCGGGAGGCTGAGGCAGGAGGATCACCAGCTGGAGGCCAGCCTCAGCAACTTAGCAAGGCCCTACGCAACTTAGCGAGACCCTGTCTCTAAATAAAATACAGAATAGGGCTGGGGAGGGGGCTCAGTGGTTAAGCGCCCCTGGGTTCCATCCCCAGTGCCAAGAACAAAACAAAAAAATCTTGGAGTCGTCCTGGCCTCCTCTTTCTTTACCCCCCACATCCAGTTTGTCAGGCGATCCTACTGGCTTTACCCTCAAAATATATTCAGAATCTGGTGACTCTCCCATTGGGCTGGGGTGTGGCTCAGTGGCAGAGCCCCTGCCTGACATGTGTGAGGCCCTAGGTCTGATCCCAGCGCAAGAAAAACAAATGACCTGACTACTTCTCTCGGCTTCCCTGGCCTCCACCCTGCCTGGGAGGTGCTTTCCCGCCCTCCTGCCCCGGCCTCCTGTCCACAGGCTGCTCCCAACACAGCAGCAGGAGGGGGCCTTCAGAATGCAAATCGCATGGGTGCCTCCTCTGCTCAGCCCACTCAGGGCCTCTCCATTTTCACTAAGCATCAAGGCCAAGTTTGGCCCTTGCGGCTGCCCGCGTGGTCTGGTGACCTCTCAATCCCGGCCCCTGTTCCTGGTTCACATAGCGGCACCTGGGAGACTCTGTCGTGGCCCTTCCCTGGCAGGGTCTCTCTCCTCCAGATGCGCAGTGTGCTGGGCCTTCAAGCCTTTGCTCACCTGTCCCCATCCGTCGTATCCTGTCCCCAGTCCCCCCAGAATAGAAGCCCCCCTGGCCGTTTGTCTGTCCTGTTCTCTGAAGTATCTCAAGCACCTTGGACAGTGCCCAGAGCACAGATGGCCGCAAGATACATGCTGGATCGCCTGACAGGACGGAAGTGCAGGCGATTGCCCTGTCCTCGCATCTGGGAGCTCTATTTTCAAAATAAATAAAGACTGGCTAAGGGGAAAATGAGCAGCTGTGACGCCATCACGGACAGCGGGACCCAGAGCAGCCTCTCACCATCCTTAGCATAGGCCACACAGTACACGGTGTCCTTGTGTCCCTTGAGGGGCTGAACCAAGGTGCCATCCGAGGTTTCATAAACCTGGGAAAAGACAGAGAAGTGCACATTACCTAGGGGGCACCTAGTGTTCAGAATTCTTGCAGGGCTGCTCCTGAGACTTGGAGCACACCTGTCATTCCAGCAGCTCGGGAGGCTGAGGCAGGAGGATCGCGAGTTTAAAACCAGCCTCAGCAAAATTGAGGCCCTAAGCAACTCAGTGAGCCCCTGTCTCTAAATAAAATACAAAGTAGGGCTGGGGATGGGGCTCAGTGGTCGAGTGCCCCTGAGTTCAATCCCCGGTACCCCCCAAAAAAGAAAAAAAAATCATAGAACTGAACCCTGGCTTTGCAAGTCAGAGGGGGTGTTACAAAGCCCATCTGGAATATGGATTCAGGATACTTTATAGCCTGTGGGATGCAGAGATGTAAAAAACACACCGTCTAGAAATCAGAGCAACACTGTCCAAAATGGTCAGAGGATTGGGAAGATAATCTATGAGAAGGCTCTGGGTTGTTTACCCTGGAGAAAGGCCGTCTGTGGAACAATTCACCCAGGGCTTAAAGATCCTGCAGTTACTAAGCAGAGAAGGGACATCAATCAGTCTGCAGATCTGGAGACAACAGAGGACAGGAAGTGGGCTTACGTAGCAGGAAGGCAGATCACAAAGGTTTTTAGGTCAAACAGAACGACTTCTCTGAAGATTCCATTTATACACTGGGACAAGTTCCAGGGGGAGCTGATGTCCTTTGAAAATATGAACAAATAGGAAAGAGCCATATGGAATTGTTTAGGTGGGCCCCTGTCGAAAAGTTGGGGTCAGGCTCTGTGGTCCCCTGGAGAGAGAGAGGACCTTCAGAACTGCTGCTTGAATTTTTTCAAGGGGACAAATATGAACTGACACCCGCCCAGTTTCAAAAGCATTTTGATTCATTGTCCTCGCCTCTTTTCAAAGCAAAGGGGGAAGATGAATGGTCCCCAGGAGGCACTGTTCACAGGTTCCTATCTGATGCACAGTTTACTTACCTGTTTTAAATAGCCCATTTCCTTCCCTATGAAAAAATAATGGCTGGTCTCTCTGCCCTGGCCTTTTTTAATCTCAAAAAAGAAAAAAAATAGGGGGGAGGGTCCAATTCCACAGTGCTTCTAAGAGGGTGGGGAGAGCACTTAAAAAGGAAACTCAGACCAAATCCTACCAGTAATCTGTTTCCTGCAGCCAGAATCAGTTGCGTTCCATCGGGCTTAAATGCAAGGTCATAGACACTAAATCAGAGACAAGACAAAAAGACAATTAGGAACCAAAATAATGAGGTCGGCTAATGGCCAGGAAAGCCAACTTGATTTCCATTATGAAAACACCGCCGTGTGGAGTAGGGAGAAAAATAATGGCTAAGAATTGCATTTGGTTGCGAATTCCATTCAACCACCACGCCCTGGCAGGCCACTCCATCACAGTCCCCCGGCTGGCCGTCCTCTGGGACAGACGTGATTCAGAGTCAACTGTAAAGGGCACCGACTCTTCCAACATTGTAGCCACTGTCAAGGCTGCACACCTGGGAGAAGGTGTAGAGGCTAGTGAGTGAGTCCACACTGGTATTTACTGAGTGCCTCTGTTGCTAGGCACCAGCAGATAGGAGATGAGAGGATCAGAGGCCCTCCCTGTCCCCAAGAAAACTACCATCCAGTGGGAAGGTGTCAATCAGACACCTCACCAAGAACTATTCATCCATTCTAATACACACACACACACACACACACACACACACACACATTTTAATACACCAGGGATTGAACCCAGGGTGCTCAACTACTGAGCCACATCACCCAGCCCTTCCTATTTTTTGAGACAGGGTCTTGCTAAATTGCTAAGGGCCTCGCTTAGTTGCTGGCTGGCCTCGAACTTGCGATCCTCCTGCCTCAGCCTCCCAAATTGCTGGGATTACAGGCGTGCGCCACTATAGCTGACTCAGGCATACATTTTTTTCATATTTTAGCATCTCTGAGTTTGGAATATGTCTTATAATTGATGATACATCGGTTCAACTGATAGCATTTTTTTTTTTTTTGCTTTCTTATTGATACCCAAAATAATGGTGTTTTAAAATCAAGGACCTCTTTGCCAGTTGTGGTAGTGCACACCTGTAATCCCAGGAACTCGGGAGGCTGAGGCAGGAGGATCACAATTTAAAAGCCAGCCTCAGTAACATAGTGAGGCCCTCAGCAACTCAGTGAGGCCCTGTCTCTGAATAAAAAATAAAAAGGGCTGGGGTGGGGCTCAGTGGTTAAGTGTCCTTGGGGTCAATCTCTGATTTTAAAAAAAAGATCAAAAGGAGAAAGACGGAGTGTTCAGATTTGAGGACAGGATTGAAGGGGCTTCATGAAGAACATAGTCTTTGAATAGGGCAGAACTTGGTGACATGCAGGAGGAGACTCACAAGGCACAGCCCTCAGGCAAAGAAGACAGATCAAGCACAGACCTGAATGTGGGGACACAAGAATATAAATAATTGAGTTTGAGAGAACCATTGGCTACCTACAAGGCCAGGAGAGAGAGGAGGCTAGAAAACCAGGCCAGAGCCCTGTTCAAAGGTTCTGGATGGCAGAGGGCCTCCTTGTTCAGATGACAAGAAACGGCAGTCAGAACTTATTGCAAAAGCTTTGTGTGGTCAACTGCCTGGCGCTTGTCAGAATCTAAAAATCCACACCCTCAGTGACAGGACGGGGCCCGTACTACAGACAGCTCCAGGCTGGGCTCTTCTCAAACCCACAATGTCATTTCATCTTCCCAAGAATTCTGTGATGTAAGGATCATCGCCCTCGGGGCTCTGGACAGTGGGTCCTGTATCCACAGATTCTATCAACCAGGGGTTGAAAGGATTCAAAAAATAAAACTGCAGTGAACACAGATTTTTTTTTTCTCGTGACTATTCCCTAAATAGACTAGGACAACTGTTTCCATAACATTTATGTTATTTCAGGTACTCAGTCATCCAGAGACAATCTAAAGCACAATGTGGGTTCTATGCAAATCCAATACCATTTTATATAAGGGACTAGAGCAGTCAGATTTCGGTATCTGACAGGTGTCCTGGAACAAATTGCCCATAGATAGGGAGGGACAACTGGAATTGGTTTTGTGGATGATGACACCACAGTTCAGAGAGGTCAAGTACTTTACCCCATGTCACACAGCCAGCAAGTAAAACGCCCAGAATATAGCTTGGGTCTGCCTCTAGAACCTGTGCTTTTAACCACTGTGCTATAATGCCATCGACTCTCTTCAACTGTCACCGAGTATTGCAAATCTGTCACCCTAATGCTGTAATAAGCACAGCAGCTAACATTTCTTAAGCACGTGTACTACTGCATGCACCAGGTATAGCTTGCTTAACTTCACAACAACCCTCTGCCTATTTTGCAGATGAGAAAACTGAGGCAAAAAGAATGAACTTAAATAACCTGCCTGAAATTAAAATGCTACCAAGTGGAGGCGGAGCCAGAATTCAAACCCAGGCAGTTAGCCCATGCCATAGTCAACAAAATAATCAGCAATGGTTTTCATGCCTTACCAAAATTAAGAAAAGTATCATCACCTACGCAAGGCATTACTGTACAGTTGGGGAAGTTAAAGTTTTATCTGTCTCTTTATTTATTGGTACTCAGGGGCTCTATCACTGAGCTACATCCCCAGCCCTTTAGATTTTTATTTTGAGACAGGGTCTTGCTAAGTTGCTGAGGCTGGCTTTGAACCTGAGATCCTCCTGCCTCAGCCTCCCCAGTTGCTGGGACTGCAAGCATGCGCCATGGCACCTGGCATTCACCTGCATGATGCTTTGATCTAGGTATACGTTATAGAAAGCTGATTGACATATCCATTCCCTCAAGGAACAACTTATCACTTTTTGTAATAAGAATATTAAAAATCTATTCTTTCAGCCATTTTGAAATATACCGTACATTAGTGCTGGTATGCAGCGGAATAAGCCAATGAAACTTACTCTTCTGGTCTAGCTGAAACCTGGTGACCTTTATCAACATCTCCCCTTCCCTATCCCTCGCTGGCCCCTCCCCTGGTTACGATGAGTCCACCTATTCGGATTCTACCATAAATGAGATCATACAGCATAGGCTCCACTGAGCCAGAAGCTTCCTTGACAGGAGATGATAAGGGAGGTGAGCTCACATTATGTCACTTGATTCTTTTAACATAATGGAGTAAACAGGGCAGAAGCTGGTCTATTTTTATAGATGACGAAATGAAACTAGAGAGAGACAACTTGTCGTGTGCTGTCACAGCTGAGGGAGAAGCTATAGCAAAGTAACTGTCAGCTGAGCGCAGTGGCACATGCCTATAATCCCAGTGGCTCAGGAGGCTGAGGCAGGAGGATCGCAAGTTCAAAGCCAGCCTCAGCAATTTAGCAAGGCTCTAAGCAACTCAGCCAGACCCTGTCTCTAAGTAAAATGTAAAAAATGTCTGGGGATGTGGCTCGGTGGTTAAGCACCCCAGGTTCAATCCCCAGTACCAAAAAGGAACTGTCACACCCTTTCAGCTGAGGATCCTCTGGATAGGAGCAAACTCAGGCCCTGGGTCCTGTAGCTTGCTCCTTCTCTGGTCTGTGGCTAACAGACCTGGGCCTCCCTTGTTTGTTACACTTTCTCTGAGTCCAGAGAAATGTTCCTGGCACACTTCACATTCTGAGCTGCAGGACAGTAGATTAAAAATCAGAGCAGAGGTGGGGTCAGAAAAGGTGACCTCCTACATGGGCTCGTCCTCCACACTGATGGGGCTGGGAAGGGGGTCTGCACCCCGTCCTTGTTTTGCTCTTTTCTCTGCCTCAGACACATGTCACCTGAGCTCATCAGAATGATCCCTGTGTGGCCTCTTCCTCGTAAGGCATTTGGGGTTGAATTACCAAATCATCTTCCAGGGTCTCCCTTGGGCTAACCTTGAACTATCATCCTCACAAGTGTGAAAAAAATTCACATTGCTGAAATCTCTTGAAATCTGCCTTCCTAAAGCATAATATGCAAGACGGATTGGCCCCAGCCTAAACTCTTACTGTACGTATAATCTGTCCAATTCAGTCTGGCTCCGAGTTACAGAGTCTTCTTTATCTTCGGGGTTTCAGATATGATCCTGTCTAATTATATGCAATTTGAGGGTAACGATCATGTTTTAGAGTGTTCATTTGTGGATCCAAAGTATGTGGCATTGTCCTAGAAACATCAGGAACGTTTCTGACCAACTGACAAAATTTTATCTTGAATCCCTCAGACCTTAATTACATCATGAGATCACAGAAACCCGGAATTGGAAAGGATTTTGTGGTGGTGTCTAACGCCCCCTCCAGGACAAGAATTCCCTCCAAGTGGCCATTCCAGCCTCAAATGTGGTCGGGCGGGGAGCCTGCTCACCCACTGGCCGTCTGCTCGACTGTGGGATGGCGCTCTCCCCGTGTCCCCTTTTATGCACAAAGGAGATCTCATCAGATTCCACTGCAGAGAGACACAGGGCAAGTCCTGAGGGCTGTCCTCTGCCAGCCGTGTCCCAGCCCTCTGCAAAATTGAAGTCCCAAGAGGCCTCTCCAAACAATATGCAATCTAGCCCAGCGCCCTCTTATTTGCTTAGAAATCTGAGCTAAAGGATGTGGCTTTATTAAATCTCATTTGCAAATGGGATAAGAATTCACAGGTGGCTGTTCAGATTAACCAAGATGATGTTTGTGACCAGAGCTCAGTAAACACGCTGGGGGACACCAGAATGGGGTGCACTGGCCGAATACAGCACCATGTTGAGCTTTGGGGTGGAAAACAGAGTCTGGCTGAGCTCCCAAGCTGACATTTAAATGTTTAGGAAGCTTGGGGAGAAGAGGGCGAGAAGGACCACCTAGCTAACAGGAGTCACACTGGGTTTATGAGATGAAGAATAACAAACAGAGACTTCTAACTACTACGTGAAGGATGGGGTAGGAGCAAAAGAGGAAATCAGGAGACAGTGTCTGGTCAGCTACGGAGGGCTGATCTCTGACATCTGAGATTTTTTAATTTGATCATCTCTTACTTTTTCCCAGTCACCCCCCTGACCCACCCACCCAGGCTATCAGTTGGCCTATCTGGCTGCCAACTGTTGGTCAACAATCACTGGACCTACTGTTGATTTATTTTTTCATTCATTCATTTACATATTTGGTTCAGCCAAATATGTAAAGTCGTCACTTTACGACTGAGCTCCGGCCCTTTTTATTTTTTACTTTTGAGGCAGGGTCTCTGTGAGTTGCTGAGGCTGCCCTTGAACTTGGGATCCTCCTGCCTCCTCTGTTGCAGATCTGCTGTTCTAATAAATCGTTTCCAACCAGTGATGGCCAAGAAGCAGCCAGCCAATCCTCATTCACTTCCTGATTCCTTCAATCACGAAACATCGATCCACCAAACAGCAACCACCAATGACCTGTCCAGGCTCTGAAATCACGTGGAAATGAATGAAGACATAGCCCTTGCTTTTCAAGGGTTTATGGTCTTCTGGGATAAATAGATTTAAAAAAAAAAAAAATTACTCTTGCGCTTGACAGACTCTAAGTACCACAGAGATGAAGGGAGACAATTCTGTGCCAGGGGATGAAAATAGAGCAGATCAGGCTGCATTTGGCCAGCAAATGTTTAGTTTGGCCCACATGGTGTTTTACTTTGTATTTTCCTTTTAGATGCCAACATTGAAAAATTAGGGCATTTCACATTAAAAACCCAGATTCCTAGCTTGGTAAAAACAGGAAGATCTGAGCACCTGAGGCCAAGTCCCTGTAGGGTGATGATTGGCAGGAGCACAGCCACAGCTGCCCCTTTCCAGGAGAGCTTGAACTCTTCAGGTGGCCACAGTCCGTGCCATCCCTGATTATTCTGTGACACGGAAGCCAAATGTTCAGTTGCCAGTTATCACCAGCTTGTGCAATGGGTACTTCCATGATAGAGGGAGAAAGAAAAAAGAATTTGACTTTTTACTCAATTTCCATTAAAAGTAAAAAAAAACAAAACCTTAATGCTGGGGATGTACCTCAGTCGGTATGCATGCTTATCAGGTATGCGGGAAGCCCTAAGTTCAGTCCCCAGCACTGCAAAAAAATTATAAAGCTTAAGCCAGGCTTGGAAGTACATGTCTGTAATCCCAAGCTATTTGGGAGGCCGAGGTAGGATGATTGTAAGTTCAAGACTAGCCCAGGCAATTTAGTGAGACCCTATCCGCCCCCCACACACACACACACAAATAATTAAAAAGGACTTGGGAGCTGGGCATGGCAGGTGCATGCCCATAATCCTAGTGACTAGGGAAGCTGGGGCAGGGGAGGAGGATCTCAAGTTCAAGGCCAGCCTGGGCAACTTAGCAAGACCCTGTCTCAAAAGAAAGAAAATGACTAGGGGGAGTCCTTTGCTCGAGGCAAAGTATCCCTGGATTTGATCCCCAAGACTGCAATCAATCAATCAATCAACAAAATCAGATAAATAAAGGGGGCCTTAAGAGATATTTAGGATTTTATTGTGGAATTGGGGACACAAGGTACGCTTTACACAGAGAAAGGCCTCAGAAGAGACAGAGCTAATGGCAAACAACCTTCACAATGTAAAGATCACTGAGAAAGATTCTGAGCTGCTGAGAACTATCCAGTCAGTCAGTGCTTGCCAAAATGTACCCCCCTGGAAGATGGAATTTAGGTGAGAAAAAAAAATGGAACAAGGGCATTCAATAACACTGAATCACAAGGAGAAAAACTCTTTCGATTCTTTTCCGGACTTAATTCTAATTAGGAGAAAATCTTGGTTCTGTGCCCATCTGAAATATCTCTCTCCTCATACTTGTGAATCGAGTTTTTAGGTGTAAAGGTTCCCTAGCAACAATATCCAGCTACGACTTACAAACACGGCGGTTTCTCCCTGCTTGAAGTTGAACATTTGTCTTAAAGTAAATAATATTGATTTTTTTTTATACACGAAGCAATTAAGTCTCTGGGGAAAATATAAAATCATATTTAGGCAACGAGAGGGGGTTGGCACGGTGTTGCACGTCTGTAATCCCAGCGACTCAGGAGGCTGAGGCAGGAGGATGGCAAGTGGGAGGCCAGCCTCAACTGTAGGAGGTGCGACCTGAGCCCTGGACGGATTCTGAGCCAAGGAGAGACCAGACCCGATCGTGTTACGTATAAAGCCGCCTCCACAGGCCACAACCCCCTGCCCCATCCCCAAGCCTCAGTTTCTCCACCCACCAAGGGGGGGTGAAAACCTTGCAAGCCCTTAAGGACCTGGGTTCAGCGCCCTCAGCCCAGGCCGCAGGCCCGTTGCCCCTGGCAACCGCGAGGGCTCACTGGAGTGGCTCCCGCCATCCCCTCCCGGGCTCGGCCTCCCGCTCCTCCCCAACTGCCCCGCTTCTCACCACTGATCGACTTTATCTTTCCACGTCAGCACGGACCTCATCGCAGCTTTCCTCCCGCCTCGGGGCCCCTCCTACCCCCGCCTCAGCAACAGGCGCCGCTACGCGGGCCACTTCGGCTACCTGCGCTACCCCTGGCAACGCACATGCGCACAACAACACCTACGCGCGTGCGCCCGCAGAGCTCCGAGTGCGCATGTCTACATGGGAGCGCGCGCACAGGAGCGAAAGCGCAGATGGAACCGGAACTCAGAAGGCGGGACTGTAGCTACGGCGTACGCGATTGGTCGGCGCGGGCGAGGGGGCGGTGCGTCTTCCTCGACTAGGGATTTGATTGGCGGAGCCATGGAAATGGCAGCTGCGGTCCAAGGGGCGGTCGGAAAGGGGCTGTGGAGTGTGACAGACTTACCCTATCTGAAAGCTTTGGTGGCATCCCAGTGCCTTGAATCGAAGGAAGTTTCACCTTTTACTCTGCTTCGCCCCCAGGCCGTTGCAGGTCTCGGCCTGACGCTGCAGCTGGACCCCGCTTGACTGGCTCAGCCTTGATGGAGACGCCGAGCCTCGGGGACGGCGGACCCGCCCCCTCGATGGCCTCCAGCGACCTCCCAGTCCCAGAGCAGCAGCGTGACCTCCGGCAAGTTCTTCCCCTTCCGAACCGCAGTTCCACTACCTGAAAAATGGGAACGGCGGGTGGACGGTCTGTGGGGCCCTCTGGTCTTCGGCAGAGGGTCGACCAAGACCTGGAGGCCCACAGGCTTAGTTAGTAACTCCGGGAGAAGGTCGCTCCTCCTGTAGGATGAGCCCTGGGGTGCCCCAGACTTTCTTTACTCCGGCAACTAGAAACCTGGGAGGAGCAGGGAACTTTTGTGGTACAGGTAGAGATTGCGGTGGCACACGGAGGCTGAGGGAGGAGGATCGCAAATTGGAGGCCAGCCTCCACAATCTAGAGACTCTGTCTCAAAATAAAATCAGGGCTTGGGAATGTTGCTCGGGGGTAAAGCATCCCTGGGTTCAATCCCTAAAGAAAAAAAAAAAAAGAGGTGTAGTTCGGTTGGAAACTCCTACAAATATCATGGAGGAGATGTGTTCAGTAAGCAGGGCAGCCCAAAAATGGGTTTTAAGAGAAGTAACAGAGGAAACTACAGTTGTTTGTTGCATACTTGGATATGTGAGAGATGGGTGTAGGATGACTTGCCTACATTTAAAAAAAATTTTTAATATTTATTTTTTAGGTGTAGATGGTCACAGCATAATGCCTTTATTTTTATGTGGTGCTGAGGATCGAACCTGGGTCCGGCTCATGCTAGGCGAGCACTCTACCGCTGAGCCACAATCCCAGCCCTCAAAAAATTTTAATCTTGTAAATGTTATTACAAATGAAGAAATGAGTCTTGGAGAGCTTAAGTGATCTGCTCTTGGACTCACAGATTTGAGTCTTTTCCACCGGGTTTCAGTTTCCTTAACTCTTAAGTAAGCTACCATAAGATTCCTACAGCTCCCCAAAAGTATTTAACCCTAAATTACATCAGAAGACTGTGATTCTAATACTTATTAGACACTAGTTCTTTCTTAGTTTCCCCGTTTGTAGAAAAGATGTTGGATTAGATGATGTCTTTTAAAATGTATCATTTAGTGGTTAAGATACACTTTGCTGAACTTTTTCAGTAATAGTACAGGAGGGAAGTGTTAGACCAAACAGTAGGTCTGGGTTCTGGTATCAGTTCTGCCAGTATTTTAATCTTCTATCACTCAGTTTTATCAATACAATGAGAGTAAATCTTGTCCTACGTACTTCACAAGGTTATTGTGAAGATGAAGAATCAAGGAGATTTGAAAATTCTTGTCAGAAACTATTTGCCTTTTAAAGGATTGCAACCTCTGAGAGAAATGATAGAGGCTCTTACTCAGAAAAATGCACATCTATGTAAAATTTTCCCAGTACTTGTTTGCAGAAGAGGGGGTTCACTCACTCCTTTAAGCAGTCCTTGTGATCACTGGTTAACAGATCAGCTGTTAGTTCCTGTTCTCCAGCTTAGGTCAGGTGTCATCAGAAATCTTTATAATAGCTGGGTGCAGTGGCGTGTGTCTGTAGTCCCAGCAGCTGAGGAGGCTGAGGCAGGAGGATCCCGAGTTGAAAGCCAGCCTCAGCAATTTAGTGAGGCCCTAAGCAACTTAGCAAGGCCTTGTCTCTAAATAAAATATTAAAAAAAAAAAAGGCTGAGATATGGCTCAGTGGTTAAATGCCCCTGCGTTAATCCCTGGTACCAAAAAGAAAAAAGAAATCTTTAAAATAGGTGTATGCAATGATTAACCCAAAGAGTATCTAGCAAGTAGCTTGAGCTTCTCATTGTAAAGAGCTGATCACTTGTGCTTTGTTTTTCCAGCGAGGAAGATGTGGCTGTGGGATCGGAAAGAGTGGGAGAAGATGAAAGACAAATAGCAATAAAAAGAATCAGTGAGTGTCAGCCCCTGCTACAAGAAGCCATCGCCTCTTCTCAGTTGGGTGACACCACAGTGACCGGATGCCATAAGCCTGTCCCGTGTGGATGGGAACGAGTTGTGAAACAAAGATTATCTGGGAAAACAGCAGGAAGATTTGATGTCTACTTTATCAGGTGAGCATGCAAGGTGGAAAATAAAGATAGTGCAGCCAGATAATTTTGTCTAGACAGGTAGAGGGGAGACATAGCAGGAATCTTGGCTTCTTGCTAATTTTGCCATCCTACCAATGGATTCTGTTTGTTCACTGTGACTGGTTAATTATATCAAGTAATTTGAGCTCAATTGCATACATTTTGTCCCTCCAACTGGGAATGACATTAATGGTGCAGTTGCATTTGAGTTATGTTTGTGAATTTATTTGTGCTGTTACAGAGGAAACTATTTTAAAATTCCCTTTATGGCTCTTTTTTTTCTTTTTAAATAACAAATGCCTATGACAACATTAGGAAATTATCAATTAGAAATCTGAAATGTGGTTCAGTTCTTTTTTAAAAGTCACTCACAATGATACTGCATATGGTAGTACACACCTGTAATCCCACCTTCTCAGGAGGCTGAGGCAGTTTGAGACCAGCCGGACAGCTTGGCAAGACCCTGTCCCAACATAGAATTTTTAGAAAGGGCTGGGGTTGAAGCTCAGTGATAGAGTGCTTATGCTTGAGGCCCTGGGTTCAGTCCTCAGTATCCCCCCCCCCCAAAAAAAAAAATAGGCACTTTTATTTGCTAGTAGTAAGTTTCCTTTAATATCATTTTCTAGCCCACAAGGACTGAAATTCAGATCCAGAAGTTCACTTGCTAATTATCTTCACAAACATGGAGAGACTTCTGTTAAGCCAGAAGATTTTGATTTTACTGTACTTTCCAAAAGGGGCATCAGGTCAAGATCTAAAGACAGCAGTGTCGCAGCTCTGACATCCCAACTGCAGAATGAAAGTCACATTTCAACCCGGAACCTCAGAACACGAAGCCGGTGGAAGAAAGTGTTTCCTCTGCCCAGTAGTAATTCAGAGCTGCAAGATAGCAGGGGACTGTCCAGCCCTGAGTCCATTCAGGTGCTTTTGGAAGAAGATGAGGGTAGTAATGATGGTAACTCCAGGAAGGTTAGCAAGTCCAAAAGGAAGGTGACAATTTTGAAAGGAATTCCAATTAAGAAAACCAAAAGACGGTGCAGAAAGAGTGTTTCAGGTTCTGTTGAAAGTAATGACAAAGGAGAATCTCCATGCGACAAGACAGATGCTGAAAGAGAGCCTGTCGCCCAAGACAGTGAGCTGGGCAGAACTTTGTGCATCTCTGACACCAGAGTGAGCGACAAGACCCTCAGTGTGACCGATAAAGTCAAGAGCACCGTGAAAGAAAACTCACCCAATTCAGGATCAGACGTTCATTTTGAACAAATAACTTCTGGCGCCTCAGACAAATTATGTTCTACCAAAGAAGCAGAACGCAACAAGAAGTGTGGGGAGACCGATTTAGAATCAGAGGAAAGCAGATCGAAAGGAGACCAGGCGGAGAGGAAGGAGCATTTGCATATGGACCTTTTAAAATGTGGCTCTGAAACAGACAGCAAACGCTCAGAAGGCAAGAGAGATTTTACTTCTGAGAAAATATTTCATGGTATTCAGTGCATTTAATGCTATTAGCCATGGACTGAGGAGGCTCCACTTCCAGATCTTACATTTCATGTCTGTCCATGGTTAAGACACAGTCTAGACAAAGAAATAGAGCTATATCTTAGATCTATTCTTCAGATCATCCTAACACCCTGTTAACTGACCTTCTTCCCATCCTCTTTCCAGCCAGTCATCTTAAAACTAGAAGGAAAACTAAAAGACTTGTAAAAAATTCTCAGAAGATTCCTCTTATACACAAACTGACAATAGCCAGTGTCTTCGCACATCTCCTGTTACTTACTACTGATGTGCGACTTCCAATTTAATTTCGGACATACCACGGTCACTTTTGTCTTCTATTATAATGTAGTGCTTCTCTAAAAGGCCTAAGGGTTCTAAATAATTCAGAAGTATAATCACATAGTTCATCTATTATTCGTAATATGCTCTTAATACAGAGTTCAGAGCTGAGCTGTTTGGCTTTTATAATACCTCAGTGAATAATTGATAAAAAGGACATCTTCTGAGCAGCCGGCTGTATTAGTTATTCATTATGCCATTATGGTATAATGAATACCTCCCTTAAAGAAGAATAGTAATAGTACTTAATAATCCTGTGGGGGCCAAATTGGTGGAGTGGGGGCTTAGACTTGATTTCTCATCTCAAGCCCCCCATAATTCAATGTCTCTTCTGTGCCTGGAATTTCTCTACCTGTGACAGAAGATGGCCATGTATACCTGGGAATCTCAGAGGGTCCAAGTCTGTCCTTAAAGACTTGAGCATCTTAAAAGAAAGCATTGGGGTTTATGTAGATTTATTGCTAATATAATGGACAAATTAAATATTAAAAAGGATGACTAAGATGAAAGTATTCTATTCCGTAAGTTTGGTTCTCAATAAGATGAAATACCCTTAGCTTACTAGGTGTCTGGTGGAATAGTAAAGATTTTCTTATTGGTTGAGCTACAAATTGGTAAGTGAACTAGTTATAAAGGAGACTAGTTAGTAATTATTTATAGAAACCCACAGAAAACGTTAGCAAGAAACTAACTGGTAAGAGCAGTTTCCTTTTTTTTTTTTTTTTTTTTTTTTTGATTTTTTTTTTTTTTTCTTTCTACTGGGTTTGATCTACTCAAAATAGAAGAGCAAAAAACACTAGACCAATCTGGAGACCTGGACACTTGTCCCAGTGTCCTCAGTCCCAGTATCATTTGGAGATAGTTGTTTCATTTCTAAGCCTCAATTTCTTCATCTGAACAATAGAAATAATAGCCTTCCCTAGTCCCATTTTTCACATCAAGAATATTGTAAGTTAAATCGAGAATGGAAAAGATGGTTTCGTGCTATTCATAATGCAAGGTATTATTAACTGCAATTCAAATTTTGAGGGTATGAGTGGAGGAAGTAAGTAAATATGATTGTTAAAAATAAGAAAAGTGGACACTCACCAATAGCCATTATGCCATTTTGGTTTATGTCTTTTATTTTTGTATTTTTATTTTTTCATTTTTGAGACAGTTCTGAGGCTAGCCTGAACTCGCTGTCCTCCTGCCTCAGCCTCTCAGGTAGCTGGATTAAAGGCTTGCCCCACCATGCTCAACTGGTTTATGTCATTTTTAACCCATGATGTCCTGGCATCCTATATACAGGGACATCATGGGTCAATTTCTTGCCATGTATGCACAAACATACGTATATGTTTGTATGAAATTGGGATCATATGTAGAATCTTGCTTTTTTCATTTATAAGTTAATAGAAAATAATCGTGTGTTTTTTAATATAAAATATATAATTTTTAATATTAAAAATATATAAATATATAATTTTTATATTAAAAAATATATAAAATATATGATTTTATATTTTGATGACCACATTGAATAAATGGGTCATAATTTAAGATATTCCATACTGTTTCCAATTTTTCAATACTCCAAGCTCTAAACAGAAATCCTAGGAAATGAGTATGACTGTTGGCCAAGGGCCTGGACTTGGGAGCCAGAGTGCCTGCCTCTGAATTGGAGTTCTGATGCTGGCTGTGTGTCACTGGACAATTGACTTAGCTTCTCTGTGCCTCAATTTCCTTATCTGTAAAGTAGAGCTAAAATAGTGCCTGGCTCATAGGTCTTTAGTAGGATTCAGTTAGTTAAAATTTGTGTAAGTACTCAGAATAATGCCTGAATTTTTATTGTCCTCTGATTCTTGACTGTCTCTTTAAGCTAAACCATAATTCCGTGTTCTCTGTCCACTGTGCCTTTTCAGAAGACACCACCATCCCACGGACACAGGTCGAAAAAAGGAAGACGAGCTTGTATTTTTCCAGCAAGTATAACCGAGAAGGTATCGCTTCCCCAATGAAAACGTCAGATTCTAAGTCACTGTCGGGTGCTCGACTCTCATGCAGTGTGTCTTTTAGCTCTCAGCCCCCCACGACGCAAAGCCTTTAAGAAATGGACCCCTCCTCGGTCACCTTTTAACCTTGTCCAAGAAACACTTTTCCACGATCCCTGGAAGCTTCTCATTGCGACGATATTTCTCAATCGGACATCAGGTTTGTGGATCCTTCTCATTGGTGTCTTAGAAGCAATGTGATCAGGAGAAAGAGCAGTGAATTGAGGCTGAGGGAGGCCTGGGTTCAAGGGCCCTTTCAAGTCTGTGACCTCAGCTAAGGTCTTCCCTTTCTGCCCTCAAACTCTTCCCCCATGAGGAAGACTAGATGACATCCAGTGGCCTTTTTAGCATCAAGGCGCAGGTCTGATATTTCCTACTTCCACGTTAGGTTTGGTCATCAGTGCAAATCCGCCAGTGAGCATTTCTCCACCCTGTATCCTTTATAAAAGCATTTTTTTGTCATTGAATGCACCTTGTGTCCTGTGTGATTCTCCACTAGCTACCTAGTGATCTGATTATTTAAAAACCAATATCACACAAGGCCAGTTTCAGCGGAATTTGGACTATTTATTGGCCAAATAGCAGTGCTGGTATTTGAGTGTAAAAAAGTAGCCTCTTGTCAGTGGTTAAACAAACAAAACCTTTGCTTGGGATTTCTAGATGAGAAACTCCCTGAACCTAAAAGAAGCCCTTCCAGCATCTTGCTCATAATCACTGGTATGTCCCTTTCCCAGGAAAAATGGCAATTCCTGTGCTTTGGGAATTTCTAGAGAAATACCCTTCGGCTGAGGTAGCAAGAACAGCAGACTGGAGAGATGTGTCAGAACTTCTGAAGCCTCTTGGTCTCTACGATCTTCGAGCCAAAACCATTATCAAGTTCTCAGGTGTGTTCCTTATGCCCAAAGGAAAAAAATAGACCCACCTTGAACGTTGATGTCTTCAGATGCTACCCTAGTAGGGCCCAAGCACTGATGGCATTTATGAACAGCCTGCTTGCCCCAAACTGTCGTCTTCCACCCCAACCCAGGTAATAAACCTTTGTCCAGCAGCATCAGGCCACGTGGGCAGAATTAGGGAAGATGTCAGTGGATCAGAAAGCCCTGTCCTTAAGGATGTCTCCCCTGTCGAGTTAGCACAGCACAAAATAGTGGCTAGGAAGTCATAAAGGTGCTGCAGGAATTTGAAGGTTATCTGTCCCTTTCCGCCACACTCTCCATCTCGCCCTGTCACCACACATTTATGGAAGGTGTCTTCCTGGAAGCTGAGCTCATGTGAGGGGTGTTGTATTCTCAGAGGAGTACCTGACAAAGCAGTGGAAGTATCCGATCGAGCTTCATGGGATTGGCAAATATGGCAACGACTCTTACAGGATTTTTTGTGTCAACGAGTGGAAGCAGGTGAGGCCCAGCCCTAGCCCAACCCGCACATTTGTCCCAGAAGCAAAAACGTCCACAGTCATGGCTCAAACTACTCATTGCATGCAAGTGCTATTGCAGTTCTAACCAGTTTTGTACCCAGCTCAAGGGGAGCTGGTGGCATGGGGTCATCTGCAGCAGGGAGGGGTCATTAGACACTCCCCAAGTCCCCAAAGACCCTTGGGCATGGCTCTGACCTTGTTTGTGCCTTGCCCTGTTTATGTGCTGTCAAAAGGAGGCCAGTTGGGCCCAGAATGTTTGCTTGTGGGTTTCTTGTGGTGGTCTCAGACCGTTTTGGGTGGTAACTGGGTTCTTCTTCAGCTGCCCCTTCTGTTGAGTATGCCCATCCCTAATGCATCCTGACGGCAGCTGGTGGGTGGCCTGGTACACTGTCCTAGCAACTGGTGACTTGCCCTTAAGCATTCACCCTGCAGGGTCGGGTCAAGCTGGGCTGTCTTATCCCTGCCCACCAGAGCAGTCCACTGTGACTTGAGCAATCCATTCAGCCTCTAGAACCTCCTCCCAGAAAATGTGCTGATACTTGACTCATGTCCTCACCACCTCGACCTTCCAGGGCTGAACTAGAAAGCACTTAGCAAACTGAACAGGGTCACCTTAACGTAAGGGATGATTTTACCTGTGAGTCCTATTATCCGTGTTTCAGGTGTATTATTATAATGTGCTAATCCTCACCAAACCTTCCTAAGCCCATCTTACAAAGACGTATTGATGACTAGCTTACCTAAGGCCCCTGTCTCCTAATGTGTCGTATTTTTTCCAGGTGCACCCCCAGGATCACAAGTTAAATAAATACCATGACTGGCTGTGGGAAAATCATGAAAAATTAAGTCTGTCTTAAAGCCCTTCGAAGTTTCCAAACTTGTCTTTTGTGCACTATTTTGCAAACAGTGGGTGTGTTTGGGTTTTTTTTTGCGGGGGGGGACTTTTATTTTTTGCAGTGCTAAGGCTAGAACCCAGGGACTTGCACACGCCAGCACCCCCGCCCCCGCCTTCCCTACCCACCCCCAGCCCCCACCTTCAGTTTTTACGAAGTCCATTAAAGGCAATCGAGCTACCTTTCTGGGAATATGATTTTAATTAGCTCAACTAGGAACACAGTGTGTATTTTCTCAGTGTGTGGGGTATTGGTGGCCCTTTATTACTGAATGTTCTAGAACATATTTTGAGATTTTTTTAAAAAAGAATAAATTATTTGATAACAATCCTAAAAACGTATATGACTTTGCCAATAATGGAATGGAATGGAATGTGAAAGTGAAAAATGCTTTTCTGGGTCATTAATAATACAAAGCAGATTTCCATCAACCCAGCTAGGGGAAGATTTGATTTTCTCTTCTCTTTCTGTAGAAAATGATGTTACTGAACAATTATCTTAGGAAGAATCAAAGAGTTTGCCATTTTTGTTACAATAATAATTTATTATTACTATTTTTGGCATTGGGAATTGAACCCAGAGGTCCTTTACCACTGATCATCATCCCCCAACCCTTTTAACCCTTTTTATTTTTTATTTTGAGATAGGGTCTCTAAGTTGCTGAGGCTGGCCTTGAACCTCCCAAGTCACAGTGATTATAGGAATGTGCCACTGTGTCCATCTTATTGCAGATATTGTAATGTTATAGTTCAGACACTGACACATTTATCTTAGAAACAAGTTACCAAACAAAAATCCTTAATTATTAAGTCTTTCTTTTTTTATATTGGTACCAGGTATTGTACCCAGGGACACTTCACCACTGAGCCACAATCCCCAGTCCTTTTTATATTTTATTTAGCGACAGGGTCTCACTGAGTTGCTTAGGGCCTTGCTGAGTTGCTGAGGCTGGCCTCAAACTCATGCTCCTCCTGCCTCAGCCTCACAAGCCCTTGGGATTATAGGTTATTAAGATTTCTTTTTTCCCCTTTTTTTATTGGTGTTATTAAGTCCTAATTACCAATTGCCATTTAAAAATATAATTTGAAAATTAAATTATAACTAATTTATAAGTATAAACATCCACTTCATAATGTCCCATCATATTTTCATTTAACAAAAATTCTTGTAGCACACCCACCAGCAAAGATCCACTGCTGGCCCACATGTTGCACACTGGGGTTGGGGATGTAGCTCAGTGGTGGGGAGCTCACCTCGCATGTGTGAGACCCTGGGTTCAATCCCAGCACCACAAAAAGAAAAGAAGGGTTGGGGCTGTAACTCAGTATAGAGCACTTGCCTAGCATGTGTGAGGCACTGGGTTTGGTTCTCAGCACCACAGATAAATAAATAAAACAACGGTATATTGAAAACTAAAAGAAAATATTACAAGAAGGGCTAGGGTTGTAGCTCAGTGGTAGAGCACTTGCCTAGCATGTGTGAGGTACTGGGTTCAATTCTCGGCACTGCATGTAAAGATCCATCAACAACTTAAAAAAAAAATTTTTTTTTAATTAAAAGAAGAAGAAAATACACAAATACACACTGGGTTCTCAGCTGGACTAATGCTATTTGTCTGGAAAGGTGACGGGTTGTGTTTAATGGAGATCTTAAGAACTGAAGTACAAAACAGTCAAAAGTTTTAGAGTGTATTAGACAGGTAATTAATAAAAATATTTTTATTAAAAAAAGCTAAACGCCAAAGAAACTGGGGATTGAACCCAAGGGCACTTATCCACCAAGCCACATCCCCAGCATGTTTTGTATTTTAACTTAAGAGAAAGGGTCTCACTGAGTTGCTTAGGGCCTCACTAAGTTGCTGAGGCTGGCCTTGAACTTTTGAGCCACTGGGATCATAGGTGTGTGCCGTCCTTCATGTGTTCTTGATAGCTCTACACTGGCTCTTAGGAATGCTAGGTCTGCCCCCGCCCCCACCCACATGTCCATTTTGTTAATGTGAAAGTCAGCTCATATCCTTTACCTTGATCCCTTTGTAGACACCCATCTCATCTTCCAGTGTGGAGGGTGGGACCTCCAATGTTTTATTCCATTTTTATTACAGGTACTGTAATAATACAGTTCAAATACTGAAATGTTTTCCTTAGAACTCACCAAACCCCCCCCCCAATAAAAAATACAAATCCTAAATTATGAAGTCTTAATTACCGATTGCCATTTTAAGATTTAATTTGAAAATTAAATTGACTGAATAAAGGAAAAATGAATGAATTGTTTGGGAAACTGCCTTGTAGGGTGGTATGTAAGCAGATCAGATGCAGTGTGTCCATCTCCCCAACAACTGTTGGTTTTTAGAGAAGGCTGGATTTTGACCAGAGAACAGGAAAACTGGCCACACCTTCCCCTCCCCAAGACATCCTAACTCCACTCCATACTAACCCATCACATCTGAACAGCATTCACAAAACGCAAACCCTCTGTCGGGGAAGGAGACAAAGAAGAAAAGACTGTGGAGATCCTCGAGGAAGAGAGAATGGCAGACAGTAATGAAGGGGAGCAGAGCTGTCTGTCCCTATCAATGGCAGCTAAAGATGTAGAAGGGTCTCTGAAGCCTTGGGCCACAGTCAGGGTCGGAGGGTGTGATATGCTCACCAAACTTCAGCATCGGGTAGGGCTGCATGCAGCCTTGATGACACATCCCGACCCGTCCCCATGTCCCCACTGATATCCTGAGTCGTGGAGGTGAGCTCGGCAGGACCACAGAGGGCTGCCCAGGCTCCGGGCTCTAGGCTGGCCTTCCCCTTTCTTGTAGGTGAGGTTTCCTGACTTAGGGACCTGTTTCCTCATCTCTGAAATGGGATAGTACTGTCTCCCGAGGTTACTGGGATTGTTAAGTGCTTTAAGGGTGCCTCCTTCAATAATGCTGTTGATGTGGCCCCAGGGAACACCGCTGGGACTGCCTCTGGCATTGAGGGTCCCAGAGATAATGCAATCCAGTAAAGATGGTGCCCAGCACAGAAACTGCACTGAAGTGGCTTTGTTTTTACCTTTTGGGGGGTAAGATGTATAAAATCCATCACCTAACCCCTTCAGGGAGGTAGTCCACTAGCAGAGCGCTTGCCCAGCCTGCGGAAGGCCCTGGGTTTCATCCCCAGCACGGAAAAAAAAATAGTTTTCAGTACATTTACAACGTTGTCCAATTGTCAATAATTCCAGAACTTTCCATCACTCTGAAAAGAAGCCCCAACCTGTTGCCAGTTATTCCTAGCCCTCCCCACCCCATGCCCTGGCAGTGATGAGTGGGCACTCTGCTGGGTCCCCCTGTCCTGGGTTTCCGCATAAATGGAATCTCCCGGCCTCCAGCGCGCTGTGTTGAGGGGGGCTTCAGACACCCCGGAGCTCCCAGGGCCTCTTCTTAGGGTGAGAAAACACGAGAACTGAAGGCGTGGACGTCTGCCCAGACCCTAGTTTTATGGGAAGCCCGCGATTGGTTTCCTGCAAGTTCAGGATCAGACCAGGACTGGCCGAGAGGGATGAGAGGGACTGAGAGGGAAGGCGGGCGGCCACGCCCTGCGCTCCTCCCACCTGGGCGCTCTGGGCCAATCAGCTCCCGGCGTCGGTTGTCATGGCAACGGGTTGTTGCTACTCTTTGCAAAGCAGCGCGCCTTTCTGGAAACCCAAGAGAGATTTTCCTTGAGCGCTGGCTCCCGCCACGAGCCAACGCCCCGATGAACGCAGACGTTTTGTCACCCACCCCCGATCCCAGACGCGAGACCCTGGACTATTACTACAGGATCTACCAGAGTCTGTTTCTGCAGCCGCCGCGTAAGTCCTGAGGCTGACTTCCTCCAGGATGTCGTCTGTAGGACGCCTCAGTCCCCCCAATGACGTGTGAATGTGGGGGTGACGGTGAGGACAGACCAACATCTCTTTGTGCCATGTCCCTGCTGGGTGAGGGGGTTTCCAGAGAGTCAGGGCCCGTTGTCATGTGCATTTCTGAGATTTCCATGCTGCAGCCTGGTTGGTGGAGTCTTTGGAAGACACCTCCAAACTTCAAGGTTCTGAAGACAGTCACCGCAGGCTAAATTCTTGGCAAACCTCTGCAGCTTCAGAAGGACAGAGATAAATGGATACTTTCAGAATGAGAAGGGGTGAATGCGGGGTTCAGGGGTGTCCCTCAGGAGTAAGACATCTGCTGAATGTAGGGGACATTGGAGGAATAGTTCCAAGCTGCTAGAAAAATCTTTACACCAGGCCTTAAAGATAAAAAAGGAGTTCCCCAAGTCAGAAGGAGAAGAAGAGCCACACTCTAGCCCAGAGGACCTGGCTCATTGGACCCAGGGGCATGGAGACAAATTCATTTTTAGTTAGTTGTCACCTAACTCCTGAGCTTGAGATCCTTGGAAGCCACCCAGATGAAATGTCTTAGAATCATCTGGATGAATAGAACAGGAGCTGGTTTCACATCATAAATATTGGTATGGGTGTCCTTAGCACGAAGGTCATCAAAACACGAGAGCAGAGGAGATTCTCTGAAAAAAGAAGAGAACACCCATATTTAAGGGCTGAGCAGGGAGACAGGGTCTCAAGAACGGTGGCCAGAGAGGTGACATGAGACTTAGCCAGAAATTTGAATCACAAGCCAAGAGAGGGGAGAATTTCATGAACACATTCATGTCCAGACAGACTTTCCCAGAAAAATGGGAGCAAGCGTATTTTCTAGATTATCCATCAGGAGGAGTAGGATCGAGAGGTAGGAGTTTCTGGGAAACCAGTTCTGGATCAATCTAAGGATGTCCTTTCTAGAAGCCACAATTAGTCACTCACAATGTCATTCAGAGAGCTCCATGTCCCCAGGGGTGTACAAAGAGAAGCAAAGTCTGCCAGTGACATTTTAGAGTCTCAGACCTGGGCAGGGAATGGACCTCTGAGGGCCTTCCTCCTCAATCCAGAGGCAACATGTTCACAGAATGC